ACTACACAATCGCCCCAACATACTCACTCACTCACTTACTTTTCAGATCATCTATGCCAATGTCCAATTCATTTTGACCCCCCGTGGCGGACGTCTACATCTACAGCGGACAGACAATGACCTCAAACTACGTCGCTTTTAGCGATATTCCAGCAACATAACGGCGGGGACACCAGAAATGGGCTCGTCTTGATGAAGACCTTGTTAGTTCTTATACGTCCAGTGAGTGAGTGAGTTGCTATGTAACGTCACATCGGCAATATCTCAGCCATATCGTGACGAAAACAATCCATACAATAAAAAGTGGAAACATTTTGAAGATTAAAACCTGTCGACGATGGACAGTAAAACTAGCGAGCAAAGTTAAAATATTCCAATCAAAGAAGACAATACAATATAAAATACGGGCTATAGATCGCCAACAACTGAAGGTAGATCACCATACTAGGGCCCATGGGGACTTACATAACGTTTGCTACCTGCATGGATCCCAGCTGGATTTACACCATCCCTTCAGCCATTGGCGTTTATGCCGAGATTTAGCCATACATTAAAAACACAGAAATACTACGATTAAAAACCTGGTACACTTAAATTGACTTGAAATGTTTTGGGACTTACGTACCCTCGCTTACACGTCCAGGATGGCAAACGTAGATCTGCTCGACGCGATGGTTTCTCATGCGGATCTTACGTTTCAGAATGTGCAACTTGTGTTATATCTCCGGTACAAGAGGCGGTGGAATAGCCTAGAGGTTAAAGCGTTCGCTCGTCACGCTGAAGACCTGGGTTCGATTCCCTACATGGGTATACAATGTGAAGGCCGTTTCTGGTGTCTCCCGACGTAATATTGCTGGAATATTGCTAAAAGCGGCGTAAAACCATACTGACTCACTCAAGCTAAAGTAACGGCCCGGAACTACAAAAGCCATGGCACTTTACGCCTGTCTGGGTTCGATTCCATAAAGATGAGACGTTGCAACGACACTGCCCAAAGCGGTATAAAATGCTTCCTATTCACTCCCTACGCTGATCCAGGATTGTCTGCACTTCACAATGTGTCTGACGGGAGCTGGATGAGCCGAAGTGCACTAAGACCAATATGACAGCCGGCCTTCCCCTCCCACACAAGCCCTGTAATTACTGTCTTGGTTTAGTACATTGTCTACGTGGCGAGCATCCCCCTGTATCTATAATATAACTGGCAGTCCAGGACACAAATTGTTTTAGCCCCAAGGAAAGGTTAATGAAGCTTTCTGTTGACTCGGCTGTTTTCGGAACAGGTGGAAACATCGGATTACATATGTAACCATCCTATTGTAATGCCATTTTATTGTGTTAAATACCCTGGGCCTGCAAATGCACCAAATGAGTGAGTGAGTTTAGTTTTACGCCGCACACAGCAATATTGCAGCTATATGGCGGCGGTCTGTAAATAATCGAGTCTGGACCAAACAATCCTGTCAACCAAGTCAGCGAGTCTGACCACCCGATCCCGTGGGTTACTAAAGATCAATCAATGCTAATTCTTAACAAACTTTTACACTGAATTACAACAACCGAGCACTTCATGGAATGGCTCCCCGAACCAGTTTCTACTATTGTCTTTCGGGGCAGTGGGTAGTCTTGCGGTTATGGCGTTCGCTTGTCACGCCAAAACCCGGGTTCGATTTCCCGCATTGGTACAATATGTGAAGCCCATTTCTGGTGTCCCCCGCCCTGATATTGCTGGAATATTGCTAAAAGCGGCTTAAAAATAAACTCATCCACTACAACTTTTGGCATGCAAGGGTCGTTCACTACACTATTGCCTGTAACAAGTGACGTCATCATTTCCATGTGTAGCTTTTTAGTAGCTTCGTACATGTCTTCTATCGCTTATGAGATAAGTTTGTGGACCGCGCCAACACGTACATTTGGTGATTAATGTATGGGTTTGTTGTTTAACGTCGCACTCAGCAACAGTCTAAGTTAACCTAGGCTCAGTATAATAATAATGATACTTTTTGCACCTAGAATCCAGCACGATGCTGCTCTCTGGCGTTACATTAGTTACACTTCCATACTGAGTCTAACAAAACCTCGTAGAAGGTCGCGTCAGCTAACCTTTTGGACTGACCAATCAGACTACAGCTTACCAAATCGCGAAAGTTAACATTCGCACATACCGTTTTAACCTTTACCTCAAAAACTCGAACGATTCCGAATGCTATTTTCCGCACGATCGCTACCGAGTGATACACGCAATGAGTAAACAGTCGCTGAAAATAGCATTTTTGTCAATATTCAACTGACTGACTGACTTGAGTTTGGTTTTACGCCGCTTTTGGCAATATTCCAGCAACATCACGGCGTCGGACACCAGAAATGGGCTTCACACATTGTACCCATGTGGGGATTCGAACCCGGGTCTTCGGCGTGACGAGCCAACGCTTTAACCATTAGGCTACCCCCACCGCCCCGTCAATATTCAAGAATGTCATCTTGCGAAAATATAAGCACATACTAACCATGCCATAGGAAACCCCTAAGCGTATATACTGCAGGTCAAATATCTGCGTTTTATGCGGGTTTTCGTTTGTTGACAGATCAGTGTCAGCGACCAGGGGAGAAAAAATCCAAAAAACCGTTTTGCAAGTCCCGCCGAACCCTAACAAGTAGTCGTTGTCTGATTGGTAAAATCCGTTCGGCCGTCTCGCGTTTGCATTGGACGGTCATAGGTCATAGGACGCGACCTTCTACTAGGTTTTGTTTGACTCAGTATAGCAGTGGAACGAATAATACTGAGCCTAAGTTTACTTAGACTGCACTCAGCAATATTCCAGCAATATGGCGGCAGTCTGTAAATAATCGAGCTTTTACCAGACAATCCAGTGATCAACAGCATGAGCATCGTCCTACGCAATTGGGACACGATAACATGTGTCAACCAAGTCAGCGAGCACCCAATCATTTTACTCGCCTTACAACAAGCATGGGTTGCCGAAAAACACTTCTAACCCGGATCTTCACATGATGCTATCTAAGAAACACTGCTGGTTAACCTGTTTGTACGATTCACAGCATTCCACTTCCGGGTATGATGACGTAGGTCACAGAGCCTGAATACCTGATCCATGTCACCCCTGCCACAATCATGGCTTCCTGGTTACAGATTCCCTCCAATGAGATTGTGTCTCGTAATCTACTCTAACTCCTTCACCAACAAAAACACATGAATCTGAAGGATAATATTTTAAGATGTAAATTTACAAAAAATTGGCTTATTTTTACATTATTTTTACACACAAGAAATGTCGTGAAGCCCAGGCCCCGCTCCTCAAAACGATTGTAGCGCTAAGAAGATCGTAACTCCATACTTTAAAACATAGACTTACGACAGTAGTAGCGCTACAATCGCTTTGAGCAACGGGGCCTTGCGTTAGCGCTACGACAGTCGTAAGTCTATGTTAAAGTATGGAGTACGATCTTCTTAGCGCTACAATCGCTTTGAGGAACGGGGCCTTGCGTTAGCGCTACGACAGTCGTAAGTCTGTGTTAAAGCATGGAGTTACGACAGTCGTAGCGCTACAATCGCTTTGAGGAACGGGTCCTTCGCTTTGAGGAACGGGGCCTTGCGTTAGCGCTACGACAGTCGTAAGTCTATGCTAGGGTATAGGAATTACGACCACAGTCCTTAGATCGCCTTGCACAGCAAAACCCTGAGACATTTCTCTGTATCACACCTTAGAACTGACTGACTGACTGAGTTTGGTTTTACGCGGCTTTTAGCAATATTCCAGCAACATCACGGCGGGGGACACCAGAAATGGGCTTCACACATTGTACCCATGTGAGGATTCGAACCCGGGTCTTCCGCGTGACGAGCCAAAGCTTTAACCATTAGGCTACCCCACCGCCCTCACACCTTAGAAAGAGCGAGTGAGCCTCACAGAGAGTCGCCTAATCACCTGCACATAAACCCCCACCCCCACCTTTGTCATGAAAGTTTATGAAATGGCCATTGACACGGGTGAAAATGAACTGTGCACCCCTTTTCTCAAAAAAGCTGCATCCGCCCCTGTTTCCATAGGCTGTCTGCTGATTAAAAAGAAACAAAGGTTCAAAAGAGGCTATCAATTTTGAGTGAGTGTGTATATTTTGCTATCCCAGTAAGATTACAGATGGATGCTTTCGAAAGTTGCCTTTCCATATCCTACTCATGTTGGGATGATACTTTCCATATCCTACTCATGTTGGGATGATACTTTCCATATCATACTCATGTTGGGATGATACTTTCCATATCATACTCATGTTGGGATGATACTTTCCATATCATACTCATGTTGGGATGATACTTTCCATATCATACTCATGTTGGGATGATACTTTCCATATCATACTCATGTTGGGATGATATCACACTCAAGTTGGGATGATACTTTCCATATCACACTCATGTTGGGATGATACTTTCCATATCATACTCATGTTGGGATGATATCACACTCATGTTGGGATGATACTTTCCATATCACACTCATGTTGGGATGATACTTTCCATATCATACTCATGTTGGGATGATACTTTCCATATCATACTCATGTTGGGATGATACTTTCCATATCATACTCATGTTGGGATGATACTTTCCATATCATATTCATGTTGGGATGATACTTTCCATATCCTACTCATGTTGGGATGATACTTTCCATATCATACTCATGTTGGGATGATACTTTCCATATCATACTCCTGTTGGGATGATACTTTCCATATCACACTCATGTTGGGATGATACTTGACATTTGACTGACTGACTGACTGAGTTTAGTTTTCGCCACTTTTAGCAATATTCCAGCAATATCACGGCAGGGGACACCAGAAATGGGCTTAACACATTGTGCCCATGTGGGGAATCGAACCCGGGTCTTCGGCGTGACGGGCCAACGCTTTAACCACTAGGCTACCCCACCGCCCCACTTGACATTTGAAGTCATGAGAGAACACATCAAACACTTTGCTGCCCAATGGCTCCTATTTATTTGAAACATCTTCCAAAAGAGGAAAGGTCCATACCATCAATATTGTGATAAGTTAAGACACCTGCTTAATCTTTATTGCAATAAGACTAAAAATGTGAAGATGAAGAACCAAAGCAAAATATATCCCTTCCCTGAATAGTGAATACAATCAAATTCAATTTATGTTTCATAAAAACCAAAAATTTGTAAATCTATTTTTCAAAGCAGAACGATATATATTCAAAAGAGAGCATGTGTGATCCGTGTGATCATTTTGTTATAAATAAAGATGCTGGAGAGATGTGAAACACAAAAAATACATGTGACCTATATTTTTTTTAAATGCGGACTATTGCCCTCTTCACCAATTTCTGGATCCTGATCATGATCAACAATTTTAAAGTTGATGATGATGTTGATAATGATAATGATGTCATCAATTTGACCAACTTACAAAAGTTTACTTCATCAGAAAATATCAAATTTCCCTGAGAAATATTCTTGTTGAAAACAGTTTCTGACCCTACTAAATCATTGTCATTTTGGGCTCTAATCCAATCTTGCTGGGGCAAGAACCTATATCAGAGCCTAGTTTCCACATCATTATGGACCTGTGTACACGCCTGCATTGTTTTGTTTCACGAGAGTCTCAGAGGATTATGTATAGAGTTCTGGGGTAAATGACTTTAGAATTTATGTTTATTTATCCAAATTAGAACTTTTGATCTGTCCCCTAAAACTGTTTTCTCATCAAGATCAAAGGGAACTAATCACTGTGTACAAAACCAGACCATTTTCCCAAATAATGTTTATAATTTCTCAGTTTGCTAGAATTTTCACAAGTTTTACATTTATCCAATTCAGCGCCAATTAAAGTGGCTAGTAAAACCTGTTCCCAACATACTGATCTTGCCAGTTTGGCATCACATAGAGAGATAACATCACAGGTTACTTTCTGCAGGAAACTACACAAACAGATACTCTCCTCAACCATGCATTCATCAAAGGTGTCATTAAACTTTAGACATTTTACACATGCCAATGCATACAATGGTCTAAGCTCAGCTCTGTATGTTTCCTAGTGCCCTCTCCTTTGCCAGTTTCCTCTCCAGATACCTCCTCCTGGCCTCCGTTGCCTTGTCTCCTGTTGTGTGTCTGGCGTATTTCAGTTTCAAGTCTTCCTCAGGCTTACTATCAACCTTGTCGTCTGAGGGCAGCTGTGGACCAGTAAATGGAGATGTGCTCCTCTCTCTCTCACTTTCAGATTCACTTTTGGTGGTTGCCTCTACCGACTTTTCTTCAGAAACCTTCCTCTGCGGAGATTCTGATTTCTGTTTGTTGCTCTTGGTCTTTTCTTTTGACCTTGACCTATCATTTCTTTCACTGGAATCTGACCTTTGTTTCTTGTTCTTTTCATTTGATTCCCTTGATAGATCTTGTATGTTATTATCTTTTGACCTTGACCTGTCTTTTCTGCTTCTGTCTTTTGACCTTGACCTGTCTTTCCTACTTCTATCTCTTGACCTTGACCTGTCTTTCCTACTTCTATCTCTTGACCTTGACCTGTCTTTCTTACTTCTGTCTCTTGACCTTGACCTGTCTTTTCTACTTCTATCTCTTGACTTTGACCTCTCTTTCTTACTTCTGTCTCTTGACCTGTCTTTCCTGGCTCTGTCTCTTGACCTTGATCTGTCTTTTCTACTTCTATCTCTTCTATCTCTTGATCTAGACCTTTCTTTTCTACTTTTATCTCTTGATCTTGATCTGTCTTTTCTACTTCTATCTCTTGACCTTGAGCGGTCTTTTCTATATCTGTCTCTCGACCCTGATCTCTCCTTTGCAGTTCTATCTCTTGGTCTGTCACCTCTACTTCTTTCATTTGAGATATCTCTCTTAGATTTTTTTCTGTCCAACTTTGACCTGTCTGGAGATTTCCTGCCTCTGTCCCTTGACCTTCTGTGACCTCTCTCTTCGGACGAAGACCCTGACGAGCTTCTTTTCCTTCGTTTTCTTTCTCCAGATGTCTGCCTTTTCTTTAATGATCCATTTGCATGGACTTTCCTATGACAAACAAAATGTAATGCAATATTAATGTGCCCAGAATATATGTCAAGGAAGGAAGGTTATACTAATACATGACTGAGGCAATAGCCTTCTTGCCATGGTGGTGAGGAAGAAGTGAAAATGGGATTAATGATTATTGCACACATATATATTTACTAGGGCTGCGCAATATAACCGGTTTACCGGTATTTACCGGTTAAGACATGAAACGATACATATTGCGATATGCTGATCGAAAACTGGTATTTTGATATGCATTCGGAAAATTGGCTAACACTCAGAAATTTTCGGATATTTCCGTTTTTTTAATTGTTCTCTTCCCTGTTTCACTAGTGCCAAATGTTACTTACATTTTTATTTTGTCATGATTAAAAGTTTTTATAAAAGGGTAATCAATCATAGTGATTTTGTTGTGTTTTTGCTTATAATCAAGCATTAACTCGATTATAAGTAGTTTTTGCAAAAAAAATTAATCCTTGCAATATATTGCAATACATATATCGCAATATGAAAATTCTCTGCAATACCCACCCCTAATATTTACCCCTTAATGCCTATTGCCAGAGAACCTGTGACGACCCAGGTTAGAACTGGTCTTCAGCAACCAATGAGGCGACTAATGGGATCAGGTGGTCAGGCTCGCTGACTTTGTTGACACATGTCATCGTATCCCAACTGCATAGATCGAAGCTGATGCTGTTTTTCACAGGATTGTGTGGTCCAGACTCGATTATTTACAGACCGACACCATGTAGCTGGTTTACGACTTTTAACAACAATGAACCAACCAACCCAGTGCCAGAGAAGACAACAACTAGTGCCACTAGTTTAAATTCTTTAGCTATGTGGCTGGGGATCAAACAGACATCAGAGACAGTCCCATCCATACAATATTCTAAGATGACACACTTATCTTCACTGAAATCATATCTGAGCCATGGCATTTCAGGTGCTCTAAATTACTCTGAAGGAGCCATAACCATAATCGTCTGCCTATTTATCATGATTGACAATATTGAGTTTAGCCGAATAAGGATTATCAAAATGGCTGCGAGAACCCGTCAATCGTCTAATGTACACAATGGGATATCAGTCACATTTACACAATAGAGTTGTGGATGTTACATGACATGTCATCTCTAAATGTTTATGCTTTCCAGAAGTAAATGTCTCAAGGTCATGAAGAGGTATATTTGCAAAGTCAATTCTAGACGGCTAAGTTCACTCACTTAAATCACAGATAAAATACAGATAATCATTGATATGACTGTACTTTATTTATAAACTCCCTCACCCGACTGACAGACATCATGGATTCAGTGTATGGTCTACTGTCCACCTTGTCTGGTGCTTTTGGCTTGACCAGTAATAAAATACAATCCAATTAATCATTATTTCTCTGATTTCAAACTGAATGTGTATTTTCAAAATTGGGAATTTGTGAGGCTTTTTATCAGAGCTACAGATAACTTTGTGGGCCATTGAATTATGTACTCGCTTGTGTTCATCTCAATTAAATTGTACCCACCTTACTCAAACTCAATTGGGCATTTTGCCATTTTCAATTAATTATAAAATATAATAACGGTTAAATGTTGGTTTACGTGATTGTTATATATATTTGATCTGTCATATGAGAAATGACTAGAATGACTGCAAGTTGCTAAGTTCATGTGTTGAAATAGAACCTCTCAATAAACCTCAGTTATTTTATCTATCCACCGGTAGGCAAGATTTTACATTTTTGTGTGTACGCATGTAAGATCAAATTTATTGAGTATTTACAAAAATTCAAGGGTACCTGTACGCAATAGACTCAACAGGAAGTGAGTTTTCACATAAATATTTGCATAATTTACGCAGATATGCAGCTTATCTGTACCTCTGTTTTATATTCCTAAAGTTAAAGCTATTCTTATATGAAATGAAATAACATTAGCCTTGTCAAAAGTATCATATTAACATGATTAAGCTGCATAAATCAGGCCAAAAATACGGAAATCAGGGAACCATAGATAAATGACTGACCAGAGTTGTCTTTCCTTGATAAAAATATGCCGATATTACAACTAGTTGAGAAATGGTAAGCAAGCCATACCGTGACATATGATAACAAGGTAGTAGCTCTGTGATGCAGCTTATTCTAATCTTTTTCATGAAGTCCATTTGGTGGGAAGATAAACTACCATAATTCATGCTATTGTTACTCGAGTGAGAGTATATGAGTTTAATTTAACGCCACAATATTCCAGCAATATGACAGCGGGGGACACCAGAAATGGGCTTCACACATTGTACCCAAGAGGGAAATCGAACCCAGGTCTGTGGAAAGAGGAGAGAACGGTTTAACAACTAGGCCCTATTGTCGCTTAAGTGGCCCGAGGATGATCTGACTTACTTTCTGCTTCTGGAATCATCCGAGGCTGAACTTGACTGTGAGCTGGAACTGGAGTCACTGTCCTCACTCTCAGACACTTTCTCCTTCTTCACTTGGACGTCTTCCTGTTTCTCTCCTTCCTTCTTGATCTTTATATCATCCTTATTCCTTGAAAAAACAAATAAATATTCTGTGTTTAGTGATGCACTGTAATGTCAGCTGTCTGTCAATAATCTGGACCTGATCATCCAATGATTGACAGAATGAGCACTGATCTACACAAGGGGGATATGATGAAATACATCAAACAAGTCAGTGAGCCTGATCACCCAATTCTGTTAGTAGGGGTGAAACGGTATACCGCAGTATTAGTAGAACTGTGGTATTTAGTCTTTGGTTCGGTACACCATAATGCAATCCAAAAATTCAGTATTTTCAGTTTTCATACCCTCATTTAATTAAACTTTTAAAACCTTTTCTAAAATGTCTGGAAATCCAATCATTTTGTCAAAATCTATGCATTTCTTCTCTCTGGAGTTGTTATATGCAATTAAGACCATGTTCCTACTGATTTCACTTTGAGATAAAAGTGTGACATTAACACCTTGGTAAAATCCCAAGAGCTCTGGTACAGTTCTGACAAACCACGAAACAACATCATGAAGAATCTGGTATATGCACCCAGTATTCTGCCTCATCCACCCGTGAATGTCCGGGTTAGAACTGATCTTCAGTAACCCATGCTTGTCGTAAGAGGCAACTAACAGGATCGGGTGGTCAGGCTCACTGACTTGGTTTACGCATGTCATCGGATCCCAATTGCTCAGATCGATGCTCATGCTGTTGATCCCTGGATTGTCTGGTCCAGACTTAATCATTTACAGACCGCCGCGATATAGCTGGAATATTGCTGAATGCGGTGTAAAACTAAACTCACTCACTCTGGCTCATCTAAGGGATGCAACTCTGCACAGCAACTGCTGCACCTTACACAATTTGGATACCAACAGCAACAGTCTTGGTGAAAGTGACAGGAGTTACTTCCCCTTAAAATATAGCCATTCAAGCTACATTTTTAAGTCCTGTACTAGTACTATGATCATGATTAGTGTTATATGGAATGAATGCAGATGCATCTGCTGTAATAGTATTGAGAATGAGATAGTCTTAAAGATAACCATATCATCTAAACAAGACATGAAGTCATCTTGCACTGCATATGCCAACTGAGATATCTCAACAGAACCTCAGACTGGATTGAAAGGATCATATTCGAAAGTTGTGACTCATTGTCAATAAATATTGCCTTCATAAAGAACTGTCATCATCATCATTGTGCCATGTTTGATGACTTTGATGACAAATCATAGATTCATTCAACTGCTATGGAAGCTGTTAAGGTGAGTGAGTGATTATGTTTTTACACTGCTTTTGGCAATATTCCAGCAATATTACGGGGGACACCAGAAATGGGCATCACACATTCTACCCAAGTGAGGAATAGAACCCGGGTCTTTGGCGTGACAAGCAGACGCTTTAACCACTAGGCTACCCCAGCATGCCACCCCAAATTGTGAAGGATTAAGAAAGGTACTGGCACCTCATATTGTCTGACCCATAAAGATCCTGGGCCTAGATTTTCGAAGCGCTCTTAGCGCTAAGATAGTCGTAAGTGCCATACATTAACATTAACTTATGACTATCTTAGCGCTAAGAGAGCTTTGAAAATCTAGGCCCTGGTTAACATTGTTTTTCAGGAACCTTTGCTTGAAGCAAGAAGAGACTAAAACACGGGATTGTCTCGTCCAGACCAGAGTTTATACCTCCACCACATAGCTTGAATATTGCTGAGTGGGGCGTTAAACAACAAACAAAAAACATCTTAGTGTCTGAATGAAAGACTGGTTTTGTTCAAAAGTAAAAAGCCTATTCCACAGAAGACTTAAGGCAACATTCAAAAGAGAACAGTATCTTACTCTGGTTCATCACCGTCCCCTCCAGCAGTCTGGCGATACAGGTAACGGTAGAACCCACTCAGATCTTTCTGCTTCGTCACATCCAGCATTGCTAGAAACAAAAAGAGAAAAGAAATGTGTGGCAACAAGAAACTCAGATCAAAACTGGTGGAGCATGGCTAGGGAATTGTATTATTGTATTAGAACAAGTGGCAACAAGAAACTCAGATCAAAACTGGTGGAGCATGGCTAGGGAATTGTATTATTGTATTAGAACGTGTGGCAACAAGAAACTCAGATCAGTACTGGGCCCTGTTCCTCAAAGCGATCATAGCGCTACGACAGTCGTAAGTCTATGTTAAAGTATGGGAGTTACGATCACCCAAGAGCTACGATCGCTTTGAGGAACGGGCCCCTGGTGGAGCATGGCTAGGGAATAGCATGGGTCAACAATAAGCTATGTTGGCTTGTATTATTGCATTAGCCTTGTGAAAAGCTTCAGAGAAATAACATGGGTTGGCAACATTCTGTGGCTTGTGTCAGTATTGGTGAAGAGCTTCAGACAACACAAAATCTGTCATCAACAGTCCACTTCCCAATACTCCACACCCCTTCCCTGTCTTCCACACTCAAAACCAGTGTTCCACACCCTACTCTGTTCTCCATGCAGCACCGCTTTCTGCCACCCTTTGTATTCCTACTACCCATCCTCCACAAACCATCCCCCGTCTCCACACTCCACCTCCACAAACCACCCCACCCGTAAAGAAGAATTGGTGTTCAGTAACCCATGCTTGTCATAAGAGGCGACTAACGGGATCGGGTGGTCAGGCTCACTGACTGGGCTGATGCATGTCATTGTCTCCCAGGTGCATAGATCAATGATCATGCTGTTGATCCCTGGATTGTCTGGCTTAGACTCGATTATTTGCAGACAGTCGTCATACAGCTGGAATATTGTTGAGTGTGACGTAAAACAGCAAAGAAACAAACAAACCACCCCAGTCCACCATATATCTCCATAGTCCTCAATTCCACTCCACATTTTAATACCGAACCTCCACAATCCCCCCCTGCTCCTACCAAGTCCTCCCATTCCATCCCCAATACCCTCCATACTCTAATCCTAACTCTATCCTCCACACTCCAGCCTCTTCCTCCACAACTCACCCTCCATTTCTGCCTTCTTCCTCTCCCTCTCCTCCTCCTCCTGCTGCTCCTGCATCTTCTTCTTGTAAGCAGACGTCACAAAGGCTTCTTTGTCTGCGAACTCATCCCCCTCTTCCTCCCGCTCCTTCTGCACCTTCCTCTCCACACGTCTCTCGTCCTCCTTCTTGCGAATCTCGGCATGCTTCAGCAGACCTGCGATGTAGCGGGGCTAAAAACAACACACAGAAATATTTAGAACCTAGTACCACAGGCACTTGGGCGGCGGGATATGGGGTTTATATGTCCAAATATTAAGTTCAAAGTTGTATGTCTAAATCTTTACACTGCTGTTGAACCCATGAAGATCCAGGTCACAACTGGTCTTAAGCAACCCTGGCATTAAACAAACAAACAAACATTGCTGTTGATACAAATGAAATAACAGCAGCTTGACTATTATTATCATGGCCATCAGCATAGTCATGTGCAGATCAGCTGCATGTAATTAACCTTACAGTATGGCTGGCTGCCATCGAAGATTAACATCGTGGTTGACATTTTCGACACTGCAGGCAAAACCATCAGGGGTGACTTTTGAGGGGGAAACAACTATTGCGATAGCAATAGTCTATTGCAACATACTGCCTGGGTTTTGCTATGATACTGCTTCAGAAAACATATAAAAAAGTGTTTTTGACCCACTGATGGACTCCTATGTTTGAAACACAGATATCCCAAACATAACAGCCCGGGATACAAGAATTATTTAATGTATACAGGATATGCTTCAATATTGTTTCATCTAATTCTTCTTAAAATGCTTTTTAGGTGACTTCTGATTTGCATTTGAAAATATGATGCTCCAAGTGAGTGACACATACAACTAATTGCAAACTGCTTGAATGAGCTATGGAAATGCATGCACAGTACACAAAATTGGAAATGAAATTGAAATACTGATAAACCACCTGAAAATAGTGAGTGAGTCAGTGAGTATGGTTTTACGCCGCTTTTAGCAATATTCCAGCAATATCATGGCAGGATACACCAGAAATGGGCTTCACACATTGTACCCATGTGGGGAATCGAACTCATTACTATTACTATTTCTTCTTGTTACTGATATATTATTGACTTTTAACATTATTTTATATTCACGTTTGTATTCAAGCAATGTAAACTTAAATTGGTAACCGAGATGCCTTTTGCACATTTTATGTAGATACCCATCTTGTCTGTATCATCGTTAAAACAATGAATATTATGTCTTCTAAATATCCATCAATGTCTTTTAAGTTATTGTTTAGAAACCAGCAGCAGCAGGTCGACTTGAACCTCAAGGCTGAGAAATATCATAGCTCTTTCTGATGGTCATTGAAACTCACTCCTTTTTTTTTTATGATTTTAAGGGGGGGTAACCCATTTTGTTCTGGGGAGGTAGGGGGGTCAGCAATTTTTTACACATGTTTCTAGTGGGGTCAGCAATTTTGTACATAAAACTATTTTAAAATTATGCTTTAAAAATATGGGAAGGGGGGGAAATTGATTTCGTACATGACATGCAGGTCACTTACTTTGTACCGGTACATAAATTTTAGGGGGGGTCATTCACATTTTGCATGCTTCTCCATAAAAATGATCATCACCCTCCCCACCCTCCCCCCTAGCCATAAAATAAATAAAGAACGGTCCAAAATCAGGCCTGTTAGAAAAACTAATCAAACCAGTGACTGATATTATGAGTTATGGAATAAATTGATGCACAAAGCTAGCATGTTTAGTTGCAGTGCTTCAATAATGGATAACAAAACACAGCAACAATCGTAACCAAGGCAACACTCACCTTCTTATCCACCTTCGCTTTGACTTTGACATCGGTCTTCTCCTTCTCTGACTGCATGTTGTCATAGATACTGTCGTATTCATACACGGTGGCATCCTCTGACAACGCCTTGTCAATCTCAATCTGAGTCTGAAAATTACAAGGACATTTCTTTTTACAGTTTAGGCCCTTTCATTTGTTTCCACTACATCTACATGTCACATATTAGAATTTGTCTTCAGCACCAAAATGCTTGAAGTAAGAGGTGACAGAATCAATTGATCTGACTTGGTTGATCCATGTCACCATATCCTACATGACGCTTATGATGTCAGTGACTGGATTGTCTGGTCCAGACTTGATTATTTACAGACCGCCGCCATATAGCTGGAATAGTGCTGAGTACAGCCTTAAACAACAAACAAACAACATGTCTCATGACTATAGTCCGTTTGGCTCAAAAGCGGACTGATGAATTGCAATCTAACTCGAAAACTAATAAACATAAAATACTCAATGAAACGCTGATCATAATAGGGAGGGGTGCAGGGAAAGGGACAGCCAGATGTTCGAGAACGGATGGAGATGGCACAGCACAGGTTAATGAATCAATAACTTTGTCTGTGAACGTGCTTCTCGAACACCTGGCTGTCCCTTTCTCTGCACTCCTCCCTCGTAACAAACAGTGAACTGTGTCAATATTTTAATAATAGTTTGTTTAACAACTTTATTATATTTAGGACAAACATTCTGCAAAAACCTCACAGAGTGGGTATGATGTTTTGATTATGATCAGCGTTTCATTGAGTATGTTATGTTTATTAGTTTTCGAGTTAGATTGCAATTCATCGGTCCGCTTTTGAGCCAAACGTCTATAATGTTGGCAGATGTGAATGTAAATGTTGTTTTATGCAGAAATACTCCATGAAATATCTTAATGGCCTGTGAAAATTAAGTTTGGATCAGACAATTCAGTGATCGGTTTTAAGAGCAACGACCACCATCATCAGGGTAAAAGAACATGAAATCAACAAAGTCAGTGACACTGACTACAAAAGCATTTCTCATTGATAAATCTTAAAAACAAGCACAGTCAGTTCCAGATGACAATAATAATGGCTGAGCATTTTCATACCTGAGGATATTTTTATACCCAATTGTTTCTGAGTACCTAGCAACCACAATCCCAACACTGATGAAGAACCATCGAAGGAATATTTGTGTTCCTCGAGGATTTTCACCTGTGGAGTATAGCTGGGAACAATAGTCCTTGAGCCAGACCTTGAAAATATTGATTTGACTACCAATCTGAGGGGCAAACAGTCACTATGATTTTCATACAGCTTAAGGTATGTACTTTATAAAATCACGTGATGGACACCTCCCATGCCCAGCTAAATAGGTTTTTGGCACCCATTTTTAAAGATGGCCACCATTTTCTTGAACCGGACCAAAAACAATCCTTGAGCTAAAACTTTAAGCATTAGACATAGAAAAATGTATGAAAAAATAGGATTTTCCCCCGAAAATGAAGATATTTGGTTATTTTCTGGAAAAATAATGACCACTAAGAAGAGAACTTACACAAATGAGAAAGCCTATGTCCCTAAGTAAACATTTGTTTCCATTTGATATTCAAATCTAAATTAAAATGGACTTTTAATCAGGTTTATAACGCAGGTCCTATTTTTCACTAAATGGCGGCCTTTCAGAAAAAATGACCATCACCCTCTGAAAACAATGACCCAGCTCAAATTGTAAGCTCGAAGTACTTTATGTTAGGATGAAATGTGTTCAGTATTGAATTTCCCACATTTTGATATGTAATTTGTGGGGGTTCAGCATGATTAGGTTAAAAAATGGGGGAAAATGTATGAAACAATACGATTTCCCTTAAAAATGCAGACATTTTGTTATTTTCTGAGACAAATAATGATCATTGAGAGGAGATCTTACATAAATTAGGAAGCCTATGTCCCTAAGTATACATTTGGTTCCATTTTATGTTCAAATCTAAATTAAAATCGACTTTTAATCAGGTTTATAATGCAGGTCCTATTTTTCTCTAAATGTGTTCAATTTTGAGGTGAGGTGAAATTGGGTTTAACGTCATGCTTGAGAATATTTCGCTGATATGACCACGTGCATGCGTGTGTATGTGTATGTGCGCCTGCTTGTACTAGCCCAGACTGAAGCTGGTTTTATAGTGCTAGCACACTGAGATACCATGCCGCAGTGAAGCATGAATACCCCACTCAGACACATTATACTGACTCCGAGCCGACCAGTCCTTGTTGTACCCATTAATGCCAAGCGCCAGGCAGGGACCAACAAGTACCATATTTTAAAGTCTTTTGGTATGACGCGGTCGGGGATCGAACCCGCGACCTTCCACTCTCCGGGTGGATGCTCTAACCACTACACCAAGGAGGCAGTCCATGAAAATAGAACAATGTTAAATGATAGTTTCTTGAACAACTTTTTCTATGATCGATCATAATACCTCAGATTTCAGATCCTGTTGGGTACAGATGTTTCAGGACCATGTGTCTTATTTATGTTTTGTGCACTTATCCCTATTTCGATTTATTCATTCTCATTTGAACCCAAACTGACTGTAGTTTCAAGCCACCAGGTCTGATCCCTGATCATTGAAGTTATGACAAAACATACCATGACAGAGACTGCAGGATAACAATTCTGAGGTGAAATCCCTACTATCAACTGGTTATTCAGGGGTGGAAATAACATTACAATTGCTAGTGTACACCGGTACAGCGGCACATGTAAAATCACTTGCCCTGCTAATTTTCCCACTATACCAGTAAAATATATAGATACAACATTATGATGACCATTTCCATATTGACAGTGTGTAATAACACACATTATCATCTAATGGAAGGTGTTATCGGTGCATAAAGCAATCTGATAAACTTGGTATCTAAATCTGATAACTATGCAAATTACGTCAATCCACGAACTACTTTCACAAAACTCCATACACGCCATGCGAATCCTATAACGTTAACATGTCATTGATGACATAGTTTAATGAACCATAATAAACTACCAATTAAATTCAATATCTTACTATAGTATAGTGGTCGTTATATTGCTGTATGATACTACCACTAGCAATTAAAGTTATGTAACATGTGGCTGAGAAAATGTTGATATTTTCTTGCTCATTTTTTTAAATAAACAACATAATTAACATTGGAAAGTCAATTGGACACCGGTACAGTGTGATATACAAATTTGCTTGCCTAACAGAAAAAAACACTGGACTGGGACGTCGGGCAATGGGTTATTTTCACCCCTGAATATTACAAATTGAATTGTAGCTCCCATACTAACCTGTTTCTTAACTTTGGTGGATTGGGTAGCATATCGCTGCATTGGGTTGACTTCTGCATTGCCTGTGTCCTGTAACCATGGAAAAAAAGTAGACATCTAAACATTAATAACATAATCTGGTTGATTAAAAAAAAATAACAAATGAAGACTGTATACATTATAATAAAAAATAGCACTTGACTTAATCTTGATTTGATTTCTAATTTATTCATTCTCAAGTTTCATCAAAGTCTGATCTTTCACTCTGATACAATACATCTGAGAGATCATCTCTTAGGACTTGGAGGATACCGGTATGTCAGGTGAACTCTCATATCAGTCCATCAGTATCAAGGCTTCATAATTTGGGAATAATAGAGCTCTCATCATTCAGAGCAGTATCTCCATATTTCCAAAATAATAACAAGCAGCCAGTTATAAATGGCAATAACAAAGACTGTGCTTTTACATAGTTGTGGAGGGTCTCTTGTTTCTCATCCTCGATAATCTCCAGGGAATACATTCTGATAAATCACCACTAGTACCCTGGATGCATCTACGGCTCAGCCAAATAATTGTATTACCTCCCTTTGCTGGCTCCGCCTTCTCACAGTAGCCAATCAGTTAAGCCATTACAACCAAACTTGCCAGTGTCAACAGAGACAGACACAAATGTTTGCACACTGTGCGACTCAGATTTCAGGAAGAAATCATACAGACAAAATCATACAGACAAACTGACAGGTCTGAAACCTTCAAAAAGTATATGCAAGAACTCCTTCTACCTCTTTCAGGGTTCCTCTGCAACAATTGGGTTGCTAAGTTTAATCAGTTAGATGAAAGAAGCGGATGTGTATTTCTGATAAAAGCCTTTTGATTGGTACGCTCAACTTCCCAACGTAGACACCTGATTGAATAAAAAAAGCCAGCAAAGGGAGGTAATGCAATTATCAGGCCTAGCCGTGGATGCATCCAGGGTACTAGTGGAGATTTATCCGAACGGATACCCTGGAGATTATCGAGGATGTTGTTTCTGAGCACCATGAATATAAGCACCCAAAAGGTAAACACATCAGTAGAACTGTTATGTGGTTTGAGGGTTTTTTCCTTTAGGTAAAATTCCAACATGATGGAAAAGATTAGGCTTAATTATTTTAGAAAGCTGACATGGTTTTACTCCAAGAAGAAGCTTAAAGTTCATAATGGGACGATAGAAAGGATTACATTGTGCCATGCTACATTCTCACTTTGATAAATGTTGTTCCTTATTATGAAAAAAAATGATAATACCAAAGTATTTATTTGACAGCAGAGTTAACAATGTTCACCATAATCAAGGAATTGTATTAAATTGTTTGTCCTTCCAAAAGACAGATTACAATTTAAAGCCATTTTTCAAGAAAGGGCTGCAAAATCAACGCGTCCGCAAAACAAATCTTCTATTTGGCTCAAGAACTGCAGTTTACCTAATGATAAAGGTGGCACCACTGTTCATTTTGAACCCTGATCGGCCTTTTCAATGGGAAAAGCTACAATGTCAACACTCATGTGCTACTTGGTGGGCTTACCCCAAGTCTGTCTCATAGTCCCTGAACCATATTATTTTCCCTTCAGCCTAGGCCTCCCTGCAATGCTAAAGCCCTGAATGAAGAAAGTCTAGATTTCCCCAGTTCTGAATCTCTGGTCTCCCTGGGGCTCCTTTTCATTTTATATGAGTTTACTTGTTACAATCAAAACTATATATTCAGAGACTTAGCGCGCGCTAGTCTAGGTTATCCCCAACTTATTGATGTACCTCATCGCTGTCATCTCCAAATATATTCGGTCTTCGCTGTATGGAGGCTGCCTTGTTGTTCTTGGGTATAAGTAAACCATATCTGAAAAAAATGTACGTCACACTTACTAGTGGTTGGTTGATTAATTGAAATAATCGAAGATTGGTCGCAGTGCCATAAAAGACCAAGCCATTGTGTTTTCTCATAATCGAACACAACCAATTTTGGAACACTTGTTTGCATCAACAATATTTTACACAAGGTTGGTTTTGTCTGTGTCATTAAATTTACATTTCATAAGCACTACAAACCCGTTCCCCAGCATGGTTGAATTTATCTTAAAGAATCCAGGAAATCTGTGTTCCTAACATACTAATCATCCTTTAAATATGCGAAATCTGCCAATGGATTTTGTGCAATTTGCAAAAGACCCAAATTACTACATGTTTTTTTCTTTATTTTTTGTGTGTGCATTAACAAAGATAACAGGAACATTTGATAAATGACGCAAACCAATTATTTTCGATGATTGATCGGTTGTAATGAACCAATCATCAATTATGAGATTCTAACCAATTCCCAACACTAACACTTACAAAAAAAAAGCAACATTAGTATAAACAGATCTATAAATGAAGGAAACCAAGTTCTATGGATAGTCAACTTCTTTTCAGTGTAGGTACTAACTTGCTTGATAAGGCCTAAAAAATTCTTTTGTGGTTCCGATTACCTGACCCACCTTTGAATTCTGGTGCCGACCCTATCTTTTTTAAGTGGAATGAATAAAATATGATTTCAGATCCCATTGTTTTTTCCCGGCACCAACAGATATCGGTCATTCTGATAGAGAAAGTCGATATGATCGCTGCAAGCTTGATTGAATAAACAATTACACATTAATAAACGTGTTATTAGTTTGTACTTTACTTCTAAAATATAAAAAAGTAAGAAAATAAATTCCGACCTACCTACCGTGAATTTTAAAGAGGTGTATGAACCATAACATTTTTTTTATTTGGCCTAACAGTGTTAGTACCTAAACCGAAACGTCGCACTCATTGCAATAAGGAAGTTGACTATCCATAGACCTTGGTTTTCCTTCACCTATACAACTTCTAAAATGCCTCTCAAAGACGATCTATAAATGTCTTCTCCAAAAAATTTTTACATGTCCATACCTCTTTTTTGTTATATAGACCCTTTCATCATGAAGAATGAGTAGCCTTGAACCACTGTTACAAACAATTATGAACTGCTATCCATTACAGTTTCAGTGTTATAGTGAAAAAGTCGAAATGATAACATTCCAAAATTAATGAACATTTTTCACATTTTATATCTTTATTCATAAAAAAATATCTTTCACATTAGTTGAGCATCATCACTTAAGTACAATGTAGAAGTTACTCAATTTCTGACAGCACTAACAAGAGTTCTATTTTCAGTGTATTTTAGTCACCTCCATGACTGGGGAAATTTAGCACAAATGGAAGTCATGTCTTCCTTCCACACATCAATTCTTTATCTAGTCGAGAGCTTCCATGCGGTCCTATACAGTCAAGATATGACTTGACTGTGTAGGACCTCATCGCAGCTCTCAGCTATGCTTTATCATGTTTATGATGTGTCTTCATTACCAGCGATTGTCACTTGTAAAATCTCAAACATATGAAACAACAAATATGGTCCATAACACAGATGCGTGATTTCGCTTGGCTCTAGTCTAGAACACTTTCCCGATCTTATCAACTTGAGATAGGACATTCTTCCAAACTTGTAAAATAACTGAAGGACAACTTTATATGACAGTTACTCAGTATACAGGAAAAAGAAAGTTTTCAAAGTTTGAGTCATTAAAGGTCTGGTAAGAGTTCCTCCCGTTCCCCCATCCCAAATAATATTTGTAAATATACTAAAATTATGAACAAAACTTAACACAATTACTAGAGCACTCACAAAATGACTAAAAGTCCAAAATTTAAGTTAGGGTTAGGGTTAGGTTTAGGGTTGGGGGAACGGAAGGAACTCTTTCCAAGGTGTACAGTGTTATATATAAATATCCCAAGAATAGGGAAGATTGGCAAGATATAGCCCATACGTTCAGTTTTCAATCCACACTTTCTGTGATCAGATAAGATTTGGTGCATAAACATGATAAACTCAAATATCTCAGACAGCTATTCAAACATCAATCTAATACTAACACGTTAACCAGAATGATTTGCATTGTAAACATTAACCACAGGTGTGTTAACTACAGGCTGTTATTCAACTATGGCCATTGCATCTTCCCGGTGCACTTACTGCTTTTTGTTGCCGTCCATGTTGCTTCGTTCGAGTGACGTCCCTTGACAGGGGCAGATAACTCTATGTATGTATGCTGTGCCAAACGGACCACGCCTCCTTGTTGGTGTTTTCTTTGCAACATTAGATTTCGTAAATGTGCAAGTTTTCATTTGTTCAAAAAGAGGCATGTGACATAAAGCAGATGGAACAAACCTAGTGGACATGAATTCATCGCCATGACACTTGGGAATGCAATATCAGTTTTAGAAAAGCAAAATTTAGGTACGTTGAACTGAATATATATATATATATCTGAAGGTCAATCACATTAGGGACCTTTCATAATTAACGCTTGTGTGTGTGCGCGCGTGCGTGTGTGTGTGTGTGTTGTACAAAATAGCTGACCCCTACCCCACTAGACCATGTGTACCAACTTGATGAAACCTGCCAACGAAGGACAGGCAAACCTACTTGAATATCAATGTATCAAGAATTAAATAAAACTAGCATCTCTCTCTAAAATTGGATTTCAAATTAGGACAATGCAGTATAAAAATGGGCTATAGATCGCCAACAACTGAAGGTAGATCACCATACTAGGGCCCATGGGGACTTACGTACAGTGCCTTTGCTTCCTGCATGGACCCTAGTTGGATTTACAGCATCCCCATCATAAAAGATAAAAAGACCACTGTATGTATGTATGTATGTATGTATGTATGTATGTATGTATGTATATGTGTGTGCGTGCGTGCGTGCGTGCGTGCGTGCGTGCGTGCGTGCGTGCGTCTATGTGGGTGCGATGTTTTGGTAACATAATAGCCTGTTTCTGGGTGGTCCAGTGTTATCCATATAGAATTGTTTGTTTGTGTTTTGTTTGACGCCGGACTCCGGCTATATGGCGTCGATCTGTAATTAATTGAGCCAGGACAGGAAATCAGTGATCAACATCACGAGCATATTTCATGGAATGGGCACATTTTTTACATTGCGACACTAGCTACGGCGTACGACTTTAAATGTACCGGAGCGAGTGCAAGCACGAATACGGTATTTTGAAAACAATATAAAACATGCATGGTCATGAACATCATTCTCGAAACAATTTGATTTTTGCAGTCTCTTTTGTAATGACTGACTGACTGACTGAGTTTGGTTTTACGCCGCTTTTAGCAATATTCCAGCAACATCACGGCGGGGGACACCAGAAATGGGCTTCACACATTGTGCCCATGTGGGGATTCGAACCCGGGTCTTCGGCGTGACGAGCCAACGCTTTAACCATTAGGCTACCCCACCGCCCCTCTTTTGTAATGTGTACATACGATTATTGAATGAGATCACCGCACTTAAATACTCACTGTGTGTGTTGTTTATCGCCCCAGTCAACATTATTCCAGCCTGTAAATAATCGATCCTGTCCCAGAATATCAAGTGATTGATGATGTCATGAGCAACGTCCCATGACGTCTGTGTATGATAATCTGATATAGTCCCACAATTCAATACATTTTTAGTAGAATTTTATGACAAGCTCAGGATGTTGGGAATATAATGTTACTCGGATTTCAGAACGAAAGAGTTTGTATACAACTATGCATTTTCCTGGAGTTTCATTTGATTCTGTTTCTTGGTTGCAGCTCTGACAATCAGCGTATTCTCATTTCTTATAGTGTTGTATATAACACTAGCAGTGCTAATATACCGTCCACATCGTCGTAGACGTCAACCTGCTCAAGTCATCACAGTGGTGGGGGACGACAACGCTGCAGATGGACCTAGTGGAGATGGACGACCATCAAGTGCACGGAAACCTTCCAGCAATGAACTCCACGACGTTCTGGAGCCTGAATCTTGACACGGGTCTACATCCGGGACCTCAAGTGCCTGCTACATTCCTTGATTTCCCTTTCGCTAAGATCATTCTGTTATGATCTCATGTCAAACAATAACACTCTTATCGTAACTTGAAAATACGTCCACCCAATTTCAAGGGAAAATGCCGCAAATGTACTTAACTGTGTTCCCTACCAGCCAACGATATCCAGAATTCTGATTTTCCTTCGTGGAAATCTTACAGACACTCAAAAATGCCATTGTGGTTCAAAATGTGAAACTGATTCTTATTATTTTCACGAATGACTTGGTATACCAAATTCCGTTCTCAATTATTTCTGAAATTTCAGAAAGTGGTGTCATCTTAGATACTGATACACGTATTTTTGGTAATGTAGGTCTTTCAAAATGAAGTTATTGTATGAGCTATCCGTAAATATATGATATATTTATTTTCTCCTTATCTGATTCTATAATTGAAAAAACGTTTTTTACAGTTTACATCATATATATTGAAGACGTTGACAATATGTATAATGTATTTCCAGACCGGGTCCGAAATGTAATATGTACTTCTTCCCCTTCTTCTTCTGAGTGTCGGAGCGTAGCGCGGGCGCAACAGACCCAACGAGGCAGTCTGTGTTGCATGGCTAGGGCTTATCTGATTCTATTATTGTAAAAACGGTTTCTACAGTTTACATTATATATGTTTAAGACGTTGATAATATGTATAATGTATTTCTGATTCTATTATTGTAAAAACGGTTTCTACAGTTTACATTATATATGTTTAAGACGTTGATAATATGTATAATGTATTTCTTGACAGGGTCCGAAATGCAATATGTACTTCTTCCCCATCTGAATTGAATTGAATAAAACTATGTTGTAAAAACTATTACCTTATTGGATTCGACTCAAATTGAGAGTTCAGAAGCCGTTTGTTCTGGGATCCAAACTTTCCCGACAACCTCTGTTAAGAACCAGCCTGGTTCCCTGGGTCCGTTGCGCCTGCGCTACGCTCCGACACTGAGTGCGTAGCGCAGGCGCAACAGACCCAGCGAGGCAGTCTGTGTTGCATCCTCGATAACTCCAGGGTATACGTTTCAACTTCCGATAACCCTCCACACGTATACCCTGGAGTTATCTAGGATAGCTGTGTTGGGAACATGAACATAAATACGTGAGACGATTTCATTGGGAATGGTTATCTCCTGATTAACGAGTGACGCATATTGGAAAGAACTGTGGGTTGAACTGTAAGTATTATGGTTTTGATTTTACTGTAACATTCTATAATAAGGGACCGTTCATAATTTATGGCTAGGGGGGATGATGATGATTTTTATGGAGAAGCATGTACAATGTGAATGCCCCCTAAATGTATGTACAAAATAAGTGACCCCCACATGTCATGTACAAAATCAGTGACCCCCTCCCTTTCCATAATTTCTAGCATTTCTAGCATAATTTTAAACATATTCTTATGTACAAAATTGCTGACACACCCCACCCACCTCATTACGTGTGTACAAAATTGTTGACCCCCTTGCTCCCCAGAACAAAGTGGATGACCCCCACCCACCCACCCTTAAAATCATCATCATCACCACACCACCACCACCCCCTAGCCATAAATAATGAACGGTCCCTAATACAATTATCATATTCTATAATAACTGTAACGTCTTCTTATCTGATGAACTCTGTTAAAACATCAACAGTTGTTGGTTATTATCTAATATTAGTTAGTTTGTCATTTGGTATATTTGGCCTTGATTACTCACCAATAACTAGCAGGTATTTTTCCCACTGTTACTCAATCACACCAGTAGGAAAGAATAAGGCTTGTTTTATGGAAAGCAGCATTTACGAGGTTGATACACCAATCAAACGTCATGCCCTCGTTGTGCAGAGTTATGCCGTGCCAGGACATCAAGAGTGAGTGAGTATAGTGTTACGCCGCTTTTAGCAATGTCACGGCGGGGAACACCAGAAATGGGCTTCACATATTGCATCCATGTTGGTAACCGAACCTGGGTCTTCGGCGTGATGACGAACGCTTTTAACCACTAGACTACCCCCACCGCCCCTAAGGTCGTCAAGAGGTCTTCCAACATTGTATGATCCTTGGGGGAAACAAATAAGGGAGCACCACTTTATGGCAGTGTTCCTTTATTTATTCTCAGATTTCCTCCCACAGCGCTATTCAAAATGAAAACTGGAAAATATTAAAAGACCGCTTGAGTTTTCTTGCGTTCCTTTTTTTGTTTCTCTCAGTATATGTAAGCTTATAGGTCTTCTCAGTACATGTAAGCTTATAGGTCATATATCATATAATTATCTACCATACGCGGAGGCGACGTGTGTCATTCGTTAGGGATTTCAGCATCACGGTAGTTTTATAAGATCGATACGAGAATGATCTCTACGTGTACATATAAACATGAGTCAAACATGCAGAAATATTGTATCAAAACAAAAACATCAATTACTCGTGTTCCTAACATCAATGATAAGGTTAGTCAACAGTTTTACATAAAGGCAAGTCGATTTTGTTACGAAACACTTCCTATATTTGAGACTTTGTAAAGAATGCTGCGTTCCCCATTATGCATCGTGATGTAAGCAAGTCACTGTTATACTTGAGATGCAGAACAGAAGTTCAACTCTTAGGAAACCCTACAATATAATATGATATTTTTTTGTTTGGTGTCCAGGAACGGTGGGTGTAGCTAAGTGGTTAAAGCGTTCGCTCGTCACGCCGAAGCCTAGGTTCGATTCCCCACCTGGGTACAATGTGTGAAGACCATTACTGGTGTCCCCCGCCGTGATATTGCTGGAATATTGCTAAAAGCGGATTAAAACTAAACTCACTCACTCTTTCATGACCAGATATTTGACAGGTCGTGGCAACTCATATATTCTGGGGACAAGCTCAGTAGTATACACAATGGGGCTACGGGACCAGGTCCTCCTCAAGGGCTCATTTTTTTTTAAATTGAGCCCTTGGGAGGACCTGGTCCCGTAGCCCTATTGTGTATACTACTAGCTGAAGTGGTAATGATCGCTTGGTTTCAAGAGGTCTCATTAGGACGCAGCCTTGTGTCGAGGGAGAAACAATATGCTTTTTGCATGCACGATTGAGTAAACACGACTTCAAAGGAAACTGAGTCAATAAAGACAATGTCAATATGTGGGTTTATAACTAATTGCTTCTTTTTTGCCAGGTATGTTTATTCATTAACATAGCGTAATGGTGTCTTCATCCAGCCTGTTGAGTCCAGTAAGTTTCATAGCTCGGCATATGCAAATTTTACTAATTGGACTCAATCTTCTACTCGTGGAAATCTGGGGCCGGGACATGCACCGCCAACTAGGCTTTCTATGTCATCGGCGGGAGTTAGAGTTGACAAGAAGCAGAGCAGAAAGAAACTGAAGAATTCGCAAGAAAAACCGAAAGAGAAAGTTTTCCGCTGAAAGAGTGAGTTTGGTTTTACACCGCTTTTAGCAGAGACACCAGAAATGGGCTTCACACATTGTACCCATGTGGGGAATCGAACCCGGGTCTTCGGCGTGACGAGCCAACGCTTTAACCACTTGGCTACCTCATCGCCCCTGATTGTGGTAGGGTTCACATGGATCAGGTAGTCTGTCACTCGGTTATCTTTTAACCAGCCGTTAAGTACATTTAACCGCCTGTTAACTAATAACATCGGGTTATCTTGTTGTTCAAAACTCTGTTAACTTTTAACGGGATGTTAACGTGACGTTAAGTTAACACACCTAAGGACCGCCGCTAACTTTTTAACAGTGTGGTTAACTCGCAAAATGGCGTTCATGGCTAACGCTGCTTTCATGATGCCAGTTCAGCAAAGAAAGGATAGGGTGTATCGTGGACTGGCTTTCCATATTGGAAATTATTCTGACGAAGAGTTACGAACACGCTACCGATTTGGGATAGTATCTATAGCTTACCTTTGTAATATTTTGCAAGGTGATTTGCAGCATCCGACAAACAGGGTCACGCACTGACTGTGGAACAACAAGTGTTAGTGGCAAAACGTCATATTTTAGTACATGTATATGAAGCGCCCATAAAATGTATCTAAATAATTTCGACTGTTGTTTCTGTTCACAATGTACCTGAAAGTTTTAAATTTGAATTCATATATATAAAAGGCAACAATGAAACAATTTGCCCAATTATTTGAAAATGTCATTAGTATAGGCCTACAGTTAATATGTAAGAAAGAACTTTTAGGAAAAATCAAATATAAGGATGATATATTATCTACCTATATTTCATACCAAAATATTAATGAAAGAATTCAGCCATAATTAATGTTAATACACACAAATAGTATCTGACATGCCCATAAATAGGTATTCTAAGATGCTTAGCGGTTAGAACAATCGAAAAAAGAATACATTATGAGACAATAAAGGTATAGTTTTTTGATGACGTAACAATTGAATGACGTTTTCCCGTCACTGCGCCATTCTAGTGTGCCCCCTCGTAATCGAATCATTTTACATTACGTCACAATGTAAGTGATGTCACGATGCATGTCAGTTGTCATCGCCTCTTACGGCCTCCTTCAGTAAACTACTCCGTTGCATCCCGTTTCTTGGTTTGCAGTTGCTTCACGCAGCTACCATCACTGGTGGAAACATTACGTTTATGTTTTACGACGGTTAAAATGTCTCAATTCGACTCACAAGTTTTCAGCGACACGGTAACGTTCGCAATGTTTACATTCCCACAATGCAATCGTGGAATGTCGCTTGACTACTCAGCTTCATCTGGATGTACTGATCTAAACTTACGTTGGTAGTAGAAATGCGACATTCATATTGCCCCATATGGTTTACGTTAATGACAGATGTAATTAAAATAATTCAGAGAAGATATTTAATCCGAACGTAAACCGTCATCAAACTGTTATCATTTGTTTTTTTCTGGTAACGTTCGTCTTAACGTAGGGGGGCAGACACATCAATAGAACAGCGCACCAGTTAGCCCTGTGCGAGGATTCTTAATTTAGGTTACCGACACCGTCATTTGTTTTCTGCCTTAGATTAATCGTAATTATCCTTAGAAAGTATTAAATTTAGCATCTTAGAAAAGATGTAAAGTTCGCTCTACCCAATGTGTGTTTTGTAATAAAAGTATAGTTTTGCCCTGAACTATTATAACATCAAAGCACTCGGACTACCGTCCTCGTGCTTTAATTATAATAGTTCAGGGCAAAACTATACTTTATTACAAAACACACTGGGGTAGAGCGAACTTTATTTCCTGAATAATTTTGATTGATGTCCCCTTCTCTGTGTATTCATCCTTCAACTTTATTTGCTAAATAAAGCAAACAAAAGATTAATTATTTTTATGTAATCTTACAGGAAAATTCACAAACATTTGTGCCAAATGGCCCGGGGCTGCTCGCGACAGTCACATCTTCAGAACCTCGTCACTCTGCGCACTCATGGAGAGGACCTCTGATTGCTTCATTTTGGGAGACAATGGCTACCCCTGCAGACCATTCCTGCTGACCCCCTACCTCAACCCACAAGGACGACAACAACAACGTTACAACGACTCTCTGTGAGCTACAAGGGTCACTATTGAGAGAACGTTTGGTCGGTGGTAGAGACGGTTTCATGTTCTCTACTCTGAGGTACAGGATATGTTATAAATATATATGTACTTAATGCTGACTATTTTATGACTTATTGTTACCATGAAGAAAATTTCAGATGTCAAGCTATAATTTTGAACAATGATAATCGTGTTAATGTGATATTTTGAAATTTACAAATAAAAATTCAACTTTAAACAAATTCTGTGTTCAAAGATCCAATGAATAATGCCAGTAAATTATTCTTTGTAAGGTGAGGATGACCCCCAGTCGTGTGTGCCGTATTGTTGTTGCCTGTGCTGTTTTGCACAACATTGCCATCTCCATGGGTGAACCTCAGGATGAGAGGGACAACGGGGACGACCAACCACCCATTGATGCCTACGCAGGACGACATGACGGCAAAGGCATACGTGATCATGTGGCTTCCACATTCTTTGGACACTTACATATGATAGTACAAATGTGGTGTACACCGATATGAGAACTGTTATACTTGCATAAATTTGAAACGTAATGAACATGGCCTAATTTCATGAGATATCGCATTCTTATTGATAGTTTTGTACATATGGGCTGATATGTTATCTGTATATTTTATGTACATTTGTAGAATACTTGTTACTTGTGCAAATACCGTCGGGCCGTTACGTATATATGACTAAATCCTGATGTAATTTTAATTTCAAAGCACGTAGACAATCGAAAAGCCCACAATTCGAAAGAATAACTTGTAATTATTGTAACGATTCTTTTGAGGATGAATGCCATGTACTATTGATCTGACCACGCTTTAATGAAGTAAAATAAAGGCATGTACCTGGAAACCCTACTTATCAGAAATCTATCATGTTATACCATCTGACAATGTATATATTCTTATAGACTTCATTCACAAGAACCCAACGTATTAATTTCGGGTACATCGGTCATTCTTCAAAGTGAGGGTCCCAATTGGATCACAATTGGTCAATAAAATTGCTTGTTGAAATAGTAAAGACACGTCATTGTACAATATTGACAAACTTTATCGATAACAACTTCTTTATTTCGATATAGACCCTTGCACCATTGTCAAGCAGGACTGTACTTCATAACTTCATAACTGAAACGTTATTCACATCAGTGTAGGTTACCATAATAAAGTTTCACTAATTGTGACAGTTTTAATACTCATCCATGCACCTGAGGTGGTGGGATATTTACACTCACTAAATAATGTCAATTTGTACAGTTGGGTATATATATAGAACGCTTTGCAGAGACACTAATCAATGAGAGATGTGTTGGCCAACCATTGACACTAAACACAATGATCAGAAAACAGACGCTATGGAGATTGATAAGCAATCTTTGTCCTTGCAGCTGAGTGTCAGAACGCAGTCACTGAATCGTCGAGCTATAAATATTGGATGTGGGAGTGGGGTGTCAGTCGAGGCCTTAGTGCAGGGAGATATAGTCAAAGGACGGTTAGTTGAAAGCCTTGCCATTTACACTGAAAAACAACATTAAATTTCAGGCTCCTGCAGTGATTAGAAGGAAGGAAGTTTCTGGAAGAAAACAAGCATCCCAAAACAGAGATATTTTTATTGAAACGGAACCATCATGCTCTGAACTTTGACGAAGTATCAAAGCCATTGAAGGATTTTTTTATCGAGAAGAAGTTTACGTTATATCAAGTTTTGAAAACATTGACTTAAAATGGTGTCAATGAAAGAGCTGTTCTGGCTATGCGGGGCTGCGGTTTTGTTTGTGACTGTTGCTGCTAATCCAACTTCAAAAGATGTTCAAAGTGTCCTCAACCTTCTACAGAATAAGGTTGACCGTCGTCTTCGGCCAGTGTCAAACCAGTCTGAACCAGTTGATGTAACCTTGACCTTCCACATCCTCACAATCACCGGCTTTAATGAAGTGGAGCAGAAGTTGTCCTGTACGGGGTGGTTGGACATCTCATGGAAGGACGAGTTCATGACGTGGAACGAGACTGAATACAATGGCACCAGACAAGTCTATCCGCCCTCGGACTCGCACTGGCTTCCTTTCCTAGCTGTGGTCAATTCCTTTGAAGAGATGCGTCCACTAGGACAAAATATCATCATCACCAAAGCGTCTTCTGACGGCATTATGCACTGGTATCCCGCGGACTCATTCATAACAGCCTGCACCGTCGACATCAGCAAGTACCCGTATGACACCCAGACATGTGAGATAGAATTCTTTCCTTGGGGGAGATCATCTGAAGATATCATTTTGAAGGTAGGGGAAGGTGTTCTCCTTTATAATTACCGTAAAAACGGGGAATGGGAACTGAAAAAGGTAGATATGTACCCGATGATGAAGTTTAACGGCAATGACTACATCTCTATGGTGTATGTCACCTTCGTCATCCAACGACGCCCTGCGTTCTTCATCCTGAACCTCATCCTTCCCGTCCTCCTCCTGTCACTGCTCAACGTCCTCGTGTTCCTCCTACCGGCTGAGTCAGGGGAGAGGGTGTCCTATGCAATCACCGTGCTCTTGGCGCTGGCAGTGTTTCTAAGCTTCATCAGCGACAACATGCCGAAGACAGCGGAGTCACTGTCTGCACTGTCCGTCTACTTGACCACCATGTTCGTCATCAGTGCGGCCAGTGTGGCTGGGTCGATCTTGACACTCGTGCTCTACCACAGAGACCGGAAGAGACCGATTCCAACATGGCTGACTCGCCATATAAGCAGACGACAGAGGAAGACGGCCCCCATTTCTGGAGCAGACGGTTCACAGAAGGAAGACTGCCAGTTTCCTAAAGGTAAACAGACAACCTGGGCTGATGTATCAATATATATTGACAAAGTCTTCTTCTCAGTCTGTATGTTGGTGATTGTTCCCGCCACCACCTCACTCATGGTCCGTATATTTGTATGAGGCAATGGATCGTATCATTAAAGGACATTTGACCTCATGTTGTAGAGGACATTTCCAAATTTGACAAAAAACAATATGTCTGATCATTCAAGAATGACTATGGTCGACAGGCCAAAACGTTGTATTTACAAGATTCATTATTTGCTGGAAATGTTGTGGTGCTCAAAAAATACCAATATGAATGAAAATAATTGCAAAGAACATTTTGTGTTCGTTTAAAAAAAATGGTAAATTTTACTTTTATTGCAAACATTCCCCAAATGATTTTTATTACGGTTACAACATTGAAAGCCTCAATAAAGATTTCAAATTTTTTATAATTGATATGTGGCGGATATGTCCCAATCTGACATGTAACAAATATGTCTGATCGTACAATGGACTGCTTTAAACAAATATTTCTAATGATTTTGATGTCACTTTTATGTGTACGTCATGTAGCTTACATATATTTGTACGCCAAGTAGCACACGTATATTTGTACGCCAAGTAGCATACGCCATTTTTACGTCAGGTATCAAGCGTTTACGTGTACGTCACGTAGCATACGTTTATTTGTACGTCATGTAGCATATGTATATTTGTACGTCATGTAGCATATGTATATTTGTACGTCATGTAGCATACGTTTATATGTGTACGTCATGTAGCATACGTTTATCTGTACGTCATGTAACAAACGTTTATTTGTATGCTAGAAGCATACGTAAATTTGTACGCCAAGTAGCATACGTATATTGGTACGTCATGTAGCATACGTTTATTTGTAGGCCAAGTAGCATACGTATATTGTACGCCAAGTAGCATACGTATATTGTACGCCAAGTAGCATACGTATATGGGTACATCATGTAACATACGTTATTTTAACGTCATATATCAAACGTTGACGTGTACGACACGTAGCACACGTTTATTTGTAGGCCAAGTAGCATACGTATATTTGTACGTCAAATAGCATACGTATATTTGTACCCCAAGTAGCATACGTTTACTTGTACGTCATGTAGCATAGATGATTGCTAGAAACAGAGTCCCATTTATCAAGCACAAACCGAGGTATTAAAATAAATAGTTCCTGACAGTTGGAACGATCTTGGCCAATCTAAAATATCTAAAGAGTGTGAGTCATCCTCGATTATCCCGCTCGTGTCCAATACCAGTATATGCCTTTTCTATTGATAAATACCCTCCCTAGATTCAGTCGCCACAATGGCTTCGTGCCAGAAGCGACCAGTTCTCAACTACGGACTGTCGTTATTTTGTGAGCATCTCAATGCGAGGTGGATATAGATCTACATTTCAACCAGTATAGTCATCAATATATTCTAATCGATATTCGAATCAGAAGAGAGTTACAAAGGAATGTTTATTAAATCCATCTGTAAAAACATATCAGTAAGACAGAAGACCGTTCCTTTGCTGCAAGATGTCCCAGTTGCATTTGAGAAGGCAAGAAAAGACCTCGTTTATGTCAGTTATGGGGAACTGTGTTATTTGTTGGCACACCTGGGTTCTCTTGCGTATTGTCATTCGAACCAATGTTGTGGCGAAGACGAATGGATTCAGGGTATATATCGTGTACCAATAGAGAGGGGTTGAGAGGGAGATGATCAGGGATGAACATGAGTCGTTGTGGCGTACAGAGAATGGATTGGGGGTTTTGGGGTTGTTGTTTTTTGTTGTTGTTGTTGTTTATTGTTGTTGTTGTTGTGTTTGTTTGTAGTTTTTTTTGGTTTGTTTGTTGTTTTGTTTGTTTATTATTTATTTTATTTTATTTATTTTATTATTTTATTTATTTATTAATTTTTTATTTTTTTATTTTTTTTTATTTTATTTTTTTTATTTATTTTTTTTATCTATTTATTTATTTATTTTTTTTTGGGGGGGGGGGGGGTTCGTTTGTTTGTTTTGGGTTTTTTGTCGCAATACAAGTGTGTGGGGCAGGGCGAACAGTTTACAGGGTGTCCGACCGAAGCTACCAGCGGAAACGGAGAAGTGAGGCTGACACTTGGGCAGTAGATGGTCTGGACTAGGTGGTTAGTGTCCGTCCCTCCTTGTACCTGGCTTACACTCCTGCTGGTCTGTCCACGCTCTGCCTCTATTTGCCCACTACCCCAGCTGTCCATGGCTTAACCTATCCTGTCGGTTATTAAAGGCGGATGAACGACTAACAATCAGTGATATAATGAAATGTACACTAACTCAGTATATTATGATTTTGGAAATGATAATAACTATTCCGTGGTATGCCCTAGAGACAGCATATTTAGACTGACTGACTGAGTTTAGTTTTACGCCGCTTTTAGCAATATTCCAGCAATATCACGGCGGGGCACACCAGAAATGGGCTTAACACATTCTGCCCATGTGGGGATTCGAACCCGGGTCTTTGGCGTGACGAGCCAACGCTTTAACCACTAGGCTACCCCACCGCCCCACATTCTTAGAAGATTGTATTTACCAAGTACATAATAATTGTATGTTAATAATTATGTATTCATTGCAAACTTGTCCAAAACTTATGATTTATATAATATAAAGCAAATGTAATCTTTGTCTTACACTGAATAAACAATACCTCTTGAGTTTCTTTAAAACGCACTAAATTACTAAAGGACAAAAACAAAGGAAACAGATGACGTCATACAAAGGGTGGAATGACGTCAGATGTCGGCGCAATTTAATTTTGGGCGCGAAGATCAATATCTGATGTGTGTACCATGTTGAGAGATACATGCACGGTATCTACACGGCACTCTGTTGATTAACTTGCAGATGGTACTGTCCGTCAAACGCGAAGAGCTAACCATATGTGTGCCATATTAACGGGTGCTGGGTCTCTGGCGTACGCTTTTTTAAAGAAAATACCACATAAAATCTATGAGGGATACAGCGAGGCAGTTCATTCGCCTACTTGTCGGAGAACAATCTGGCACAATGTGGTCTGATTGGTCATCAACTGAAATTTCCTGCCAACAATTCAAGCGAATGGTAAAACGACAGGGCGCACAATTGCAATTCTGGCTGCTTGAAGTCCATTCACAATAAAGGATTAGCTCGCCGTTCATGTGTGATACAGTTGATTTGTTTCTTGTTTAACGCCGCACTCAGCAATATTTTGGCTATAAGATCATAGTCAACAAGTATGACCCTCACTGCTAAGTCGCCAAAAAGGTTTTCTGTCACAGGACGCCTTGATTTCAGACGGACTACATAATAGTCTAAACAGTATAGGTGTTACAGTTCGAATTCTCCATCAATAACGAGCAGATCAGAATCTTTTGCGAAGTGCAAATAATCTAATGAGACGATCTTGTCTAGGTGTTGTTTGCTTAGACCTGCCATTAGGGTGTCAGTTTTTACTGTACAGCAACGAGAACAGTCGGCGGGGCAGGTCACAGGCACTCTAGCACCTTTCGGGAACACTTGGTAGGGGAGTGGTGGGAGCAATGAGTCTCTGGCGGAAAGTCATGACAGAAACCTATGTGGTTTCATAAACTCAGTTCCCAATGATGATTTGTCTAGGTTTTCCAGCGCCATACCCATGTTAGCGGGTTTCGCCAAATCGGTGTAAGACTAAACCATATTTACACAGACACACCGCGATATATAGAGGATACTAATCGACCTTCCGTGTAATACCATTTTTATTGAACGAGTTAATGATTTGGTGTCAAACGAGCGAAAGCAAGTTTAATAAAAATGGTATTTCACAGAAGCGAGTTTAGTATTCCGTTTATTACTCTCCAACATAAATTGATAGAAACTGCCAACCATGTGACGACTCTCATTGTGACAGAGGTATATTAGCATACTGCAGATATTTACGGCAATATTACACTAGTGTAATACCACTAGACGTATGACGTCATAATGGTTTACAGTTATGACGTCACAATGCTAATACCTCTGTCACAATGGTATTAGACCTTGCTTGACTCACAGAAAGCTGAGAGTCATCACACTACGTAGGCAGTTTCTATCAGTTTATGTTGGAGAGTAATAAACAGAATACTAAACTCGCTTCTGTGAAATACCATTTTATCAAACTCGTAAAAGATTTAGTATCAAACTCGCTTTCGCTTGTTTGATACGAAATCAATAACTCGTTTAATAAAAATGGTATTACAGAGAAGTCCTTTAGTCTCCTCTATATACCATCCAAACGTCTTTGGGTGGCATTTAGAAGTTGGTGTGATGAACAACGGGAAAAGTTCTACATACAACTTCTTTATTATGAATGTAAGCGGCGTTCCATATTATTAAAAGCGGCATAAAACACGGCTGACCTCTCAACAGTGAGTGAGGTTAGTTTTACGCCGCACTTAGCAATATTCCAGCTATATGGCGGTGGTCTTTAAATAATCGATCGCTATTTAGGAAATAAAGTTCGCTCTACCCCAATGTGTTTTGTAATAAAGTATAGTTTTGCCCTGAACTATTATAATTAAAGCACGAGGACGGTAGTCCGAGTGCTTTGATGTTATAATAGTTCAGGGCAAAACTATACTTTATTACAAAACACACTGGGGTAGAGCGAACTTTACATCTTTTCTAAGATGCTAAATTTAATACTTTCTATGGATAATTACAATTAATTTAAGGCAGAAAATAAATGACGGTGTCGGTAACCTAAATTAAGAATCCTCGCACAGGGCTAACTGGTGCGCTGTTCTATTGATGTGGCTGCCCCCCTATGTTAAGACGAACGTTACCAGAAAAAAACAAATCATAACAGTTTGATGACGGTTTACGTTCGGATGAAATATCTTCTCTGAATTATTTTAATTACATCTGTCATTAGCGTAAACCATATGGGGCAATATGAACGTCGCATTTCTACTACCAACGTAAGTTTAGATCAGTACATCCAGATGAAGCTGAGTAGTCAAGCGACATTCCACGATTGCATTGTGGGAATGTAAACATTGCGAACGTAACCGTGTTGCTGAAAACTTGTGAGTCGAATTGACACATTTTAACCGTCGTAAAACATAAACGTAATGTTTCCACCAGTGATGTTAGCTGCGTGAAGCAACTGCAAACCAAGAAACGGGATGCAACGGAGTAGTTTACTGAAGGAGGCCGTACGAGGCGATGACAACTGACATGCATCGTGACGTCATTACATTGTGACGTAATGTAAAATGATTCGATTACGAGGGGGCACACTAGAATGGCGCAGTGACGGGAAAACGTCATTCAATTGTTACGTCATCAAAAAACTATACCTTTATTGTCTCATAATGTATTTATTTTTCGATTGTTCTAACCGCTAGGCATCTTAGAAATGGCTGTAATATTGCCGATGCGATTTAAAATTTTTACTCACTCACTTACTGTAAATAATCGAGTATGGACCAGAGAATCCAGTTATCAACAGCATGAGCATCGATTTGCGCAATTGGGAACCGATGACATATATGTCAACCAAGCCAGCGAGCCTGACCACCCGATCCCGTTAGTGGCCTCTTGCGACAAGCATAGTCGCCTTTTGTGGGAAGCATGGGTTGCTGAAGACCTATTCTACCCCAGTTCTTCACGGGTCACAGAGACCCAGGGGGTTCCAGGTAGGGAAATGGAGGCTCGGCAAGCTATGGCCGCCGTCAGGGACGACTGAATGGATCTGGTGGTACGGCTTATATGATTGTTGCCTGGCCTCGTATCCCAACCGTGTGGATCGATGACCATGATAGAAATTGCTGAATTGTCGTACAGACGCGATTATTTACAGACCGCTGTAAAATTGCTCGAATATTGCTAAGGGCTAACAAACAAAGAACTTACCATGTCCTATATTAGACTAAATGATTTTGTTATCAATTAGTGCGTCTCCGAAAGACAGATCTATAACCAGTATTGAAGGAACATAGCGTATGTACTGGAGAAGACAATAGCCCCGTCTTTCTTGATGGAGTGAGAGTGAAAATTAACTCTTTTCGTTTAAATATTTATAGACTCAATCTTCAATGTAGTATTAATTACATTTAGGTCCGTTTCAATTTCAAACCATTCTGGGAGGCTGGTGGTTCGACCCCTTTGAAGTAAGAAAAGAGTTATTGACTCGAGCCAACGCTCTCCGACTGAGAGGAAGATGTCCATGTCGTGTGTCCTTGCTGATTATGTATCATTAATATCCCAACGTCATGGCTGATGAGACAATGACAACATGCCTACTTTGCCTGTTTATATGTACAATCGCCCAGACGTCTTCTCAGCTTGCTCATCATATCCACCATTGGTGCACCGTCAATCCAGATCAAGATGAGACAAGGACAACATGCCTACTTCGCCTGTTTATGTTTATGTACAATCGTCAATACGTCATGGTGGCCGCCTCCTTGGTGTAGTGGTTAGAGCGTCCCCCCGGAGAGTGGAAGGTCGCAGGTTCGATCCCCGACCGCGTCATACCAAAAGACGTTAGAATTTGGTACTTGTTGGTCCCTGTCTGGCGCTCGGCATTAATGGGTACAACAAGGACTGGTCGGCTCGGAGTCAGTATAATGTGTCTGAGTGGGGTATTCATGCTTAACTGCGGCATGGTATCTCAGTGAGCTAGCACTATAAAACCAGCTTCAGTCTGGGGTAGTACAAGCAGCCGCACATACACATACACATGCATGCACGCGGTCATATCAGCGAAATATTCTCAAGCACGACTTTTACCTCACCTCACCTCAATACGTCATGGCAGCTTGCTCATCATATCCACCATTGGTGCACGTCAATCCAGATCAAGATGAGACAAGGACAACATGCCTACTCCGCCTGTTTATATGTACAACCGTCAATACAAATACAAACACCAGGAGAATGCGAGTACACGTCAGTTGATCATGGCTAAGTACACATGGTGCACTTGCCTTGCGACAACACGCAATAATCTTTGCATGCGTCACACACGTTCCTCGTGCTGCACTTGACGCACCCTGGGGCACAGCCTGCAAACACAAAAAACATAGGTACAGAAGCTCACCCTTATAGTGAGAGTGGGTGAGTGTGGTTATGCGCCGCTTTTAGCAATATTCCAGCAATATCACGGCGTGGGACACCTGAAATGGGCTTCACATATTGTACCCATATGGGGAATCGAACCCGGGTCTTCGGCGTGACGAGTGGACGCTTTTACCACAAGGCTAACCAACGACCCTTGACCCTTATATGTGTTGGTTTGGTGGTGTTATCGCCGCGGCATAGCAATATTCTAGCTATGTGACGATGGTTTATAAACAATTAACTGACTATGAATGCGCGTGTGCGTGTGCGTATGCGTGTGTGTCCGTCCGTGCGTATATCCATTTGTGTTTGTGTCCGTCTGTCCGTCTGTGTATCTGTCTCTCCGTATGCCTCCAAGTGTTTGTGGCTGTGATTGATGCGAAATATATCGGTGTCATATAAAACTGTTTCTTCCAATAGCAAAACAACAAATATTCGGAGGGAATGAGCTTCATGTTTCCTTCACCTAACATTCAGATATGATATTGGGGGCTAAGAAGATGTGAGTCCTGACCTGCGCAGAGAAGCTCCCCTTCTTCCGTGTGCCTGTACCAGCCATCTGGACACAGGGGACCCTTAGTGCAGTAGTACTCGGGCTCCGTCCTGCCAGGGAACAACAGTAGTGGTAGATATATCTGCTCCTTGCTCGAGTGACTTGAGAGCGCACACGCACACGCGCACACGCGCACACTCACACATTGTATTGTGGACAGTAGATATATAGCCTTCACACTTTGTACCCACACAGGATACCCGTTTAGTTCGGGTTAGAATTGATCTTCAGCAACCCATGTGTGTCGTAAAAGGCGACAAACGGGGTCTGGTGGTCAGGCTTGCTGAGTTGGTTAACGCATGTCGTTGTATTCCAGTTGTCGATGCTCATGCTGTCGATTTCTGGATTGTCTGATCCAGATTCGATTATTGACAGACAGCCGTCATAATTATAGCTGGATTTCTGCTGAGTGAGGCGTTAAACAACAAACAAAGGAGTAGAATTCAGCTGCGTTTACTTACACACTCTGAGAGACCAGAACCATCACACCTTTATAATCCTGCATGCCGAAGGAGAAACCAGAAGACCGGTTGAAGTGCTTGGGGTTAAAGATGCGCACATATCCGTCTGCGCACTGGTTACATCCTTGGTTACCGAACGTCTGGACCACGTGACACGGGTGAATACAGTGGTCCACTTCTTTGGGACATGGTGCTAAACACGATGAGAATAGTTATAGACGAATAGAAATGTAACTGACTTTGAAAATCAGTTCTTGGTGTCCGTTTACATAAATATGGCATTTGGTGTCAATGTATTGAACTTGTCTTGTTGGTTGTGTAAAGCCGCGCTCTGCAGTAGTCCAGCGGTATGACGGTTGTTTTTAAATAATCGAGTCTGGACCAGACAACCCAGTGATCAACAGCATGAGCATCGAAAACAGACTCAGTTGGGAAACGATGACATGCATCAACTATCAAACGAGTCCCATCGATCCTGTATGTCGCCTCGTACGATTGGCATGGGTTGCGGGGCGTGAAGATCTTGGTTAGAATCGGTCTTCTGTAACCCATGCTTGTCGTAAGAGGCGACAGACAGGATCGATAGGACTAACGGGATCGGCTGGTTGACACATGTCATCGTATCCCAACTTTATAAATCTATGTTCATGCTGTTGGTGACTGGAGGGCCTTGTCAAGACTCGATTATTTACAGTCTTCGGCGTAAACAACAAACAAACATGGGATGCTTTAGACAGTTCTCATCCGGATCTTAACGGGGAAACTAGAATTGGGTTGCAGAAGAACAGCTCAACCAGGGTCTTCACCAGTTACAACCATGAGTTGCTGAAAACCGGTTCTAATCCAGATCTTCACGAGGGACAACCATGACTTTCAGAAGACCGGTTCTAACCCGAATCTTCTTGGTGGGGACGTTTGTAATATCCGACTCGTCGTAATATACAAGGGAATTCCGGGTTTAGAATAGTTTCTAGTGACATGTTGGACATACTATTTCTGCGTGAATCAAATACAAAACAATAAATAAAGGGACCGATGTTTTCCTGTATTATAATATGCGATCTACATTCTATAAACGAGGGCGAGTCGGGGCGAGTATATCGGTATAAAATTAGGGTAAGAGTACAGACATGCGTGAGCCTGTAATAGAATATATACATCGAACTGAATCTTAAATATTTGATTTAAGAAACGTTACGTGTAAGTCGTCGGAAACAAGATAGTGCTTGCGTGTCTTACCTTGTCCATGAACAGCTATGGTAAAGCCGACAATAAAGACAAAAGTCAAAATCATTGCTGACTTTTTGGAACAATTAGACCATGAGCTTGTGACGAGGAGGGTCGAGAAGAGGACCCATGCTGTCAGCAAATATATTTCAAATTATCGACGTCATATATCGAGCGAGTTTGGTTTTACGCCGCTTTTAGCAATATTCCAGCAACATCACGGCGGGGGACACAAGAAATGGGCTTCACACATTGTACCCATGTGGGGAATCGAACCCGGGTCTTCGGCGTGACGAGCCAACGCTTTACCCACTTGGCTACCCCACCGCCCCCGAACGTCATATATGCTTCTGTGTGGTTCATTAGATTAAATATATGGGATATTTGGTGTAACAGTCGCTGTCTGTCACTACAATTTTAAACAAAACCATATTGATCTTGTAATATATATTCATGTACAGTGAAACCCGGGTAACTCCAAGGAACCATGGCTAAAGTTGCTACTGACTGACTGAGTTTGGTTTTACGCCGCTTTTAGCAATATTCCAGCAACATCACGGCGGGGGACACCAGAAATGGGCTGCACACATTGTACCCATGTGGGTATTCGAACCCGGGTCTTTGGCGTGACGAGCCAACGCTTTGACCACTAGGCTACCCCACCGCCCCAAAGTTGCTACTTATCGGTATTGCCACCTATCCATCCAAGCAAGTTGTATCACATTTCCAAGTAAAGTACATCTGGGAATTTGGTGATGGGCAAAACAGTGTTTGTGTATTGTTTAACGCCGATATAACTGTTTAACAGAATGGGAATAATAACGTCGGAGCCAGACAAGCCAGTGGCTGATATTATGAGCAATACATATACATATATACATGCAATCGGTGGATGTCACCGAAACTGTCCACGTGCTCAGTTAGTCGCGTCTTAGGACCAGCAGAGCTTTCTGGGGACCATTTCTAACCCGGAATCTCCACTGGATGCAAACTGGCACTGGCAGAGGTTCTATAATTTTCAGGAATCTGGAATCCTTATTCAAAGATCCTTTGCAATTAAAGAACATAGATGTATTTGGAGGTAGTGCATTTAAGACAATTAAATCAAGCAGTCTTTAATTTCTTTATATCATTCACAGCAAATCGCAGATGTCCATGTGCTGCTTAAATCCCACAGCGCAAATTAGATGGACCACGTTCCTCAAAGCGATCGTAGCGCTGAGATGATCGTAACTCCCATAGACTTACGACTGTCGTAGCGCTACGATCGCCCTGAGGAACTAGGCCCTGGGTCTAGATTTTTGAAGCTCTCGTGGCGCTAAGATAGTCGTAAGTTACTGTTAATGTATGGCACTTACGACTATCTTAGCGCTAACAGAGCTTTGAAAATCTAGCCCAGAGCCTAGATTTTCGAAGCTCTCTTAGCGCTAAGATAGTCGTAAGTGCCATACCTTAACATTAACTTACGACTATCCTAGCGCTAAGAGAGCTTCGAAAATCTAGGCCCTGGTTCGGTAGCCTAGTGGTCGATCCAGATGTACATCGGGTTGCGACATACAGAGCAGTGACTGATTGAGTGAGTTTGGTTTCTCGTCGCTTTTCAACAGTATACAACAGTGAGACACCTGAAATGAGCCTCACAAATCTCAGTGTGACGAGCCAAAACTCTATCCACTGGGCCACCGTACTAGCAAACGAAGCCCCGATGAGGAAATACGGTAATCGCTCGGTTTAATGAGTTTTGTTTTTAAAACTGAACAAAAGGCCAGTGGGTGGACTCCAGCCTGTAAATAGGCAAGGGTTTTCTTCCAAACAGATTTTGATGGTTTGCTATTTCAATTTTAACGCTGCATTACCATGACATCGAGCCTGACCACCTGATTCATTTAGTGGTCTCTTCCGACAATTCCCACCGGATACAATGACCTACACCAATGTCAGCTGATAGGATAACACACAGTACGATATCACTACATGTATCCAGATCCCAACCATTTCATCCGAATATTGCAGAACTACAAAAGCAACCAGTATGCTTGTCACACACATCTAGAGCCTCAAGGTGAGTTCTGTCTTGTGAGATAAGAACACTGGGTCAGACATGGTAGCGGAATTTCTGGGATCGCGTGATTAACATGGCTGCTAAACATATTTTCCTGTTTGCTTGAAGTATTCTGGCAGCAGTCTTAAAGCTATATGGCAACTACCTTTAAGTAATCTGGGTCAGACAACCCACTAGCTTTGAGCAATATTCCAGCAATATCAGGGCAGGGGGATACCAGAAATGGGTTTCACACATTGTACCCATGTGTGGAATCGAACCCGGGCCTTAGCCGTATGGAGCAAACGCTTTAACCACTAGGCTACCTCACCGACCCTGTACATATTAAAAGGTCCACAAAGACTTTTAAAACAGCACTCAGCAGCATTAAATATTCAAGTTTTTACTCTCAAATCGCTGAAATCATTAGATGCTCTGGCTCTCAGCCTGTGGTCATAGACTACTAACATACTGTTCTCAATAAAGCTGGTGACATCATATTGCTTCAGCTTCCTTAACACTGATTATACCTTTTTTCAACGTTTTCATTATTTAAATGGAAATGACGAAATATACAACAACCTTCTTGAAACTCAGACTTACACATTCTCTGTCCCTCATGCATGAATACTCAAGTCCCTTCCCACTTCACTTTTGTTTATGTTTTAACAAGAGGTGAAATGGATTTCAGCTCGGTATATGAGATATTATCATTTTGCAGAAAATTGACAAGAGCTAAACCTTACAGAAATGCATATATTTTGACAAATAGAAAAGGTTAAGAAAATGATGGTACAAAAACCGAAAATACCTAATTTTTTTATTGCATTAGGGTATACTGAACCGAAGGCAAAATACTGCGGTTCTACTAATACTGCGGTATACCATTTCGCCCCTCTTTTTAAGGCTGTACTCAGCAGTATTCCAGCTATATGGCAGATGTCTGTAAATAATCGAGTCTGGACCAGACAATCTAGTGACTGACATCATGGGCATCGTTCTACCCATATGGGTGAGGTGAGGTGAAATTGGGTTTTACGTCGTGCTTGAGAATATTTCACTCATATGTGTATGTGTATGTGCGGTTGCTTGTACTAGCCCAGACTTAAGCTGGTTTTATAGTGCTAGCCCACTGAGATACCATGCCGCGGTGAAGCATAAATACCCCACTCAGACACATTATACTGACTCCGAGCCGACCAGTCCTTGTACCCATTAATGCCGAGCGCCAGGCAGGAACCAACAAGTACCATATTTTAACGGGTTTTTTGTATGACGCGGTCTACGCATATGGGATAGGATGACATGTGTCAACAAAGTCAGCATGTCTGACCACCCAATCCTGTTAATCACCTCTTACACAGTGTTCGAAATAGCCACTGGCCCACTAGCCCGTGGCTAGTAAAATCCAGTCGGGACAGTAAATCTCCATAGTCACTGGCCCGAGTGGCTAGTGAATTTTCATGGAGTCACTTTGTAAATACATGTATAATTGTATATCACTCTCTCCGACTTGTTAAGTTATAATACACTTTTAAATCATGCAAGATTATGGCCTGATAAAAATGTTCATCATATTAGCAGCTTAATGATGAAACCCGTGGTTACATTCAAATTTCGGGCCAGTATATAATTTTGTGGGCTAGTAACTTTCAGGCATAGCTAGCCTATCTGGCTAGCAAAATTTGGAAACTATTTCGCACACTCCTCTTACAACAAGCATGGGTTGTTGAAGACCAATTTTAATCAGGATCTGTACGGGTCTATCTGATCAGAGAGAAGCAGCTGTGTACTTCTTCTCGGGTCTAAATACCAAAGACATAAACTGTTGTGAAAATAGTTATTTAATCACCCAGTAATTGTAAAATCACAAAAGCATGTAAACAAAGTATATCTGGAATATATGAGTATCTACACTGCAAATGTTAAAACTCTGAACACACAAAAGAGCATCTTGTTAAAAAAACATCTGACAAATAATATATGTAAAATGTGTCACATATTTTTAGTCGACATATATATTTGTGACCAACATTCTTCTTACATTATTTCTACAGATCAAGACATTCACAGTAATAGAAATCAAGTAATAATAATCATATACATTATCATGACCTTAACGGATGTGCCAAGACATCTCATACTAATTTTCGAGATGCTGAATTATACTCAAATACAAAATAAACTTACTTATCAAACTACTACTAAATTCACATAAAACAATTCACATTCCCTTCACCATGTACAAATTCATAGGTCCACTTTTAATAATCCCACTCTTCGAGTCACACTCTCGAATGTCTTTTTAGACTCCCTTGGAAGTATACTCCCTAAAGTTCCTTATTTGGCTTTAAAAGGTTTCAAGTCACAACAAAATCTCATCATATTATCATCATGTTGAGAACTTTCACATCTCGCTAACTCCTTTCATTGTCTTTCATCAATTTGAGATGAAGATAAACCAAGTGTGCCCTATTTGTTTGTTTGTAGCTTGATGTAAGGTATGTACGAGAACGTAGGACCACATCTTTCAAAGTATGTTTAGCCTACAATAGTTTAGTTACCCCTTGTATATTGGTGAATTACTTTGGATTGCTAAAATTACATAAATCAGTGAGTGAGTTTAGTTTTATACCACTTTTAGCAAGTTTCCAACAATAACGCTCCCGGGGACACCAGAAATGGGCTTCACACAATGTACCCATGTGGGGAATTGAACATGGGTCTTCGGCATGGCGGGCAAATGCTTTAACCACTAGGCTACCCTCCAGCCCACGTTATCGGGGCGTTTCAAACACTGTACAACTACACTGGAACTTGTTCCTGCAGTCACGCACACATTTAACAGAAAGAGGTTATTTGTTACCAAACAATTATTGAAAAAGAGACAGAACAGATTCTGCTCTTTAGACAAAATATGCAACATATTCTATTGTCATGATCATGTTCATTCTTTCCTTTTGACTAAACAAAAGAAAAATCTAGTTCTAACAAAATTTGATCTACTGAAGTTTAGATGTTTGGATGCAGTAATCATAAAGTGTTCTGATAAGAGTGTTCATAGTCTGCTTCCACATGTTTTGTTGTGACGTGTTACAGGCTTGTCAACCTCGTGGCTTTTTCACTGGGGGTTGTTTCTCCTTCTCAGTTCCAAGAACAGCAGTGTCTATCTGCCACAAGTCAATATTCTTGGCCTTGATAGCATTCTGGTGAACAAAACAGAAAATAACATCATGAAACAAACACGTCATACTCAGGTATATAGACACATCTTATGTTCTCTCATTAAATAATAAAAAGTGGCAACAATCTGCAAACACTATTTCTGTACTGGCTGCTAACTGAAGTAATATGATGGCGGGCTGTAAATATTTGACCACAGACCAGATAATTCAATAATTGATTTCACAGGCATTGACCCATGCAATTAAGATTCAATTCAATCAACCAAGCCATGAGGCTAGATCACTTGATTCATTTAGGTTGCTCTGGTCCAATATTCTTACCCAGAATCCCGCCAGGTGTGAAATTGTAAAATTCTGATAATTTCATAAAGGGGAGATAACTCTTTATCATTTCAACAAACACAGATGCCAACCTCACAGATGTGTAATTTTTAGAGAATGTTGATTTCAAACTCATATGTGAGATAAAAGCTGTAAGATGGCATCATTTCCAGAACAAACACTCCATAGAAAATGGACAGGGAAAGAAACCTTTCAAAATTTCCCACTAGACCACAGGACCAGTGAGTGGACAATAATTAGTCAGGGATTTACCTTTAGTCCTGTATTTGAGGGCCCCTGGGACTCATACTCTTAATTTTCAGGGGTCCTGGACAACAAAATTGGGGTCCAGATACTTTATTATTATCATTAATACTGTTATTGTATTGTGTATCATGATCATCACTTAATTATTACAGTAAATAAATTGCGTATGATACCATAACTCAGCTAGTAGCAAACTCAGTGATAACTTATTGTTAGTTGATTGGAATTTTTACAAAAAGTATTTGGACTTTTACTGCATCCCTGTGGATGCGCTAATAAATTTTGTTGCATCCATTGTCGATTTTTATGTGTATAGCACGCACAGGAATTCGCGTCCTGTAAATCCCTGATTAGTGGTCCTGTCTGTAATTCACTGGTCCAAAGTAACATTCGTAGATTTACTTAACTATCAGTACAAAATTCACTGGCCACCAGGACCACTACAAACTTATCATTTTGCGGTCCTGATGAAATTTTACCAGCCAGGGACCACAGGACCAGCATACATTTCGCACACTGAATGGATCCATGGTCATAAAAGCACGGAGAGGTAAGACACTTGATTATTGAGGATGCAGCCAACTGTAATAGTACACACCCTTTTACCAGCAGTGTTTGTCTGCAGCAGTCATCAAGTGTGCTTGTGCTATATGACAACAACCAGTAAATAATTGAGTCTGGACCAGACATTGATTGATATTGTAAGCAATGATCCACTTCATTCAGGCACAATGGCATCCATTGCAATTAGCCAAATCACTGAAGCCATAGCTCTTGATTCAGTTGGTTGCCTCTTAAAACCAGCATCAATTTGGGACCAAATGATTCATCAGTGTTACAGCTAGGTATTAGTGTTACCATCCTCTATATCCCTACAGCTCTCATTTGATTAAGAACCGCTTCCGTGGTGTAGTGGTTAGAGCGTCCGCCCGGAGAGCGGAAGGTCACGGGTTCGATCCCCGACCGCGTCATACCAAAAGACATTAAAATATGGTACTTGTTGGTCCCTGCCTGGCGTTCGGCATTAATGGGTACAATAAGGACTGGTCGGCTCGGAGTCAGTATAATGTGTCTGAGTGGGGTATTCATGCTATAAAACCAGCTTAAGTCAGGGCTAGTACAAGCAGCTGCACATACACATACACACACATGCACGTCGTCATATGAGCGAAATGATCTCAAGCACGACGTAAAACACAATTTCACCTCACCTCATCTGATTAACCCGTGGTTATCACAGCTGTTAGCAGTTACCTGCCCTTTGTTTGGGGAACTAAAGAATCAGCATTGACATCTCGTAACTCACAGGGGCAACTTTTTTCAGTGAAAAGCTTTTGTTTTGCAATTGAGAGCTATCATCAGAAATGTTTTAATAAGGGCCTACATACTAATTGACCTGGTGCCAATTCAACCCAGGAAGAGACACTGTAATTAACTGTGTCGTTAGCTACAGCTGTGAACTACCTCAGTAATCATCAACTGTTGGAGTGGAATACATCATGCGAGTGAGTGAGTGAGTGAGTTGGGTTTTACGCCGCTTTTAGCAATATTCCAGCAATATCATGGTAGGGGACACCAGAAATGGGCTTCACACATTGTACCCATGAGGGGAATCAAACATGGGCCTTCAGCGTTATGAGCAAACGCTTTAACCACTAGGCCACCCCACCGCCCTCAGTGTGCTAGACATAAATCAAGTTTGTTTAAGCCTGCTCTCCTTTTGACAAGGGTTTAAAGGCTTGTTAATGGCTTGTTATTCTGATAAAGCTGGGTTTTATTGGACACAAAATAATGTGACCTATAAAACATATTAAGAATGAATGCAAATAAGTTCAATGCAATTCCTGGGTGATGCAAAAATTTGGTTGTTCATTAACACTGACCATAAATGTAAAGTGCATGTTTAACATTAACATGCATGGCATGTCTCCTCTGGTAGGAAATACTCTGTGGTTAGAATATAAACAGTTAATACCCTCAATCAAACATTCAAACCTCCATCTAAACTAAGGGATCATTCATAATTCATGGCTAGGGGGGTGATGATGATTTTGAAGGGGGGGTCACCCATTTTGTTCTGGGGAGGTAGGGGGTTATACATTTTGTACACATGTTGTGAGGGGTGGGTGGGGTTCAGCAATTTTGCACATAGTATATATGAAAAAAATATGCTTAAACATTATGGTGGGAAAGGAGGGGATGGGTCATTGATTTTGTACATGACATGAGGGGGGGGGGAGATTGTACATTTGGGGGGCATTCCCATTGTACATGCTTCTCCATAAAAATCATTATCACTCCCCATAGCCATAAATTATGAATGGTCCCCAAGTCTCTGACCATAGGTGAGGTGTCACTTTCCACACTATTTCTCTGTATCAGATGGTGACACATATTAACACAGTGCAACACGACATATTTAGCCAGGGGTAATATCAAAAACAGGTACAAAGGAAACATAGTTATATAAGCACCATTCTAAGGTGTTGGTTGTACTACCAGGAACCATATATAGGATTATATTATCATATGCTCTCTGGTTGATGAGTGAGTGAGTTTAGTTTTTGGCCGCTTTTAGCAATATTCCAGCAATATCAAGGCAGGGGACGCCAGAAATGGGCTTCATACATTGTATCCATGTGGGAAATCGAACCTGGGTCTTTGGCACACAAACACTTTAACCACTTGGCTACCCCACCACCTCCTTCTGGTCGATGAATCATTACAGTATTTATGTAATGATTACAGTAAATAAACTAGCTGAAGTAAAATTTGTAACAAATCAGGCTTCATCAGAGGACACAGAACCTGATGCAAGACAGTAATTTCTGTAATCGTCCATAAAGGTGACCTGGGCGTGTTAGTTACTTCTAACCATGCTAATACCTTAGCAACTGGTGGAGGAGCCTGTCTACCTGTTGAGCCTTTCACAGCTCTCGGCTAATCCCAATTACTTTTCTGCATAAATACGGCTAATTAGCCCAACTGATTGACTTGTGTGAGCCTGTTATCCGGTGATAAAGGATTTAGAATAAACATGATTGTTTTCAGTGTTTTCTAAATATTAGCAATAGCATTACCTTCACACAGTTTTGATATACCCGGAAAAGCGGAGCACACTCGTCCTCCTTCTGTCCTTTCAAGAATTTGTCTGAAAACCACTTATTAAAACAGTCATCGTAGGCCTTCTTCAGGTCCTGGCATTCTTGACCCACGCTGTTCATGATTTTCACATTTCATCAGTCGCCACACGTTTACCCCCGCAGTGCAAAAAGGAAGTGACGTCAGAGCAGAATGTGGATTTCCCCTTCTATTTTAAAACATAAACACGCCGGGCGTCAATCCGTTGATGGCTGTCTGCCGAACTACGCTCATTTAGCATCGACTGTATGGGCACAATATGCAAAATATTACAGTTTGACGTTGAAACTTCTGTGACGTACAGCTTCTAGTTCTTAACATTTCGGCAATGAAGACTGGTACCCTGTCTTTCGCCTCCTTGCGGTCGCTTACTGTGGCGAGGAGCGCAACCGCTTGAGGTCAAGAAAATCAATCTAAACATCTTCCTTGTTTATGTTACAACTTCCTGTAAAATAGTTATTGATATATTTTAATGCATTTGTGATTGATTTTTTAATTATTAAGATTGATTGCAAATGTCACATTCCCTTTATTGTATTTAATTAAATGAAAGTAACTTATCATTTGTTTGAGTCCCAGTAAGCTGGGCCCCGTCTCACATATCGCAAGGTGGGCGCGCGCAAAGCGAGCCGGGAACCAGCTTACAGGGAACCATCACTATATTGTGCAGAGTTGTCTGCTCTTGACGAGACTGGAAAGGAAGAAGGTGGGAGAATAATAATACATTGACCATGATACGAAATTCTGCCCTTTTGTGCCAGCGTTGCTTGCGTCTCTCGAAGCCAGCGAAACGTCGCTTTGCATCGAAGGTAGTTTTATATTGTTCCCATGCATCTAGACATCATCTTCAGCAGCTTGATTTTTGTCTCAGGCACCACAATGAAACATTAATAAAATCACCTCATAGTCATATTGTGACCAGAAATTGAAGTCCATGTTGTTCATGCTAACCAGGAATACGAAAACGTTTAAAGGCACAGACACAGCGTTTAAAGGCAGTGAATAGACATTTGTCTATTTTTTTTCTTTGACAGTTTGATGGTAATACCCAGGAATCGTTCTGAAAAAAAAAATTGATTAAAGATATAATTTTATGATCTAAAGTTCTACATATGTATTTTTAATGTTTGATATTGTTTTTAGGTTCCTGAAAATCCAACATGGATTGAAATAGATCCAAAGAAGTTGCCAGAGGTGAGCATTTGTTCTAGAATTTACACCACAAAAAGTCTGTTACCAAATTTGCTGTTTGTAAAGGATATGGACTTTGATTGACTCATAAATACATGTTGATCTTTCAAATTCACCCGTCCATTTTTTTTATGTCAAAACCTACTGAATCAGATCAGATTACACTCACCAAATAGACTGCCCAAAATGGGTTCAAATATATGTAATTTTACTCTTTCAATATCACAAACATGAGATATAAACGTAATATCCATGTTGACATAGTGTATCTGTTGGTGCAGGTTCCTAAGATCAGCAAGGAGTTGGTGGAGCAGTTGGAAAGACTGTCATTGGTTGAGTTCACTAATGAAGAGGGTATCGCATGTCTCTCCGCTGCTATCCAATCTGCCAACATTCTCTACATGGTGAACACAGATGGCGTCGAACCTCTAGACACAGTTCTAGAAAACAGGTACCTTGCTATTAGTGTGCGAAATAGCCACTGGCCCCCTAGCCTGTGACTAGTAAAAATCCAGTCGAGCCAGTAAATCTCTACACAACTGGCTAGTGAGTTTTCATGGGGTCACTTGTAAAAATATCACTCTCTCCAACTTGTTAAGTTATAATACACTTTTAAATCATGCAAGATTATGGCCTGATAAATATTTTCATCATATTAGCAGCTTTATGATGACTTACTTAAAGGCCGGGGCACAAACCTCCAAATCCCCCCATGTGTTTCCAAATAGTTTCCCATTTGCTACTCCTCAGCAGTGAAGATGTTATCAGCCCGTGAGTGACAAGACTGTAACAGCTATGGGTGCCTGGCAAGAGCCTGGCGATGTCAAAGGTTATCCTTGGAATTTACTACTAGAATAAACATATGCCTTAGGGATGGGGGCATTTTCCCAGCCTGCCTGAAATATGAAACCCTGAATGAAACATTTCCCCCACTCATAGGCTTGTTTCTATGGAAATGCACCTCCTCTGGCCACCTGACTTACACAGTGGGAAATTCAAATCTGGATTAAAAATGAGAAATATATTTTAAAATGTATGTTTTGTAGACTCTCTGCATCCATTTATTTTTGCTGTAAGTCTTCATAACATACTTCTTTATACTATGACTTAATATCAGCCTGAACCGGTGAGTCAGTTTTGTGATATTTCATTGAATGTACTTGAATACTGCATTGCTTTGCATCAAAAGACAGCTTTGACACCAAGGAGGCCACACCCCATCGTGTGTATAGGTTTGAACCCCGGCCTTTAAGTTATTTGAGCATAAACAAAATATTTGAGTGTTTTCTTATTTGTTTTGGATGGTATTTTACCTTTTTGTAATCTTTTGCTGCATTCAAATTTCATGCTAGTGAATTAGTTTGTGGGGTAGTAACTTTCAGGCATTGCTTGCCCGACTGCCTAGCAACATTTGGAAACTATTTTGCACACTGCTAGTGATTAGTATCAGTTTGTTAGTTGACCTTATCCTGCCCAAAATAACTCTTACATAGTTATTGTGGAGGAAGGGTATAGGAAAACAAACATAGTTTCTAGTTTCTGTTATGAAATATTTGTCCTAAAGGATTGAGTTTCTCTTTTGTGATGACATATATTCATCCACAAGGGACAGTCAATCTGTATTTTTAGGGCTCCTTGTCTCTAGGCAGGAGACCTATTTTAATCATTCGGATTATTATTATTATTTATTATTCCGCCAATTTTTGTAACAAACATACCTCCTAAACTAATGCTCTGAATCACTTACAAAAAATCACACAGATGCCCACCGAGGTGAAGATATTCCGTATGTACGGATATAAAATGTGCAAGATACGGTAGGAAATAATTTAGAAAACGTAGCAGATACGCACTACAGCAATGGTGTATGGTCTTAGAATCATATTTATCTGAAAAAAGTATTGTTTTTTAGTTTATTGACCTGTTTACACAAGAGTATCAATGTTGTGGTGCATATATAAAACGAAACACAAGATTAGTGATACTCCATTAAATTCCATTAAGTACTCTAAATGCACTCTAAGATTTTCCAGTACTCCTGCATTGAAACATTAAGGAGTACGTACTCCTGATGTTGAAAATTTATCTGGAGCCCTGGGAGATAATTCAAAATTAATTCCAAAATTTCAAAGTTTGACAGCAAATAACTACAAGAACTTATTGTTCCAACACTTCCAAATCTCTTGTACAGATGCACAATCGGAATTCCCAACAATCTTGCCTGGACAGGTCAAGTCGCTAAAATGTACCATTTGGCAGTTATTTTTGTTTTCAGTTTTTGGCCATGTTTTTCAGCAGTTTTCTGAGTAGTTTGCTCCTAAAATGTGCTGAGCTCGAACCATCAGCTCTAGACATTCCAAACTTTCCATAACTGATGTCCAGTAACCATAGTGAGAACAACTGAGATACAGCCTTTTAAAGAGGGAACTATTTCTTCTCCAGAATTTCTTAAAAAGGTACATGATCCCCGCTCGCCTCTCAAAAACGTGTTCTGGCTCCGTCTTGGACGATGACTTCCAGCCCTCAAATACAATAGATAGAACTAAGGCCAAGAAGCCCTCATCGTTTCTTGGAACTATATTCTTGTATTGAATTGGTTATAAAAACATTGGAATGTAGCTTGTAATGTCACCCTACATAAACACCTCACTGAAATCAAAGTGTTGTTCAGGTTATATCAGTATGTTTCTGTGGCAAACATTGGCTGACATCCTTTTGTACTTCTCTAGGGGCTGTGGGGTAGCCTAGTGGTTAAAGCGTTCGCTCGTCTTGCAGAAGACCCGGGTTCGATTCCCAAGATGGGTACAATGTGTGAAGCCCATTTCTGGTGTCCCCGTCGTGATATTGCTGGAATATTGCTAAAAGCGGCGTAAAACCCAACTCACTCACTCACTTTTGTATTTCTTTCAACAATGAAGTATTTTGCTTACCGTTTGTTTACCAATCACCAATGAGAAATATTGGAAATATGGAAAACCATGTCACATTCAGTTAATTGATATTCTTGTGGGTGCTTATCTCTTTGAAATACAAGCTATGACAATTTGGTTCCAGAGAATTGTATCTACGAAATGATGATGTCACAGATGGCAACTGCCGAGATGACATACTCTCCAACGCAGTTAAAACAGAAGAAGAGTACTTTGTTGCCCCACCAGGTAAGTACGTTAAAGAGGGCAGTAATTAAAGGTCATTTACTGCAGACATGGATACCGTACCAAAGGGATTACGTAGATATGACACATTACAGAGTGCCACCAAGTGTCGTGAGATGTTGAAGTAAATATGTTTCATATTACACAATTTCCAACACTGTTCATCAGGTTTCTTTGTAAAATGAATTGCAGCACGTTGTTCTAATTCATTTGTCGTTCCAAGAACACATTTTTGGACAATGGATATTCTTTTAAAATCAGTATTTGTAATTTCCCTTGGCAGAATTTGAAATAGATGTTTACTCAAAGGCCCAAGATGGGTTAAATTTAAGTCGGGCATGAAAAATTTGAAAAGTTTCCTGACCATTGGACGGGTAAATATTTAAACAATATCTCTAGACTTTACACTCAGGGACACCATGATGAGTTTATTTGTGAACTTGATTGTCAGCTTGTTGAAGTTGTGCATATAAAGTTGTTCTATAAAGCTCATCAAACATATATTTTCTGCTGTTGTAATTAAGTAAGAATACTTTCAGACAATGTTGATTTTACTGGTTGGTTTTCATTTAGGCTGGTAGGTCTTAAAAATTACCGACCCAATGGCCTGACATGGAATACTTGAATAATGTATGCAATATTTCCCCCTTTAAGTATTGATAGAAGTAGTTCATGAATCTATGGAGACAGGTTTGTCAACTGCTGCTATTTGGGAAGTTTAGGAACGTCTAGTTTTTTTCTGTTTTTGTTGGCAACAAGTTTGACTTTGACTCAGTTTACTGGGAAGTGTTTTCCAGACTAATTGATATTTTTTCATGAAACATACAAAGGCATGAATAAAAATATATTCCTGTCGGTACACAAGTATATAGAAACTACAAACAGATTCACCAGCTGATATAATATTATTGTTTCCAACCTGCTAATTATAGTTCTATCTATATATAAATGATATGCTGTATAATACTTGCAAATGTATGTGATGCACATTTTTTCACTTACCAGCACACTGTATATATCCTGTAAAACACTGTGTGTGTACATATATATCTCTCTCAGCACTGCATGTTTCCCCAATGTCAAACTTCCACTGTAAATTGTACATTCCTATTAACCGGTATTTAATAACATGTTCAACTGTATTTAAGAGAAGGCGACAATAAGTGGTGCATTTGTGCCTAATCCCGTTGTCTTTTGGACAATAAAATATGTTTAAACCAATCAAAGGCAAAGCTGTCATATGTTGCCTTTTACCACAAAGGGAGTTTTACAGTATTGTTTCCTTTCTTTTTTACAAAACAACAATTTTGACATTGACTCAATTCACAAGGATTGTTTTCCAGAACATACCTTAAAAGCACTGGTTTTGTTCAGCATGCACACACGATGACCAAATTCCAACCTGGTGTTTTTAACTTTTGAAGTAATTTCAATTCATAGTTACACCCCTGTGTACTTATATATATTCATAATTATGTATGATTATTCATAACTACATGTATATTCATGTTATTGTCACAAGATCACAAAGTATTGTGCCACATCATTAACTCATATCTTTGCTAAAAGGACAAGACATTCAAAGTTCAGAATTCCAATTCCATGGTATTGTGATTATGATTTAACAGTTGATGTTTTGTAAGAAAGTACCCTCAAATACTTCTGTGGTTCAGATTGGTTGTCATGGTATTCCAAAGTCTTGATGGGTAGTCACTCCTTCGGTCACTAGTTTGCATGGCTTTGAAGATAAGTAAGCTGTCTTGAATGAGTGATTTAGAAGCTTAACAGAATGAATTTTTAGGTTTGAGGGTGTTATTGACTATAGTTTGGCATGAAATGCATGTGGATCCGTTTTTTTGTAAATATCTCTTCATCCAATGACCCAATCGATCTCAAACTGTGCAAGTGGATGTTTTGTCAGACAACCTAATCACATTGTAAATCACCGATTTTATGCATTTGTATTAAAGAATCTGTCTATGTAACTGTGAACAAAATAAACAGCAGAACGCAAACTGCTTGCAGAGGGAGGGAGCCAATGACCTGTAACAGCGGCAGTGTTTAGCATTACATAGACAGATTCTTAATACAAATGCATAAAATCGGTGATTTACAATGTGATTAGGTTGTCTGACAAAACATCCACTTGCACAGTTTGAGATCGATTGTGTCATTGGATGAAGAGATATTTACAAAAAAACGGGTCCACATGCATTTCATGACAAACTATAATCACTGGTTAGAAATTTCTTTTGGAATGGATAGTGTTGGATTTCTGGTTTCAAATGTTATTTCCATCATTTAATAACCAATTTGTCAATAACAACTGCAAGATTAGAAGATATTATGCTCAAAAGATTGAAAAATCCTATATTTTAAGTGCCAGTCTATCCCACCAGTGGGGCATTCGCTTGTCATGACGAAGACCAAGATTCGATTCCCCATTTGGGTACAATGTGTGAAGCCCATTTCTGGTATCCTCTAACATGATATTGATGGAATATTGCTAAAAGTGGCGTAAAACCGTACTCACTCCCTCTCCCAACAGTTGAGACAGATACAATGTTTCTGTTGAACTTGACAATAAAAACAAATACACTTAAAGGGGAAGTGTACACGAAAATTAACCTTTTTGTCTTCCACTTTTTCATCGTAAGAAATGTTTGTCAAGTTGTTTTATAGCCAAAACAACACAGATATCAGAAGTAACTAATATATTTTTTGCGTTATACCAATTGAAAGGTTCCACATTAACCGAATGTTCTATGTCCACAATGAACACACCATGGCTTATGTCCCTTGGAAATGATGCCATTGGTGCCCAAATGATAAACGAATGAAGTCGTTAGACCTTATTAGACCCATTTCACGTGGTGCAGGTATAGGTGTGGTTCTTGTGTCTCGATGCGCAGGCTACTGTTTTAATCCACCTGTTGCCTGGCCGTCAGCTGGCTATGTGGTTGGTTCCACACTAGCTGTTACATTGTACAAAAAGTGTTACCACTTAACCAAATTGTATAACATTCAACCTGAGTCGGTCGTCTTTCCAATCAACTTCTTTCACCAAAACTCAGCGTACATATGCACAGCGTGCCATCGGTGAATGTGAAGGCATTCTGCTTTTGGTACATTCCTACATTTAAAGCGGATAATATATGTCCGTCCTCTTCAACCTTCACATTGGTGCCGAAACCATATCCAAAAACATCACAAAGATACGCACGCCATTTTGAGAAAGTTGCTTCCCGATAGTGATGTCATACATACGTCAACATTGTTATACATATTTGTTGTTTTCATTGAGGTGAGGATATGAATGAAAATACACACGATCATTTCTATGTTGCTGCTTACATTGTCAGTTCTAATGCTTCTTTCGTATTTTACATCCGTGTTTTTTCGTGATTAATGTCAGAATTTACATCTTTTGGCTTTGGGACTAGACTAGTCTGTCTCACAGTCCCTGAACCACATTATTTTCCCTACTGCCAAGCCCTCTCTGCAGTGCTAAAGCTCTAAATAAAGCAAGTCTAGATTTCCTCAGGTTCAGGAATCTCTGGTCTCCCTAGGGCTCCTTTTCAATATAAATGGGCTTGTTTGTTACTATCAAAATTATATATATTCAGAGACTAAGCCTTAGTCTAGGACTAGACAGGAGACCAGTTTAAATCAGCTGGCACCAATTACGTCATAATCAAAGGGCAGTAAATCTGGCCTGTTTAGCTCGGCAAACTCAGGCCTCATAATGGCATAACATTTCAGCACTTATAGTGCAGGTTATACACTCATTGTAAGAAATATTAGTGTATATTTTCAAACACTGATATTAAGTAATTAAAAAATTCCTTTTTGGTTCACATAAGAAAAAACATGACTTTTTCGTGTACATTTCCCCTTTAAGAAGAGTGAAGACTGAATGACTTCCAGGATCCAGTGTCATTTCAAGTGTCTAAACCAATTAGATTACTGCACAGGTGTTAGTAATGCAAATACACTGGCATCAAAGTGGCTTTGCCAGTTAAATATAGTGCTAGTATCCCGTTAGTATTTTCCTCCTAGCTACTGTTTTTGTTACGAGGTAGGGTAGCCCAGTTGTTAAAGCATCCACTCATGCTGAATACCCGGGTTTGATTCCCGCATGGGTGCAGTGTGTGAAGCCCATTTCAATTCAATGTGGGGGGAAAGCTTAAGTGATGCAGGTTTCAGATGTATTATTCTTCAGTGAACCTACAATAGTGGGTAGGTGCTGATCAATCTACAATCATGTTTAAGAGCTACCTGTGATCTAAATGGACAACTACTGGCTTCTGGCATGCAGCTTTTCACTGCACAGGGCTGGATTTAGTGCTTTGTTGCTTGCACTGGTGCAACCCAATATTACAAAGTGCAACCTGGTTCAGGTGCAAGTCAATTTTTGAGTGGGTAAACTTCTGAATAAAAAATCTAAATAATTCAATAGCTTATTTCTTACATTTCACATTGCAATGAAAGCAGTGCAGCTGGAATTTGGCTGGTGTAACTAGGTTTTTATCTTAGGTTGCACCTGGTGCAAGTAGGTTATTATCTCTTTAATCCTGCCCTGCTGCAGACAAAACTGGGACGAGTAAAGCTGACTGGCACTGAACATCCACTCTCTGGAAACCAAATGAGAAATGTTAATTAAAAGTATTTTTTACTTTCAGGAAATATTCCTCTGGAATCCAAGGACGAAGATTACAAGAAGTCACTTTCATGACACAGAGTTGATATTCCTGTGTAAGCTTGTGTTGTGTGCTGAATATGGACTGTGAACCATTTCTGTGGATGAGTGAGATCATATGTCAATCGTTGCTTACATGATTTGTATGACAGCAAGAAATAAAAGGATTTTTATCCCCCAAGTTCAAACAGTCTTCATTTGTATCCCATTTTCATTATGAAAACAATGTAGGAATAAAATAAACCTTATGATGTGAGGTCCTTGTTTTGTTACAAACAGCAAAAAGTAAGAGAAGTTTCTCTTCAGGATATTCAGCCAATTTGAAACCTCATCTTGTTTTGTCATGGTAAAGATCTGGATTTCTCGAAACAAACTTAAGTTTTTACTCAAATTTCAACCTGAGTTTGACAATTTGAAACAACTGCATTTCTAAAATCAAAAAGCCAAAACAGCTCAAGTAACCTATCTACCAAACTAAAATTGTCTGCTATGTTTGAGTTTACTGTCAAGTTCAGTTTATTATGGGAATGCATTTTGCTGCTTTTCTCAAATTTGAGTAAAAAATCTAACTTAAGTCAAAACTCAGACTTGAGTTTGTTTCGAGAAATCGGGGCCAGGTCTATCACAAGATGCCTGTTGTAAGAACAGCAGCAGCAGCAGCAGGGACCAGCAACATCCTGTGTTGGATATGGCTAATTGCAGACAGGTGAGCTCAGCTAGGCAGATATTGAGACACACAGAGTTCCGGATTATTGTACATACATGGCAAGATGCACAGACAAGTCCACATTGTTCCTGGTTTTATGGTGTTTACCATACAAACCCTAAACACTCACATTTGACTGCAAGCTAACCAGTCCCTTTATGCCAAGTTTTGCACACAGCTACAATTTCTAAACATGGACTGCCTGTATGCTACCAGTCCTTTTAGTCCTTTGCACTGTTGACAAAGAGGTGATCGATTTGCAGACAAGTATCAAAGTTGAAGAACCACGGTGTGTATGGGGACCGGTGAGGTGAAATGGGGTTTAACGTCCAACTTGAGAATATTTCACTCATATGAGTGAGTGAGTTTAGTTTTACGCCGCTTTTAGCAAATTCCAGCAATATCACGGCGGGGGACACCAGAAATGGGCATCACTCTCATATGACGGCGTGCATGCGTGTATGTGCGGCTGCTTGTACTAGCCCAGACTGAAGCTGGTTTTATAGTGCTAGCTCACCGAGATACCATGCTGCAGTGAAGCATGAATACCCCACTCAGACACAGTATAACGACCAGTCCTTGTACCCATATATGCAGAACGCCAGGCAGGGACCAACAAGTACCACATTTTGATGTCTTTTGGTATGACGCGGCCGGGGGTCGAACCCACGAGCTTCCACTCTCCGGGCGGACGCTCTAACCCCTACACCACGGAGGCGGTTGTGGGAACCAGTGACCGGCTTCATCTATTCCAATAAATCTGCCTTACAAGTGGGTTATAACCAAAAATTGTCCACAAAACTCATGTCTCACTAAAAGCACTGCCCACAGATGGTAAGTGGGGATGTTGCAATTCTGTATCGGCAATGAGTAACACCAGAAAACATGGAATTAATACATAGGCAGATCCAGTGAATCATAATATGCCACCTGCTGCAACGTATGTGTTAAATGCCGTTTTGGAATAAGCTCCCAAACTTTCGAAGTAGTTAGGCTTAAGTGACTGCCATTGTACCAAACCCATGGAGATCCTGGTTAGAATTATTGTTCAGGAACCCATACTTGACGGAAGAGGCAACTAACAGGATTGGGTGGTCAGTCTGGCTGACTTGGTTGATTCATGAAATTGTATCCCAATTGTGTTGATCGATGATCATACTGTTGATCACTACATTGTCCGGTCCAGACTATTTACCGACCCCTGCTATACAGCTGGAATGTTGTAGACTATTGCATTAAACAACCAACAAACAATTGTACACTGAATGCAAGAGATGTTGTTCATGATACCAACTGCTGAACTGTCTTATTAGTCTACAGATAGGTGCCAAAAGGCTGGAATGCTGGCCAGGAAGACTAAACATTGCACTCTGCAATATTCCTGCCATACGACAGTCTGAAAATATTGCACAAGTCAGGGCCAGATAAACCAATACTTGACATCATATCTTATCAAAGTAATGGATCCTGTATTTTCATGTATTGAGAAAGATAGGGTGACATTCAGTTCCAGCCTTTTATGTGATTGCATTCCAGCCATGCTGTTGGAGTGTTCTCGATGTACTTAAGTTAATCGAGTGAAAAACAACATAAAAATATAGATTTTAAGAAATCTGCATCCTTTATTTAATACAAACAAGACAAACATAAAACATCATCAGGGTGTAATTATCTTTAAAAATACTGTTGTGATAAGAAACTGAAGAACATTATGGTCCTGAAAAGCAACATTCAAGATGAGTGAGAGTAATGTGCCAAGTTTAGGGAAGTGGGAAAGGAAACAAGATGATCAACTGAAATGAGTCAAGAAATGGCTTTTGGATATTAGACTCAAACATTGTAAACAGGAAAACTTACCCATTGAATTATCCCACGATTAACAAATTTCCTCTCGCGCTGGCAGTTCCTGTCTAACTTACCGTTAACTTAATCCTAATTGAATTGAGTTGTGTAACATCCCTTTAGCTTCCAGATTCCATCCAAACGATTTTTATTGTGATCCTCCAATCTTCTGTGATTTATATCTTCATTCAATCCTGTTTCGTTCAGTTATGCATCATTGCTAAATTCAGACATGCTCTCCCAGTGACAAATATCAGTGAAAGAGCACATATCTGATATGAACAAAGGTACATAATTAGAACTAATCTTACCGCTTTCCTCCTGGCAGATGTTCCAAGAATTATAGTTCGATATCCTCTGCGCGAATCCTGATCCTATCCTTACATTTCGGTCTCCAAACTCTGTCCTTTCCTCTAATGTTCCTATGCTCCCAGTCTCCTTCCCTCTCATTAATAATCCTCATGCTGTCTGTTCCTATCCTTCCTTAAATTTTATCCAAAATCCATCCAGTCCACGGCAAAAATATCCTATGAAAGGATGGTAATGAAATCCAGTGAGATTTCAGAGCCTTCATCTTATCCAGATCCTCTTAAAACTATGATGAAAACAGGATATCTGTTAAAAGGATATCGTTTAGAATCCTACGATGGACATGGGCCTCAAATTTTTACTGTGGGTTTCCGTTTTCCTCCTGAAATCCACAGTGAATTCCTCATGGGTCCCTTGAGTTATCCACAGAGTATCCTCCTATTCTTTGATTCCAGAATACTTGAAATCAAGATTCCCAAATATGACCTAGATAATGGAAATCCTGATTTCATGTAATTTGATACTTTCAAAATCAGATTTTCAGGCAAGATTCCAGAGGCTTAAAATCCTGTCTAAACCATGATTCAAATGTCCTGAAAGATGGATGCCAATTTTTAGTTCTATTTCCTTGACCGTGTTATTCAAAATCCGGATTATTTTCCCAAACTGAGGGAAAATCCTATGTTCCAAAGCGAATTCCTACAGATATCCAGATTTTGATATCCTGATATCCTAATGAGCCGTGGGGAGGATCCTAAAGAGCCATTTCTATGTATCCTGTTTCCTCTCCTAATGAAATGCTAATCCTTCCCTTTGATCCGCGGATCCTACTCTCTCCAACGTAGTCAATGCATTATGTTTCCAACTGAACAAAAGGAAAAGGACAACACATATTAGCACAGGAAAAAAACAGTTCATGAAATTACTTTTCACAACACATAATCAGTTAAAAGTCTCTCTGGGCAAAGCAATTTGGCAATAGCCCCAGAGCTTGTACATTAGCTGAGTAGAAAATTATGCTGCAGCCTTAAGTCATTCCAACATAATTCAATTCAGGATAAATTTGGGTAGGCCATGATTGCTTCAAAATGTTTCACCTTACAAACTTGTGATGTGCTTCAGTGTCAATTTCAAACCAAACAATGTTTAGACCTTTTTCTCAAGAGAACTAGAACATGAGTGGACCATCACCATGCTTGAGAAATAGCTAAAAAGATATAAAATATTCATGCACAAAACACAGTTGGTGGCGGTAAAGCAGTTATAGTAGCTCAAAGTAAACCAGAGCATGGTCATTAGCAGTCATAAAAGCATACCATGCCTATTTTCTCCATGAGTCCTATCCAAAGTTCATAACTCTAGCTGCTGTCACTAGGAGAGGCTCGAGTTGTCTCCCCTAGGCCATCGTTCACATGACTACAGCATTTTTGTTTGTTAGCCTCCTAGTTCCTATTCAGCATCTGGAGAAGGAGAGATAAAAATATCAAGAATTGGACATTTAAAATGAGTTTGGCATTACATCAAGGTTCTGATCAATTTTTGGGGGCTAATTTGGAGGGCAAAAATGCTGATGATGCTATACATACAAACATAAATTGGATGAAATGATACATCATTGTGTGGCTATGTCAACAGTTTTATCATTGTGAATGGGTTAATGAGAAGCCATAGCTCAGTATGGGGAGCGTGACCTCGACCGTCCACGGGAATACGAACTTGATCTGGATCGCATTGGGGAGTAGCGGGGGCTGCCCCGGGATTGTCTTCGTGGTGAGAAGCTTGGGCTTCGACTACGAGACTTTCCACGGGAATCCTGCTTCACACGGATGTAGCTTGCTTCACCCTGCAAATCATGTGGAAAAGAGTTACTGCATGTTGTTTCACTTTATGGTCAGCAATATTCTAATGATAAAAAACAGCAACATGATGCACAAGATAATTTGTTAGCTTGCACTGGTTTGGTAACATTCTCCGTTAGATTCAACTGGTTCATTTCAGATCAAGTTGATTGCAACATAACAGGTTGAAAGAATAAACCATATGAGCTATATTATTACTAATTTGAAGCTGCATCACATTACACTGACTGGTATGTCATGGGCAATTACAAATATTCAAATTTGTGAGATTTTCTACTGGTCTTACCTCATGGGAGCGGAACTTTGAGTCATCTAGTTTTCTTACAGCATATTTCATGTCTTCCTTACGGAGAAACTCAACTACCCCTGTGCCATCTTTGAAGACATCAGCATAGCATACATCACCAGCCTCTCTCATGTGGTCCTTCAAGTCCTGCCAGCTACCAGTAGGAGGCAAACCTGGACAGTAAAATATTTTTGACTGAGGCACTATTTATTCAACTTATTTGTAAGAATAATCTCAACCTTCAATGATTTATTTATATGATTGATTTATTCATTATATGACAGATTCAGAGGACAATAAAATGTTGAAAGTTTCACAAAAACTGCATGGGTGCTTTCTTACCAGACACTAGAACTCTGTATTCTGATCTCCTTGATGGAGGTCCACCTCGCCTCCTTCCTCCGCCACCATCACCACGACCTCCACCACCGCCGCCACCCCCAGGGCCAATTCCACCCCTGCTCTGTCCTGGTCCTGTGCCTCTAGGAAATTCCACCCTCAGTGTGTAGCCGTCATAGTTATACCCATCTCTTTGCTGTACAGCATCTTCTGCATCTCTGGCAACAGAAGTTAGACATGTGATTATCCCATAGGAACAGGTTTAGTCAAAATTAAACCCTTTTGTTGGATTAGGAGACTGTCTTGGCCTGTAAAATTAATGGCCTGTAGAGGTTGGGTCAAATTAATTACAATGTAGCCAAAATTACCAGTCCTTTCGAAGTTCAGAAAGAAACTTGAGAATTCAACCGAGGGGATTGGTAGGCAGCAATTCTTTTTTTCTAGAAATGGCTATATAAATATTGTTACACGAACAACAGATGGGCTAGAACTCTGAAGCTTTATAGAAAGACAAAAGGCACTGCACTACAGCAAGTTCATGAATGCGTGTGAATATTCCCTGAAAAATAATTACCTACTCAATGAAACAAATCAAATTTTGAGTCAACGAACTTTTCTTTTTAACCACTACAGAGTACGATAACGAAACGAATGTGCATAATTCCTACGTATACCCAGAAGTTTGTCACAGTACGATAAATTGTTCTGCAAATTATGTTCTGTTTACGTAGCAAAGTGATACACATGCAGAACAAAAGGAAACAGCTTAGACACGTCATCGTGATATATGTAATAGCTAACAAGCAGGGCACATACAACATTTCCGCCACAGAGCTCAATGAAAATATTCCAGTGTTAATAATACATACCGCATAGTTAATTGTAAGGAAAATATTTACACGAAGACCAAGGCACCACTGTGTAGAGTTTTATGAAATTCCTTTTGAACATAGCATTGAAATCAAATGATAAACATGATAAAAGGACAAACAATAAATTGGGCCAATAAATCATACAAAGGTAAACTTTGGGAACACTAATTTACCAGTGAAATAACTACCTGGGATCGTCGAACTCGACGAACGCAAAAGGAGGACCTCGTCTGTTTTTCAGGTCGATGAAAACGATTTTACCATATTTATAAAACAAATCTTCGATATCACGTGTTCTGATATCTGGTGGCAGGTTTCCAACGTAAATTCTGCTATCATTAGGAATACCACCCCTGTATGCCATGATCAACTATCTGTGTTTCTCCTCGACCTCTCCTGTTCTAATATGGCCGTCCACGCGTCGTTTTCGCACTGAATTGTGGGATAGTAAAGGCATTCGGGACCAACTCGAGTTATTCCGAGACAGGCCGAATAGCAAGTAGCGGAAAGTGGCGAATGGCGAAGAAAGACGTGCGTTCGTGCGCGCTGTAAACAACATTTTACTGGAAACACGTCGAGGAAATGTTCCTGGTGTACTAAGTCCACGAACTTTGGGGATGGAATATATGCGGCTCCAATTTCCACTAATCCCATCCAAAACCAAACAACGATCACCCTAAATTAGTTTAAAAAGCAAAACAAAAACACCAATCATTTCAAATAATGTAAGCCCAATATAAGGACGATTATTGTTATTGAGACATTATTGAGAATGAAGAAGAGATTATGAAATCTCGGGCGTCACACTTCAGTAAGGTGGTTAGAAAACAACCGAGCTATGTGGACTTGTGAGCGAGTGAGTTTAGTTTTACGCCGCAATCAGCAATATTGCAGCTATATGGCGGCGGTCTGTAAATAATCGAGTTTGGACCAGACAATCCAGTGATCAACTGTATAAGCATCGGTCTACGCAGTTGGGATACGATGACATGTGTGAACCAAGTCAGCGAGCCTGACCATCCGATGTCGTTAGTCGCCTCTTACGACAAGCATCGGCTACTGAGGTGAGGTGAAATTTGGTTTATCGTCGTGCTTGAGAATATTTCGCTCATATGACGACGTGCATGCGTGTGTATGTGTATGTGCGTCTGCTTGTACTAGCCCAGACTGAAGCTGGTTTTATAGTGCTAGCCCACTGAGATACCATGCCGCAGTGAAGCATGGATACCCCACTCAGACACATTATACTGACTCCGAGCCGACCAGTCCTTTTTGTACCCATTAAGTCCGAGCGCCAGGCAGGGACCAACAAGTACCATATTTTAACGTCTTTTGGTATGACGCGGTCGGGGATCGAACCCGCGTCCTTCCGCTCTCCGGGCGGACGCTCTAACCACTACACCACGGAGGCGGTTCATCGGCTACTGAAGATCAATTCTAACCCGGATCTTCACGGGTATGTGGACTAGAGGTTGAAAGCATGAGCAGAACGATTCCGTGGGTGTTTATAAGACGTCGGGCTCCGACAAGCCCAGACTAACATCTAGTCTCAGAAATGAACATATTTACAGCAAAGAGCAGTACATAAATGTTAATAAAATACAATGAAAAGAAGCCCTTCATTTTCAGAGAAACTGTGGTAACCTAGATTTGCCACATATTCTAGACTTGCATGGGCTTTCTTGGATATATTTGTTTCGGGGCCTGTAAGACAGACTACGACAAACAACGTGGGCTCGTGACACTAACATTTGCTGCTAATCACTACGTTAAAAGAGAAGGTACTGTGCTGTATTTAACTGGAACACAAGTGGAGAAAGAACGAACCGCATGTCCTCTCGATATCCTGTAGTCTGTCTCACAGTCCCTGAACCGCATTACTTCCCCTACTGCCTAGCCAGCCATGCAGTGCAAAAGATCTTAATGAAGCAAGTCTAGATTTCCCCAGGTTCTGAATCACCCATCTCACTGGGGTTCCTTTTCAATCTAAATGTGATTATTTGTTACTATCAGAATTATATATATTAAGAGCCTAAGCCTAAGTCTAGTCATCCTGTTGATATTTTTAGAATTCGGTGATAGGGCCAAACTTGTTCCTGTTATCTGGTTCTGATATATGTGCTCATAGACGTGACAGGTTTGGGAATGTGGGTCCAGTTAAGTTAACTGACTGCTTGGGCAGGCTATTCACAGCTATAGGAGCCCCCAGAATCTCTTTAAGCAAATATATCTAGACCTGGGCAAACTATTGTCGACTTGCTTCTGAGATTCAGATATCTATTGATTATTTCAAAATTATATCTAAAGGATCATTTGAATTTGTTTTTATGCTTTAAAGCATTTTATTTCTGACTTTCCAGATTTCCAGACTTTCCTGATTTCCAGATCAAGAAATACAAGAAATTATATATCCTCCAATCTTTCTCTCTTTTTTTTAATATGTGACTACATTATATAGTGCAGGAGCCTCAATAATGTTACAGTACATATCACAGCAACAATAAACAGCTACTGCACCGAAAACGAATCAATATAATATTTGTGAGTGATCTCCCTTCGATCAACGCCATCCCGACGGTCTCCCTTTTGGTTTTTTTACACAATCGGAACATACCAGTAAAATATTATGCTGCGAATATATTTTCGAATAAAATGCAAATACTGTCTGACACTACCCAAACATAGAGACAGGACAAACTGGCTCTGTAAATAAAGACGGACAATATATAAGCGATCCTTGGGATGCTTATTTTTAATGAAATACAGACCTGAAATCGTGACTGTTCTTTTTAAAAGAGGAAAAAATATCATCATTGCGTGCGTGATCCAGCATACTTGCCTAAAGAGTTTTATAAGGCATCGACACGGTCATGACAGATTATAGTGACTCAATAATGTGGACACAGCGGAACACTCCCATCTCTGGTTGTTTACTTATATATACTTGAATAGAATCATAAAGGTGTACTTGCCATGCCCATTTTGATTTATAATGAGAGAGTGAGTGAGTTTAGTTTTACGCCGCACTCAGCAATATTCCAGCTATATATTCGGCTCCAATTTCCAACAATCCCTTCCAAACCCAAAACAACAATAATCTTAAATTAAGCCAGACCAATTTTATTTCTTGTTTTACGAATTCGCCTGTCGTATTTTTTCAAGAATTAATAAAAATAAAAATTAAGTTTCCCCGCTCAAAAAATAAAATCCTGATGTTTTTATGGGCCAAAAATGTAAACTTACAAGAAAATTGGTTTTAGATTGTTTTTTGCCCCATATACACTTCATAAATTGCCAAAAGTAAAATACTTTGAGTATTTAGAAGGACTATTACTCTGACTGGTGAATTTTTTATATTTTTTCCCTCCTGCCTTTAGGTTTTCTGAGGACACCCCACTGCGGGTCAGAAAATCGATAAACTAGGCCCCGGTTTAGTATCAACACCCCCTACTATATAATACATAAAGGTTCATCACAGAAATACGGTGACATGATCGAAAACCGGACAATTACGCACATGTCAATGAATATATCGTATTTTAAAGGTCTCACAAGTATCAAAAGCTTTTGTCCATATCTCCGATGTATGTAGGAGGCATATACATGCGCTTTCCGTGGGGATGCATTTGATGGGTTTTATTAAATCGCCAAAGACCGAGTTGCTGTGCCGGAAGTGTACAAAACTAGGTCGTCAGCGCAATCAAATTGGTTAATAAAATGACAACAAATGCACGTGCGAAAATGAGAGGGAAACTCAAACGTCTATCATCCAAGATGTCACTATCTGATGTTTTATCTTGGTAAGAATAATTTTAAAAACGAGTACAAATATTTTTAAAGAAACACATTCATTCAGTGTAATGTGTTAGCCAATCAGATCGCCGGAGGTAGTGAAGTCAAGCGCTGACGAGCTAGTTTTGTATACTTCCGGCACAGCAACTCGGTCTTTGGCGATTTAATAAAACCATCAAATGCATCCCCACGGAAAGCCCATGTATATGCCTCCTACATACATCGGAGATATGGACAAAAGCTTTTGATACTTGTGAGACCTTTAAAATACGATATATTCATTGACATGTGCGTAATTGTCCGGTTTTCGATCATGTCACCGTATTTCTGTGATGAACCTTTATGTATTATATAGTAGGGGGTGTTGATACTAAACCGGGGCCTAGTTTATCGATTTTCTGACCCGCAGTGGGGGCCTGTGGCTACACTACTCGTGACAATATAAATAAGGTTGTCCTCGTCACTCGATAACAGATACATCATATTTCACGAGAAGTATGAAATATCCTCTATTGACTTGGTAATGAAAAGTTGTTTTTCTCTTACAAACTTAATTACTGCGAGTCTACACAATGTCATTTGGAAAGTGGTTAAATGTAAAGCAGCAGTGGGTGTGTGGGTCAGATAGCTGACTCTTGGAGTGTGGGTTCGAATCCCGGATGGGGCTCAATCCAACAAAGGTACTAGAATCTGTACTTTACTGAGAAAGTGTAAGCCCAACTGTAACGTGTGTTGCTGAGCATAAGGGCTATTCGTGAACTGAATCGTTTCATCGGGACAAAAATAACAAAGAACAAACATTCGTGCGAATGTGCAGATACCTATATTATACGTAATTCCATTTAAAACTGATTTAATGCAACACAAATGGGCCACTGGTCACCCTGGCTGCCACGTTTGTTTGCTGAAAGGGCGTGCTCTAACTCGACACGGTCTCGAAAAGTACTCGTTCCCACACCCGCGAAAACAGTGTCCACGGATACGGTTGCTATACCTGAGGATTATGGGATGTTAAAACCTCCTAGTGATTTCTCCTACTATAGCCAATCAGCGATTGCCAGTCAACCAATGAAAATAACGGACGTAGCGTCGGGGGAAATATATACCGCGAGAAGAGTTACTAAGGTGTGTGTGACATCTTTGATTCAAAACAGCGTGTAGCTGACATCCATTAGTATTGCACTATCGACGCAGGTCACAATTAAAAAGGTACGTATTATGTAGTAAACCATATACCATGAACTCTATTTGAATGAATGTTATTTTATCGGTGTCAAATGTATATTTCATAATCAGAGACAATTTCGAGCTTTCATAATGATATGAACAGGCCTTGTGCAAGAAAAATACCGTCTGATCCAAAGCATTTTACATTTCGAGAGTAGGCAGAGTATATAATCATATTTAAAATTCTTCATCCGTGGAAGTGAGATTTGCCATTCCATGTATTCATAGAGATTCTGAATTAAAATTGACCATTAGTATAATTTATGGAAAGGCCAAAGGTAGAGCTTCGATCCAAGATCTTGGCAAAAATGCAACGTTTATCCGAAATATGCTAACTCATCTGTGAGCTGATGTGAATCTGCCACCACGTGGCAATCGTACCTGACTTTTTTTCGTACCTGATTTATCTTTCTAACTACCAGTCGGGTCCGTTACACGCCATGCCTTAGTTATTCAAAAATGATTAATTAGGTAACTGTGGATTTCATTATACGACCGTCTAATAACAGTACCAAGCTTATACTATGAGAAAGACTTCCGCCCGTATCTCCACTTAGATTTCATTCAAGTCAAATCATATATCACCTGAACATATATTCCTTATCTGATAAGGATGAGTTTTAACATGTTTCTTTAATTGTCTGAACATACTGAAAGACATATCCAACTTCTAAAAGTGCCACTGTAAGAAATTGTTCCTCATCGTTAAGATTTAGAGGGGGATACGGGCGGAAGTCTTACCATACTATGGAACTTTAGTTGATTTCCAAAGGATAACCCTTTTTTCATTTCGTGTTGCTCAAAGCACATGAAGCGTGGGTAGATATAAATTAACCAAAATATCACTCATCAATTCCTAAGATATCTCATTAAGTAGCCCAGTGGTTAGAGTGTTCGCCCATCATGTCTGAGACCTAGGTTCGATTCCCCACATGGGTACAATTTGTGAAGCCAATTTCTGATGTCACCCGCTGTGATATTGCTGCAGTATTGCTGAAAGAGGGGTGAGACTGATCTCACTCATCAACAGAACTAGTCCTTTCATTAAATTTATATCCCCTCATGATAGTCAAAAGTGATGAAAGAGTAACAAGTGCACTCTAACCATTTATATGCCTCAGGATAAACATTAGTAATGCTATGTTTTGGTTTATCTAACTTGACCAAAACATTCATGGTTATCATCTTATTGCAGCACCATGTCTGAGAGAAAAGCCGTCATCAAGAATGCTGACATGAGCGAGGACATGCAGCAGGACGCTGTAGACTGCGCCACAGCAGCCCTTGAGAAGTACAACATTGAGAAGGACATCGCTGCATACATCAAGAAGGAGTTCGACAAGAAGTACAACCCCACATGGCATTGTATTGTCGGACGCAACTTTGGCAGCTACGTCACCCACGAGACCAAGCACTTCATCTACTTCTATCTGGGACAGGTGGCCGTTCTCCTCTTCAAATCGGGATGAACTTTTCTGCACAGTCGATGGACATTCTACTTGTTTGCATCGCGCCTGTATTTTGGGCATGTGCTTAACTTGCAAATTATATCGACGATTCTATCTTGGAGGAAAACCAAAAGCTCATCGCTGGATCAAAGGGACCGTATTGAATCAGGAACTACTGGAAATAATGCTGTAGTATACATGGACACAACAGTTGCATGATCTCTCGAACTGATGCAGCTGTCTGTGTACATGTCAGCATCGCAAACATGGTGAAACAATAAGTGTTGTGTCGATGTGTAGCTGCCAAAAATCAAAATGATCCTCCTAGACTTGAAATTTCAACAATGCTATAGAAATGCCGAAGCATTTAGTGAAAGTTTACTGGTTTGCTGCACATGCGGGTAATGCAACGCCATCCAGCGTGGATCTGTCAATGTTCATTATTGCGTTTATTTCAACATTGTTTTATATTCTTAAATAAATTATATTTTGTTTGTAGAGTTCATTTTGCCTGTTATTTGTTTTCACATTTATCCTGCATTAACATGTCATTGGATTGATGCATAAAATGCATAAAATTGAAAATGGTCGTGATTCTTATGGGACCATGTGGATCCAGTAATGGGCATGTTTTTAAAACAATCAGCTGGTTTTGTGCTGATGGGAAATACAATCCAGGGTTTTACATGACACGCAAATTTGCCTCCAGTACACACAAATGTAGATAATGAGGCATAAAAAACAATTCACTTTGTCCAGAGGGACACATAATGTTATTCACTGTACCCACAACACAGGATTTTGCTAAGTGTTTGAGTGTTTCTTTCAGTGCAGTTATGTGCATTGTTTCATCCATCAGTCCACATGATCAATGATTCATTCCTGGCTCTAAAGAAATTATCAAAACCTAGATCTCTAAACCGTAACTTCACAGGACCCTCTTATTGCATGCAAGGTCTCTTAACACTAATAACATGTTTGTGAGTTGACGTAAAACCCTTCAATTAATCACATTATTGGAACATTTACCTTTCGTGTGAAGATGTGTGAAGATGCTCTCAGATCCTGCATCTGTTCTATTTGGCTTTGGTCATGTTGATGGTGTAAATGTATCATGAAAATTACCAGTGACCACATTACTGTGTAATTAAACAAACAAGTATAAGAGTGATAATTATTCTGCATGAATAATATGTGTTTTAATGTTGCATATCTTGCTTTTAAAAATAATACCTAAATTAGAGTGAGTTAAGTTCTTTTGAACTGTTCATGAATTTTCGATTGTAGTGAGTGCAAATACATGTAACAATAAATTAAAGAAGGGATACAATTTGATTCATTGAAAACTTAAGTGAATCATTACAGCCCTACCAGCCATATGTATATACTTAATGTCCTCAGAACATGTACAGTATTGCTTTTGAATCACACCGAATCTTCAGGTTTATCAGAATCAGTAATGTTGGTCACCATTGCATCCGACAAGTCTTCAAAGCAACATTATAATTTTATGAAGTTATTACTATTAAAAAAGTAACAATTATTGTTACCTCAAACACACGAAACAAAAATATCCTTAATCAGTTGGAGCCAAACAGTTATTACAAAGGCTCAGCTGATTCTCAATAATAACCCATGCCACCACCCCCAACCCTGGGTCTCTGGGTAAGAATTGGCCATAGTCAATATGGCCCCAGTCACTATGTGGGTTGACATAGTGGATTGGATGGTCAGGTCTGGTGGTGTGGGGATTTAACTTGAACCATTTTGTACCAACTAATTGTTTCATTCAAAAGAACAAAAGCAATGCTCATGGCCTTATGTCTCTCACACATTTTTTGCAAGAACCTACTCTAAACATCAGATAGACTGAACCATATTCAATAATCTATATAGTGTTGTAGATAATAGATTTCAAAACATGTATGGTGCAATGGCCAGTTGTGGGATTTTATTGGCACTACATGCCAGTGGAGTTATCACTGTCACACAAGTTATGAGTTTGTTGACTGTTTATGGTTAAGAAACTGTTCAACATCCTTCCTCCACTGAGCTAAGAGGGAAAACTTCAAGGTTATTCACAAATGGTGAGATAGAGATAGTTGGTGTGGCTGAGTTATAAGAAAAACATCCTGTTGTTAGATTTGGCCCAGAGATATAGCCTAAGTAGTGTCATAACTAGACTCAGGTGCAATAAAGGTAAATTATAAAGATATGCTGGTGTCTCTTGACCATTTTTGGTGTAGAGAGGGTGGATTTTATTTGTTCATTTTGTGGTAGTTGGAACATAATCTCAAATGTATTTTCAACAAATCAGAATTTGTTTGTTTTATAAAATAGTATTATGAGTGGCAAACAATTTCCTAATTATGAAGAAATATGAGGTTCAACTTAAATTATAACCAAGCTGGTTATCAGAAGCAAACTCTTAACTGATATAAGTAGGTCAAATGCAACCTGTGATTTTATACCTTAACACAATCTTTGACCCACTCACATCTGCTGTAGGTGATGGTTCTCAACCCTAAAACAATCTACACATCTTATGGAACCCCCACATCAGTTCCCATCGAAATTACAAAACACGAGTTTTTAGTATATGTGGTTAAAGATTCCAAATAATGTGAAATATAGATATTGTGTGTTGGAGAGAACCTTGAGGTTGAATCGTTCGTACGGCAAGCCGTCCACTCCAGTATGTGAAACCTGTGCACGAATATTGTTAAAAGCGTCGTAAAATCGTGACACTAAAGTTAAAGACGAGGTTACATTTACGTCCGTTTCTTTAACTCAGCATCTGTAAAATATATTCTTACAACGTCTTCAAGGCATTCTCTATGATCTGTAATGATATCGCACGGGGATAATCATGGGTATTTTTAAGGCTGTGTACACAACAGTATGATGCACACCTGTTATGTTGATTAGTTTATTATATAAAACCATTTAGTTTGGAAACCGTTAACTTTAAAGTGAAGGTACATGCGGCTGATTTGAATGAATGTTGATAAATCAGTGCGTGTCGAACACCTGGTGTCCCCTTCTACGTCAGGATTGTGTTCGCAGTCCACGGATAAAGCATACCGCATTTCCTCTTTTAAGCACCCTGGCGCTTATTTGTTTCAACTGACTTCTAGACCCGGCGCTTATTGGAGACCCGGAGTTGATTGCGCTTACTGGATGTACTGTAAATTAATTGTTTGTGAGCGTTACGTCAAAGTTAGGGACCATTCCTTAATAAATCTAATTTTGGATCAAGGGAGAATATTAGAGGAAATACGGTATATGTATAGCAGCGATGGACGCCCCTTCAAGTTGACGCCCCTGCGTATATACCCCGACATATATATCATTCAACGTGTATAACTTTCACACACACTCATAAAAAACATATTTCGAAAAATATTCAACCCTACCAATATTTTCATTGCTATATAACTCATATTCAACGACTGCACACCTGAGTGAGTGAGTTTAGTTTTACGCCGCCTTTAGCAATATTCCAGTAATATCACGGCGGGGGATACCAGAAAAAGGCTTCACACATTGTGCCCATGTTGGAAATCGAACCCGGGTCTTCGGCGTGACGAGCGAACGCTTTAACCACTAGGCTACCCCACCGCCCCTGCACACTTGAGACTGATTTAGGAAACGGATAATGCATTTTCCCACATCTCTAGATTACGTGTCCCACTATGGGAAAAAACACGTTTTGGATGTACTTTCGCTATTAAGGACCCATATATTCCCAAGGGCCGAATTTACTTTCTAAAGTTATCTCGAGTGAAATGTGAATATACAATGCGGGAAGGCATTATGGGATGTTAAAACCTCCTAAGTAACCACCGCGACGACATCCAATAGCACTCCATCTGTTGCACGTCGCTAACCAATTAAATGACACGTATAGCGGATGCATTTCACTCAGTGTGATACTGCAGGGGCGTGTTGAGGGAGTATATTTCAGCTGGTGGATCGCACGTACAGGTAAGACATAAGGTACGATTAACACTTAATAAATATGTAAATATACATATGGAAGTAAGGCTTATTGATTTTGTAAGGTATATTTCGTAGTTGTTATTGTACCCTCAGTCCTGGCCTGAGGTTCACATATAAAGAAAGACTTAGCCTAAATGATATTTTAAACAACAGTATCCCCTTCCAAATCGGTACACTTTGCCAACGATCTGGGGGAATTTTATCTCCGTTTCGTAGAAATCCTCTTCGCTGTCCAAAGCGTGATTCCCAGAGTCAATGACGTCATGGTTCAAATCCAAATAGGTTCCTTCGAGGACTTGCTTTGTGTTTTGGAATACACGGAAGTCTCACAGAGTCAGATCAGGAGAATAACTCGTTCACTGCCACACTTGTTGAACGTAGTAACCCATGAAGGTCCGGGTTACAACTGGTTTCAGCAACCCGTGCTTGTCGTAAGAGGCGACAAACGCGATCGGATGGTCAGGCACGCTGACTTGGTTGACACATGTCATCGTGTCCCAATTGCATAGATCGATGCTCATGCTGTTGATGTGTTCCCATCCACCTTCACCTGGTCCCAACACCTCTCCAACCCGTGTGTTCCCACCCTTCTTCACCCGGTCCCAACACCTCCCCAACCCGTGTGTTTCCACCCACCCTCGCCTGGCCCTGATTTCTCGAAACAAACTTAAGTTTGTACTCAAATTTTAAACTAAGTTTGACAATTTGAAACAGCTGAATTTTTATCTAAGCTGCATTTATAAAATAAAAAAAACCAAACAACTTAAGTAATCTATCTCCCAAACTCAAATTGTCTACTATGTTTGGGTTTGATATCGATTTCAGTTCATTCTGGGAAATGCATTTCCCTCCGTTTTCTCAAATTTGAGTCAAAACTCTAACTTAAGTCAAACTCTGACTTAAGTTTGTTCCGGAAATCGGGGCCTGGTCCCAACACCTCCCCAACCCGCGTGTTTCCATCCACCTTCACCTGGTCCCAACACCTCCCCAACCGGTGTGTTTCCACCCACCTTCACCTGGTCCCAACACCTCCCCAACCCGTGTGTATCCACCCACCTTCACCTGGTCCCAACACCTCCCAAACCCGTGTGTATCCAACCACCTTCACCTGGTCCCAACACCTCCCCAACCAGTGTGTTTCCACCCACCTTCACCTGGTCCCAACACCTCCCCAACCCGTGTGATTCCATCCACCTTCACCGTTACCAACACCTCCCCAACCCGTGTGATTCCACCCACCTTCACCTGGTCCCAACACCTCCCCAACCCGTGTGTTTCTACCCACCTTCACCTGGTCCCAACACCTCCCCAACCGGTGTGTTTCTACCCACCTTCACCTGGTCCCAACACCTCCCCAACCCGTGTGTTTCTACCCACCTTCACCTGGTCCCAACACCTCCCCAACCGGTGTGTTTCTACCCACCTTCACCTGGTCCCAACACCTCCCCAACCCGTGTGTTTCCACCCACCGTCACCTGGTCCCAACCCTTGTGTGTTTCCATCCACCGTCACCTGGTCCCAACACCTCCAACCCGCGTGTTCCCACCCAACTTCACCTGGTCCCAACACCTCCCCAACCCGTGTGTTTCCACCCACCTTAACCTGGTCCCAACCCTTGTGTGTTTCCATCCACCGTCACCTGGTTCCAACACCTCCAACCCGCGTGTTCCCACCCACCTTCAATTGGTCCCAACACCTCCCCAACCCGCGTGTTCCCACCCACCTTCAATTGGTCCCAACACCTCCCCAATCCGTGTGTTTCCACCCACATTCACCTGGTCCCAACACCTCCCCAACCCGTGTGTTTCCACCCACCTTCACCTGGTCCCAACACCTCCCCAACCGGTGTGTTTCTACCCACCTTCACCTGGTCCCAACACCTCCCCAACCCGTGTGTTTCTACCCACCTTCACCTGGTCCCAACACCTCCCCAACCCGTGTGTTTCCACCCACCTTAACCTGGTCCCAACCCTTGTGTGTTTCCATCCACCGTCACCTGGTCCCAACACCTCCAACCGGCGTGTTCCCACCCACCTTCACCTGGTCCCAACACCTCCCCAACCCGTGTGTTTCCACCCACCTTAACCTGGTCCCAACCTTGTGTGTTTCCATCCACCGTCACCTGGTCCCAACACCTCCAACCCGCGTGTTCCCACCCACCTTCAATTGGTCCCAACACCTCCCCAACCCGCGTGTTCCCACCCACCTTCAATTGGTCCCAACACCTCCCCAATCCGTGTGTTTCCACCCACATTCACCTGGTCCCAACACCTCCCCAACCCGTGTATTCCACCCACCTTCACCTGGTCCCAACACCTTCCCAACCCGTGTATTCCACCCACCTTCAATTGGTTCCAACACGTTCCCAACCTGTGTGGATCCACCCACCTTCACCTGGTCCCAACACCTCCCCAACCAGTGTGTTTCTACCCACCTTCACCTGGTCCCAACACCTCCCCAACCTGTGTTGATCCACCCACCTTCACCTGGTCCCAACACCTCCCCAACCCGTGTGTTCCACCCACCCTCAATTGGTCCCAACACCTCCCCAACCTGTGTGGATCCACCCACCTTCACATGGTCCCACACCTCCCCAACCCGTGTATTGCAACCACCTTCACATGGTCCCAACACCTCCCCAACCCGAGTGTTTCCACCCACCCTCAATTGGTCCCAACACCTCCCCAACCTGTGTGGATCCACCCACCTTCACCTGGTCCCAACACCTCCCCAACCCGTGTGTTTCCACCCACCTTCACCTGGTCCCAACACCTCCCCAACCCGTGTGTTTCCACCCACCTTCACCTGGTCCCAACACCTCCCCAACCCGTGTATTCCACCAACCCTCAATTGGTCCCAACACCTCCCCAACCTGTGTGGATCCACCCACCTTCACCTGGTCCCAACACCTCCCCAACCCGTGTGTTTCCACCCACTTCACATGGTCCCAACACCTCCCCAACCCGTGTGTTTCCATCCACCTTCACCTGGTCCCAACACCTCCCCAACCCGTGTGTTTCCACCCACCTTCACATGGTCCCAACACCTCCCCAACCCATGTGTTTCCATCCACCTTCACATGGTCCCAACACCTCCCCGACCCGTGTGTTGCCATCCACCTTCACCTGGTCCCAACCTGTGTGGATCCACCCACCTTCACCTGGTCCCAACACCTCCCCAACCAGTGTGTTTCCACCCACCTTCACCTGGTCCCAACACCTCCCCAACCCATGTGTTTCCATCCACCTTCACCTGGTCCCAACACCTCCCCAACCCGTGTGTTTCCATCCACCTTCACCTGGTCCCAACACCTCCCCAACCCGTGTGTTTCCATCCACCGTCACCTGGTCCCAACACCTCCCCAACCCGTGTGATTCCACCCACCTTCACATGGTCCCAACACCTCCCCAACCCGTGTGTTCCCACCCACCTTCACCTGGTCCCAACACCTCCCCAACCCGTGTATTCCCACCCACCTTCACCTGGTCCCAACCCGTGTGTTTCCATCCACCTTCACCTGGTCCCAACACCTCCCCAACCCGTGTGTTTCCATCCACCTTCACCTGGTCCCAACACCTCCCCAACCCGTGTGTTTCCACCCACCTTCACCTGGTCCCAACACCTTCCCAACCCGTGTATTCCACCCACCTTCACCTGGTCCCAACACCTTCCCAACCCGTGTGTTTCCATCCACCTTCACCTGGTCCCAACACCTCCCCATCCCGTGTGTTTCCACCCACCTTCACCTGGTCCCAACACCTCCCCAACCTGTGTGGATCCACCCACCTTCACCTGGTCCCAACACCTTCCCAACCCGTGTGTTTCCACCCACCTTCACCTGGTCCCAACACCTCCCCAGCCCGTGTGTTTCCACCCATCTTCACCTGGTCCCAACACCTTCCCAACCCGTTTGTTTCCATCCACCTTCACCTGGTCCCAACACCTCCCCAACCCGTGTGTTTCCATCCACCTTCACCTGGTCGGATGATATGCAAGTGAATTCACATGGATTGAGTTAACTCCAAGGATCGATGTGACAGCCTCAGTTACCCACGGGAGGTTCGCATTGGCGTATTATCCAGCACATCCATTAGTATCGACAACACGATGTTTCAAGCACCTGTTACGGCAATACAGTGAATTGTTGAATGGGTGAATGTAATATGCATGATCCATGCATCTCTGGATCAATTTATATACGGGACGGTTGAGTTGCCTAGATGTAACAGGGTGCGTGTCACGCCGATAACCTTGGAGTCCTATTATTGGGTGCATTATGTAACCTGTGTCTGGTGTGCTCTAATGTATTATTGCCGGATGTTGCTTGAAGCGACTTAACACCATATCAACATGGATCTACACTGTTCACTGAGACTCTCGTTCCTTGAGAATGAGTACGGTGGTGTAGCCTCACACAAATTCCCAATTTTGAAAGAAAAGAAAATGTGGAGGTTACACAATTAGTTTGAAATCAGAGAATAATTGATGTATAGGAGGGTTAGTGGGGTAGCCTAGTTTATAAAGCATTTGTCGTCGCAACGAACACCCAGGTTCTATATTCCCACATGGGTACAACGTGTGAAGCCCATTTCTGGTGTTCCTCCGCCGTGAATGTGCTGGAATATTGCTAAAAGCGGCGTAAAACTACTCTCACTCACTCACTCCTTGAGAATAACGTAGGCTTACAATAGTATAAGCATCGCATATTTCATACCGATTTTCCAGGCGCCAATATTTCCAACAGATTTTGCCCAGGGTGCCGTTGCAAATTACGATCGAAGCGCTAAGATGATCGTAACTCAGACAGAACAAGACAGACTTACGAATGCGTGAGTGAGTTTAGTTTTACGCTGCTATTAGCAATATTCCAGTGATATCACGGCGTGGGACACCAGAAATGGGCTTCACACATTGTACCCATGTGGGGAATCGAACCCGGTCTTCGGCGTGACGAGCGAACGTTTAACCACTAGGCTAAACCACCGCGCGCACACTGACTTACGAAGTCGCAGCGTAAATATTGTGTTAGCAGCCCGGGAGCAATATATTTGCCAAGGTACTGTCTCACTATAATCATCGCAAATATCGTAGGATTATCTGAACTCACTTATCGAAGATTATTCCCATTTCAGAATGACGGACAAGAAGGCGGTGGTGAAGAACGCTGACATGAGCGAAGACATGCAGCAGGATGCAGTCCAGAGTGCATCAGATGCATTGGGGAAGTACAACATTGAGAAGGACATCGCTGCATACATCAAGAAGGAGTTCGACAAGAAGTACAACCCCACATGGCATTGTATTGTCGGACGCAACTTTGGCAGCTACGTCACCCACGAGACCAAGCACTTCATCTACTTCTATCTGGGACAAGTGGCCGTTCTCCTCTTCAAATCAGGGTGACCCCTGTCTCCTACGAACTTCCATGATTACAAACTCAATATTATGTCTTCTGCCATCTCCATCCTGTATGCAATCAACTCAGACTCAGAAAGCAGTACTTTTGAACTCATCAGAAGAGTACATTATTTGAATTTTAAACTGTTCGAATTATTCAGTTGGTTTGGAGAGTCTACAATCTGGCAGATCAAAATACTGTGGTTATGCAGTCAGAATATTGAATGAAGTATTTTCATGTTCTGAGCGGAAGCTTCGAGATATACACAGAGAACAACGTTTACCCGTTACTTATGCTTTTGGTCATACTAACACCCTGTTTGGTTCACATATCAAATGTCCATTTGCAAGGATTCGGATTATTTGGGTATTCAACAGTTTGATATGTGCATACATTGTTGTCCGAGTCAGTCCGTGTTGATACTAGAACATTTGGAGTACATTTGAATATATTTCAGATTTTAATTGTCTCTTGTTTGTTATTTATCTATTTGCAATGTGTGGACCAATAAACATTGCGTCATTAATGTAGCCTTTGTACTAATTTGTATGAACTTCCAAACGTGGGATGGAATGGGGTCTTCTCAGGGCATTGATTTTTGGTGGCTTGGTTGTTTTTGTGTGAATGGGAACCGGGTGTCCCAGTGATATATAGGGTTGTGAAGAGTGGCTCCCCTTACCGGTGCAAGGATACGGTGATGTGTGTTTGAATCGCAGGTTTCCACACGGGTGTTGTAAAAGTCGGGGGAAAAGCTAAATTCCTTCTGCGGAATTAAGCTGCAGCGCTGCGACATACGTGACCAACTCGTGTTATTCCGAAATAACCCGGAGGTTACGGAAAGGGGCGAGTCGTGACGATTGGCGCCGCGATTTACCTAAAAATTGAAGCGGCTGAAAACCTAGCGACTCACACTGGAACAGTGAGTGCAGTTAAAGCGTTTCAGTTCCCTGACGTCATCATGTGGGATAAATGTCCACGTGATATCTACGAAGTTTACCACTTAGTTCACACCGACGAGTATGGTACTTGAAGGTCCGGGTTAAGCTCCAGGAACCCGTGTTTGCGTAAGAGGCCAACGATTTGGGCGGATTCTATCTCCATTTCGTAGATTTCCTCTTCGCTGTCCGAAGCATGACCTACAGACAATACAGACCTGTCGTTCCAGTCCAAATAGGTTCCTACGAGGGCGTTCTTTGTGTTTTGGAACACACGGAAGTCTCACAGAACTAGATCAGGAGAATAACTCGGATAGTGAAGGCTTCTATGCCACACATTTTTTTAATGGTGCTGCACCGTAGCGACACGCATCGTTACCGCTCTCCAGAAGAAACATTGTGTTATCATAAACGTATACAGTTTTGAAGCTCAAACAATGGAGAAAATGAATAAGCGAATATGGATTTACGCCGCAATGGCAGTAACCTGTTTTTTCCAACAAATTACTTCCGTAGCGACCAGTGGCGTCTGTGACAACCATCATGGCCGTTACGACGAGATTCGCTTTGGGAGGGAGCAGCTCCTTCAATTCCAAGGATTGATTGATGTAAGTCATTTGAAAATTGATCTGCCACCGGAATGTGCATGCAACAATAATATTAGTAAAGGATAAATAATAACAGTAAAGGAAATAACACTGCTAGGCGCAAACGAGGAAAGAGAGAGGGGGGCTTCGACAAAAGGTGAGAACCCGGAAGTACAAACCGCCTCTCCCAACAATTATTCTATCAAATGTCAGAAGTCTACGTCGCCAAATAAATGAAATTGAGGCTTGTGTAAAGTGTATGTACGAGTTCCGAGAAAGCTGTCTCATGTGCTTTACGGAGACATGGTTGAACGGGTCTGTGGACAACACAAGTTTGGAACTCAGTGGATTCGGATCGCCGATTCGGCTGGATATAGATGCGGCAAAGACCGGGAAAAGTGTTGGAGGAGGTGTGTGCGTTTATGTAAACGAACGCTGGTGCAAGCAGCACGCGCTTCGAGAATCTATCTGCAACACGGACACTGAACTTTTGTGCATTTCACTCAGGCCATATTATCCTCCTAGAGAATTCGGACAAGTTTTTTGTGACCACTGTATATATTCCGCCGGATGCTAATGTGAAACGAGCTGCCAACACTATTCACACCACTATAGACAAACTTAATGGTTTTTCACCAGAGGCACCAAAATTCAATGCATGTGACTTAAAACATGTTCTGCCATCATACCATCAGTATGTAAAATGTCCGACAAGTTCTAGAAAAACTATTGACTTGTGCTATGGTAATGTGAAAGATGCCTACAAATCTTTTGCAAAGGCTCCGATGGGGACTTCTGATCACAATACTGTTTATTTAGTTCCTTTGTATTGTCAAAAATTAAAGTCAGAGAAGCCAGTCTTAAAATATGTAAAGCCATGGACAAAAGATTGTTTAGAACAGTTGAGAGGATGTTTTGATTGTACAAACTGGGATATGTTTGAACATACTAGTGATAATTTGAATGAGTTTACAAATACTGTAACTGATTATATAAATTTCTATGTACAAAACATTGTGCCAGTCAAATGTATTAAAATATTTCCTAATAACAAGCCTAGGTAACTAAAGAGTTCAAATCAGTTTTAAATGAAAGGAAAAGGGCTTTTTTTGTGCAGGGGACAAGGTCAAGGTTAAAGAGATTCAGAAAGAGATTGCTTGTTTAACAAGGAAATGTAAAGAAGAATACAAAACAAAGATTGAAGGACAATTTTCGGTAAACAATTTACGTAATGCATGGAGTGGCATAAAATATCATTGGATCAAATATTAGACCTCGACAGTTGGAACCAAGCGATGACTTATCTTTTTCAAATGAGTTAAACTCATTCTACTCCCAATTTGATACTGGGATTTTTTCAGATGAAAGGAAACTTGTATTGGAATCGCTTCCACCTTGTGAAATGTTAAATTATATCGACAGATGATGTGATTAGTTCATTCGCTAAGATAAATCCACACAAATGTTGTGGGCCTGATAACTTGCTTGGGATTGTTCTTGGGCAATGTACAGTGCAACTGGCTGTTATTTTTCAAAAGCTATTTCAGATATCAATTCCCATTCTTTGGAAAACCTCTAAAATTATTCCATTGCCAAAAAAGAAAAATCCCTCTGTTAATAATGACTTCAGACCAGTGGCCCTAACCTCTATTGCCATGAAATGTTTGGAACGTATTGTTAAGATCTTATTGTTGAATGAAGTCAGCCATGTTCTTGATCCATTACAATTTGCATACAGAACAAGGCGTGGGGGGTAGATGATGCAACAATCACTGTGTTAAACAGTATATATAAGCATTTAGAAAACTATGGTACTTATGTGAGAATAATGTTTGTTGATTTTTCATCTGCCTTTCATACTATTCAACCTCATTTGTTAATTGATAAACTTTTCAAAATGAATGTTAATTCTAACATCATCAAATTGATTAATTCATTTCTAGTTAACAGACAACAATTTGTACAGGTTAATAATGTGAAATCATCAATTGTAAACTGGCACTCCACAAGGTTGCGTTATTTCACCAATTCTGTTCATATTGTACACCAATGACTGTGTATCCAACACAGAAACATGTTTTACAGTCAAATTCGCGGATGATGCTGCATTGGTAGGCCTTATTAGGGAATCAGAACTTGGTTACAGAGCTGAAATTCCAAAATTTGTAGAATGGTGTAAGTCGCACCTTTTTTATTTTTGAATGTGCAAAAAACCAAAGAAATGATCATAGATTTTAGAAAAGCTAAGTCAACAATAAATGCTGTAAATATTGAAGATAATGAAATCGAAAGAGTAACTGAATACAAATATTTGGGTACTGTCTTAGATTTGAAACTCTCCTGGAACGAAAACACTGAGATTATTAGAATAAAAAAGGACAGCAGCGCTTGCATTTTTTGTGGAAGTTGAAACTTGTTAAAATCGACCAAACTATCATGATGTTATTTTACAAAACCTTTATTCAAAGTGTCATAAACTTTAATTTCTTGAGTTGGTTCGGGAACCTGTCTGTTTAGAATAAAAACAAACTCTCAAAAATCGTAAACACTGCGTCTAAAATTATTGGGCTTCCTATCGAAAGTATCGGCAGTTGTTATGAGCAGCAAATTTCAAAAAAGGCAAACAAAATTTAAATGATCCTACTCACATACTCTTTTCTGAATATTCATCATTACCTTCTGGACGCAGGCTGCGTATGCCGACTTTCAGAACAAACAGGGTTCGCCACTTTGTTCCAGCTAGTATTAGATGCATTAACAAATTCTGTGAATGACTTGTCTTGAAACTACAAATTCTGTGAAAGACTCAATATCTATGTTTGTGTACTAAATTGATGTATTTATATCCTGATTATTTCATGATTACCAATTGCAGTGTTATGTATGGCTGCTTTATGAAAGGAAAACTGGAGAACGTATGATGCAAAACAAATTTCCCTTGGGACAATAAAGAATTATCCGTCTTATCTTATGTAGCAGCCCGTGAAGATCCCGTGATGGATCACCCACGTTCTGGACGGCCCACGGAGACGTGCCTATAAAGGCAGCATGTACAAAACTGAGTTTGGGCAAAGCACTTGATACACCCAAGAGTGAGTGAGTGAGTATGGTGTTTCGCCCCTTTTAGCAATATTCCAGCAATATCACGACCGAGGACACCAGAAGTGGGCTTCACACATTCCACCCATGAGCGAACGCTTGAACCGCAAGATCACCAAACATTCAAACACATGTTTGACAAAAACAGTCGCCTTGGACATCAAACAAATGTTCCTAGGATGTTCCTGGGATTTATTGTATTCCGGAATAAATACAGTGGACATAATTTATGAAAAATGACAAACTGGAACACCATACACATTCATGCAAAGTTAAATCAAAATTATTTATTTTCCAAACTTAACAATAGGTAAAACAGAGATTGCGATACAAAATATAAACAACATGTTTCAATATTTTCTCACGTCATATTTGGTTAGGATATGAAATGGGTTGACATCTTGGTGTCAGTTAAATAATGTTTGACGTGATTTTAAACAAATGACAAACAAACTAACCATCTGCGAACATTCATAAGCATCTGAGATCAAAGACGTATCAAGGGATCACATATAGGAAGAAATGACAATGGTGCAAAATGTCATTTGAAAGGCACAAAATGATATTTTCATTGGATGTGATATGGTCTGTAAGATTTTGCATTGTAAATTATACAGACACAATAATATTTTGTATTTCAATATTCCCAAAAACTTCAACAAAGGTATTTGTGTGAAATGTTTATGATGAGAGATATAGACTTGAGCACTTGACAATAAAACCGTAACTTGATCTATTGTCCCCGTTATTCATCCTCGTGGTCCATTGTTCATCCTGATTTGAAGAGGAGAACAGCCACCTGTCCCAGATAGAAGTAGACGAAGTGCTTGGTCTCGTGGGTGACGTAGCTGCCAAAGTTGCGTCCGACAATACAATGCCATGTGGGGTTGTACTTCTTGTCGAACTCCTTTTTAATGAATGCAGCGATGTCCTTCTCAATGTTATACCTCTCCATAGCTTCAGTGGCGCTGTCGCAAGCGTCCTGCTGCATGTCCTCGCTCATGTCAGCGTTCTTGATGACGGCTTTTCTCTCACACATGGTGTTCTGAAGAAGAAAAACGTTTTCCTGCGAATCAAAAATAAAACTTGCGATCGATTTGAAAACCGAGTGTGTGAGCGAGTTTAGTTTTATGCCTCTTTAAGAAATATTCCAGCAATATGAAGGCGGGGGGACACCAGAAAGAGGCTTCACACATTGTACCCACGTGGAGAATCGAACCCGGGTCTTCGGCATGACGAGCGCTCGCTTTAACCACTAGGCTACTGCATGATGGTGTTCTTGTGTTATATTTTTAGGCAATGTAGAAAATAAATTACGAAGGGAAACATGAAAAGAAGATAGATTGAGAGAAACATAGAAGAAAGTAGACTAGTTGGGAACATGGGCGGAAGGCAAAATTGGTGAGAACATGGATGGAAGGCAGATTGGTTTGGGAACATGGATGGAAGGCAGATTGGATGGGAACATGGATGGAAGGCAGATTGGTTTGGGAACATGGATGGAAGGCAGATTGGTTGGGAACATGGATGGAAGGCAAATTGGAGAGGAGCATGTTAGGAAGGCAGATTGGATGGGAACATGGATGGAAGGCAGGTTGGATGGGAACGTGGATGAAAGGCAGATTGCCTGAGAACATGGATGGAAGGCAGATAGGTTGGGAACATGGACGGAAGACAGATTGATTGGGAACATGGATGGAAGGCAGATTGATTGGGAACATGGATGGGAGGCAGATTGATTGGGAACATGGATGGGAACGTGGATGAAAGGCAGATTGATTGGGAACATGGATGGGAGGCAGATAGGTTGTGAACATGGATGGGAACGTGGATGAAAGGCAGATTGCCTGAGAACATGGATGGAAGGCAGACTAGTTCGGAACATGGGTGGTAGGCAGATTGGATGAGAACATGGATGGAAGGTAGGTTGGTTGGGAACATGGATGGAAGGCAGACCAGTTGGGAACATGGATGGAAGAAGTGAGTGAGTCAGAAAGGTTTAGAAAGCAATATTCCAGCAATACCACGGCGGGGAACACCAGAAATGGGCTTCACGCATTGCATCTATGTGGGGACTCAAACCCGGGTCCTCGGCGTGATGAGAGAAAGCTCAAACCACTACGCTACCCCACCGCCTAAAAATGCATAATTATGTTAAAGGACATTATTCCCCCTTCAGATTCTTTCCATTGATTGCAATATCCGCGTTAATTCCAGTTGAATATGTTACCACAGATAATATTTCCACAGGTATATCTCTGGAATATTTTCTCATAACACTTTTCATGAATCATCTTTCCTCCGTAAACAATTCATCTCGGGAAACATTAATTGCTCACATATATTACCCATGTATAGGCTATCTTATTATGAGTGTCAACCCATAACCAATCCTAAACATAAGCGGATATATAGAGGATACTAAACGACCTTCCGTGTAATACCATTTTTATTAAACGAGTTAATGATTTACGAGTTTGATGCTAAATCTTTCACGAGTTTAATAAAAATGGTATTTCACGTAAGTTTAGTATTCTGTTTATTACTCTCCAACATAAACTGCTAGAAACTGCCTACGAAGTGTGATGACTCTCAGCTTTCCACGAGTCAAGCAAGGTCTAATACCATTGTGGCAGAGGTATTAGCATTGTGACGTCATAACTGTAAACCATTATGACGTCGTACGTCTAGCGGTATTACACTAGTGTAATATTGCCGTAAAATAATACATAGAGGATATTTTGTTAAACTCGTGAACGTATCAACTTTGCCAGACCATTCGATGATAAATACATGTTATTTGACAACATTAACAAAATATTCTATTTATTATATTTTGATCATTGTTTATAAATGATCGAGACATCGAGTAAGTCTGCATTTTATTACGCAACCCAACTACTGTCTAGCCCTTGAGCACACCATTTTTATTTTCACCAATGTTTACAGTATTTCACACTTAAGAATGTAATAAACTGCAATATCTTCCACGGGTGAGTAATAAATGGTTGTATGTGCACTTTGAACTATTTCCAGCAAAACATACTATAACTCCGACAACCGGCTTCACATCGTCCGAACGAAATCGTCCGGAACCACCTCTCGCGTGACAAGCGAACACAGTCCTTCTCATTATCCCTAAACTATATGATGTTCCCTTCCGCCCAACCCTCTCTGGTATGCAAAATGAAACGAGTTTAGATTTGCCTACGGTTTTGAATCTCCCATACCATTCGGGACCCTTTTCAGTTTAGACTGAGTCAGAAAAAAACATATTTTCAGAGAATGAGCATTTAGACATCATTGGGGCAGACATCAGGAAAACAGTGATAGGTGTGACGGCAAATAAGAGAGATATAAGCGCGATAGAACTAGAAATCTATAATACAGCGTTCATTCAGCATTTCAGTTTCTGTGTGTTTATATAAAAATATTGGAACAGTTTAGTACACTTACCTGATTTGTGTGAAAAGTCCTATGAAAATCGCGGGGATAACTGGCAAGTTGTGATATGGAAACTTTCTAAACGTTACTTTTGGTTACATATCATCCCATAACAACTGTACCACGCTATGATTAGACATTCCATTGGTTAAATGCTGCAGTTTGACTGGTTGAGTCGAGTGTTTGCTGTAGGAGGTTTTAACTTCCCGGCATGCAAAACGCGCGCATCCCCAAATTCATTCATGACAACCAGCGAGCAGGTAATAGACTACGGTGCATGCAATTTCGACTTTAGACCTGCGGGTTGCATGTCAAAGCACATATGTTGAACGCTTGAATGATCCCGAACTTCAGAATAAGCTGTGTGAAGCTGAACTGTGTTACCTTAAAGGATGTAGTTGATATTCACCGAAAGTGATATACTAGTACCTCCTAGATAACTGTGATATGAGATTTGACTGACGCTGGCAGTAAGATACAGTACAACCACAAATTATTTAGAATTTAAAGATTGTAATTTTTTTTTTTCACTCATTACTCACGTATTAAATGTGAATATTAGCAGAACATAACTCCAGTGAGTGAGTGAGGTGTATGGTTTTACGCCGCTTTTAGCAATATTCCAGCAATATCACGGCGGGGACACCAGAAATGGGCTTCACACAATGTGCCCATAACTCCAGATTTAAAGACAGGTGAACAGTTAGTATTTTGTCAAGTCACCATGGGCAGCAATGCAGGCTTCAGTTCGGCGGGGCATACTACTGATCAAAGAAGTTAGAAAGTCGTGGTCCATGCTGTCCCAATATCGGACCACCTCTTCTTTCATTTCAGCAATATTTGTCAGATTTTTCTTATTGACACTTTCCTCCATAAGTTCCCAAACATTTTCTATTGGATTTAGGTCAGGGCTATAGCTTGGCCAATCTAATAATGTCATATTGTGGGTCCGAAACCAGGCCTGTGAATGCTTTGAACGATGTTTTGGGTCGTTGTCCTGCTGAAAAATCCATTTCCATAGAACACGTGAGCAGATGGAAGTAAAGGTCCTTGGAGAATATCTGTGTACCACTCACTGTTCATATTCCCTTCAAATACACAGAGGGGCGTTGCCCCTAACACAGATATGCCACCCCACACGTTTAATTTCGGACTGTACTAAATTTGGGCGCTGATACAAAGGTTTTTCAGTTTGTTTGGTCCAGAATTTCAGTGTATTAGGAAACAGCCACACAGAACTTTCATCTGAGAAAATCACATTGTCCCAGTTAAAATTTCTATGCTGTAAGCACCAGTTCAACCTTTGCACCTTTTGTTCAGATTTCATGATCGGTGATGGGTTTCCTCGACGTTTCTGCCAACCCATTGCATGCAGCTCAATTCTAATTGACTCCTTACCCACAGCCACAGTTCCTCTATCAATCATACCCAGCCTTAAGTTTTCTAAACTCCTTCGTTTGTTTTTAGAAACAAGAATACCAAGCCGCCTCCTGTCACCGACAGTCAATTTTCTGGGCCTACCTGCGCCTCCCTGGTGCTCAATGCCATATCCATTTGCAATATTTTTCAAAACACGATAAACAGTGGACAAAGGGATGCCTGTTCTACTTGAAATCACTTTAGCTGATCTGATGTCCTTGTTATAATACTCTAAAATCAACTTCCTCTTCTCTAAATCATCCATACTGAGGATCACTGAAAATGTCGTCTGCTAGCAAGTAAACAAAGGGGATAACTCTTCACAAACTAATGAACGGAGTTGTCTCTCTTGAATGAAACCAAGCACTTGATAGCTGGTCAAGGTTGTTTATACTAGAAATCCAATTAACTATATTCCTAAAATTCTCAATAATTTCTGGTCATACTATAATAGTACGGCAGGTGTTTCGGTCATTAGCAATACTTGTTTTCAGTGTAGGTATTTCTTTCTCGTTTGGGGCACAAACGGAATCACACACGCTTGTAAACGATGTGTTACATATCCTCGTCATGCTCCTTCCTAACGTGAACTGACAAGAATCCATTATTCGCTATGCTTTGAAATTGCGCAGATTCATCACAATGAATAAGTGATGGTTGTGTAACCCCCTCTGAAATGTATTCCGGTTATGCGGCGCGTCCTCTTAATGTTAGAGACGAGACCCGTGATGGTTATAATTGATCTTCAGTAACCCATGCTTGTCGTAAGAGGCGACTAACGGGATCGGGTGGTCAGGCTCGCTGACTTGGTTGACACATGTCATCGTATCCCAATTGCGCAGATCGATGCTCATGCTGTTGATCACTGGATTGTCTGGTCCAGACTCGATTATTTACAGACTGCCGCCATATAGCTTGAATATATATTTAAACTCATTCACTCACTCTTAATGTTAGAAGATAACCGCACAGGGAATAAATACACTGTTTAGAACGCCGTAAATATCTGGTTTGGGTGTGAATCTGTGATTCCATGTTACAATTTGTTTTGGGGGCTGGTAGCTTAGTGGATAAAGCGTTCGCTCGTCACGCCGACGGGCCCGGGTTCTATTCCCCGCGCATGGGTACAATGTGTCAAACCCTTTTCACTCACTCACTCACTAACTCACTCGCTCACTACAATTTGTTTTATAAATGGGTTTTGATATGGCTTCCCTTGACAAAGCAGCCAAGAGTGTGATAGAAAGTTTCGTATAGGAAATTGGTTGTATGGTGGTTGCCTATCTTTGTTCAACCACAGTAAGTCGTATTATTCTATCATGGCCGCGCACATGTGTACATCATAAGCACGTGATATGCCAGGGGCCTGCCATATTTTTCTTTCGTCAGTTTGTTTCTATTGCATTTGTGATAGAATGAATTAATAAGCAATGCGAGGGTATATTTAGTTGTGATAGCGTTTTATCAAAGGGTACCTCCGTATTTTAACCGCACAATATCGAAGTACACTGTGTGGGAAATTGGTTGTATTGCCCATCTTGGTTCAACCCCAGTGGGGGCTGTGGGGTAGCCTAGTGGTTAAAGCGTTGGCTCGTCACGCCGAAGACCCGGGTACGAATCCCCACATGGGTACATTGTGTGAAACCCATTTCTGGTGTCCCCCGCCGTGATGTTGCTGGAATATTGCTAAAAGCGGCGTAAAACCAAACTCAGTCAGTCAGTCAACCACAGTAGGTCGTATTATTCCGTCGTGGTCGCGCATATACAAGCGCAAACGATGTGTTTATCAGATGCACGTGATTTGCCACCGGAATGGCTGTTTCTTGCGTTAGTTTGTTTTTAGTTTTCATTTCACATTGTTAGCTTGATGTGGGCCGCCTCCGTAGTGTAGTGGTTAGAGCGTCCACCCGGGGAACAAAAGGTCGGAGGGTCGATTCCCGGCCGCGTCATACCAAAAGACGTTAACCTGGCGCTCGGAATTAATGGGTAAAACAGGGACTGGTCAACTCGGAGTCAGTATAATTTGTCTGAGTGGGGTATTGATGCTTAACTGCGGCATGGTGTCTCAGTGAGCTAGCACTATAAAACCAGCTTAGTCTGGGCTAGTACAAACAGTCATGCATGCACGTCGTCATATGAGCGAAATATTCTTAAGTACAGCGTTAAGCCCCATTTCACCTCATTTGTTAGCTTGATGTGGGAAGGAAACCCCAACTGATACACACCTTGGACTCTCATGAAATCCACGAGCACGATAATATCAGTCAACAATCAGGAAACCGAATCAGGGACTACCTGGGGTTCGAACCACGATTACAGATTTCATGTTGACCTAAGGGACCCTTTCGAACATAGCGAATGACAGTAACTTAGCCCAAAGGGCACTCATGTGATGGTTTGATCCGTTGTTTTCAATGTGAATACCAGCTTTGAACAATGAGTAAGTCAGTGTACATTTATTGTAGATGTTTGCATCTATTGTATGTAATCGGGGTTATCACACTGCACTCGTGTAGTGGTTCCATCCAGTGGCATCAATGTGAACAATCGCGTTAGACAATGATTAAGTCAGTGTATACAAAACAGAGTTTGAGTAAAGTAAACCGGTGGTTGATAGGACGAGCAACAGCCAACGCTGTTGTTACACCCAAGAACACATGGCCAGCATTTCAGTAGGTGTGTCTGCTTCGGAACCCCCGACTAATTTGCTGCAAATATTAAGTAGTTAAGAAATATATCATCAGAAACATCGGGGCGGTCGGATAGCCTAATGGCTAAAGCGTCTGATCGTCATGTTGAAGACCCGGGTTCGAGTCTCCATATGTATATAATGTGTGCAGCCCATTTCTGGTGTGCCCAGTCGTGATATTACTGGAATATTATTAAAACATTGTAAAAACTCACTCACTCTCTCACTCACACTCACTCCTGGAATAGTCACCTCGGACGTCAAACAAATGTTGCTGGGATTTATTCCAATCCGGAATCAAAACAGCATACACATTCATGCAACGTTATAGATTTAAATCATTTATTTTCCTCCAAACTTAACAATAGGTAAAACAGAGATTCCGATATAAAAGACAAACAGCATGTTTCAGTTTTTCTTTCGTCATATCAGGTTAGGTTATGAAACGGGCTGACATCTTGGTGTCAGCTACATGATATTTGACGTGATTGTAAACAAAAGGCTTGTTTACTTTAGAAAGATACACATCAATACTCTACAACAAACCGACACATAAAATAATCATCAGCGAACATTCATAAGCATCTGAGATCAAAGACGTATCAAGGAATCACATAGGAAGAAATGACAAAGGCGCAAAATGTCATTTGAAAGGCACAAAATGATATTCTTTGGATGTGATATGGTCTGTAAGATTTTGCATTGTAAATTATACAGACACAATAATATTTTGTATTTCAATATTCCCAAGAATTTCAACAAAGGTATTTATTTGTGTGAAATGTTTATGTATTGTATCCGTGATGAGAGATATAGACTTGAGCACTTGACAATGAAACCGTAACTTTATCTATTGTCCCCGTTATTCATCCTCGTGGTCCATTGTTCATCCTGATTTGAAGAGGAGAACGGCCACCTGTCCCAGATAGAAGTAGACGAAGTGCTTGGTCTCGTGGGTGACGTAGCTGCCGAAGTTGCGGCCGACAATACAATGCCATGTGGGGTTGTACTTCTTGTCGAACTCTTTTTTAATGAATGCAGCAATGTCCTTCTCAATGTTGAACTTCTCCATAGCTTGAGTGGCGCATTCACAAGCGTCCTGCTGCATGTCCTCGCTCATGTCAGCGTTCTTGATGACGGCTTTTCTCTCAGACATGGTGTTCTGAAGAAGAAAAACGTTTTCCTGCGAATCAAAAATGTAACTTGCGAACGATTTGAAAACAGAGTGTGTGATTGGGTTTAGTTTTATGCCTCTTTAAGCAATATTCCAGCAATATGAAGGCGGGGGGACACCAGAAATGGGCTTCACACATTGTACCCACGTGGAGAATCGAACCCGGATCTTCGGCGTGACGAGCGCTCGCTTTAACCACTAGGCTTCTGCACGATATTTGGATTCTTCTTGTCGTTTTCCATGCGTAAAATTGAGAAGGTACAATAACTTCTTTGCCTAGAATTAGTGAAGGCTAGGACGGCGGGCTGGTTGAGAACATGAATGGAAGGCGGACTGGTTGAGAACATGAATGGAAGGCGGACTGGTTGAGAACATGAATGGAAGGCGGACTGGTTGAGAACATGAATGGAAGGCGGACTGGTTGAGAACATGAATGGAAGGCGGACTGGTTGAGAACATGAATGGAAGGCGGACTGGTTGAGAACATGAATGGAAGGCGGACTGGTTGGTAACATGAATGGAAGGCGGACTGGTTGGGAACATGGACGGAAGGCAGATTGGTTGAGAACATGGATGGAAGGCGGACTGGTTGAGAACATGAATGGAAGGCGGACTGGTTGAGAACATGAATGGAAGGCGGACTGGTTGAGAACATGAATGGAAGGCGGACTGGTTGAGAACATGAATGGAAGGCGGACTGGTTGAGAACATGAATGGAAGGCGGACTGGTTGGTTGGAACATGAATGGAAGGCAGACTGGTTGAGAACATGAATGGAAGGCGGACTGGTTGAGAACATGAATGGAAGGCGGACTGGTTGAGAACATGAATGGAAGGCGGACTGGTTGAGAACATGAATGGAAGGCGGACTGGTTGAGAACATGAATGGAAGGCGGACTGGTTGAGAACATGAATGGAAGGCGGACTGGTTGAGAACATGAATGGAAGGCGGACTGGTTGAGAACATGAATGGAAGGCGGACTGGTTGAGAACATGAATGGAAGGCGGACTGGTTGAGAACATGAATGGAAGGCAGACTGGTTGAGAACATGAATGGAAGGCGGACTGGTTGAGAACATGAATGGAAGGCGGACTGGTTGAGAACATGAATGGAAGGCGGACTGGTTGAGAACATGAATGGAAGGCGGACTGGTTGAGAACATGAATGGAAGGCGGACTGGTTGAGAACATGAATGGAAGGCGGACTGGTTGAGAACATGAATGGAAGGCGGACTGGTTGAGAACATGAATGGAAGGCGGACTGGTTGAGAACATGAATGGAAGGCGGACTGGTTGAGAACATGAATGGAAGGCGGACTGGTTGAGAACATGAATGGAAGGCGGACTGGTTGAGAACATGAATGGAAGGCGGACTGGTTGGTAACATGAATGGAAGGCGGACTGGTTGAGAACATGAATGGAAGGCGGACTGGTTGGTAACATGAATGGAAGGCGGACTGGTTGAGAACATGAATGGAAGGCGGACTGGTTGGTAACATGAATGGAAGGCGGACTGGTTGAGAACATGGATGGAAGGCGGACTGGTTGAGAACATGAATGGAAGGCGGACTGGTTGAGAACATGAATGGAAGGCGGACTGGTTGGTAACATGAATGGAAGGCGGACTGGTTGAGAACATGAATGGAAGGCGGACTGGTTGGGAACATGAATGGAAGGCGGACTGGTTGAGAACATGAATGGAAGGCGGACTGGTTGAGAACATGAATGGAAGGCGGACTGGTTGAGAACATGAATGGATGGCGGACTGGTTGAGAACATGAATGGCAGGCGGACTGGTTGAGAACATGAATGGAAGGCGGACTGGTTGAGAACATGAATGGAAGGCGGACTGGTTGAGAACATGAATGGAAGGCGGACTGGTTGAGAACATGAATGGAAGGCGGACTGGTTGGTAACATGAATGGAAGGCGGACTGGTTGAGAACATGAATGGAAGGCGGACTGGTTGAGAACATGAATGGAAGGCAGACTGGTTGAGAACATGAATGGAAGGCGGACTGGTTGGGAACATGAATGGAAGGCAGACTGGTTGGTAACATGAATGGAAGGCGGATTGGTTGGGAACATGGAATGGAAGGCAGACTGGTTGGGAACATGAATGGAAGGCAGACTGGTTGAGAACATGGATGGAAGGCAGATTGGTTGGGAACATGGATGGAAGGCGGACTGGTTGGGAACATGGATGGAAGGCAGATTGGTTGAGAACATGAATGGAAGGCAGACTGGTTGAGAACATGGATGGAAGGCAGACTGGTTGAGAACATGGATGGAAGGCGGACTGGTTGAGAACATGGATGGAAGGCATATGGATGGAAGGCAGATTGGTTGGGAACATGGATGGAAGGCAGACTGGTTGGAGAACATGGATGGAAGGCAGATTGGTTGGAACATGAATGGAAGGCAGACTGGTTGAGAACATGGATGGAAGGCAGACTGGTTGAGAACATGGATGGAAGGCGGACTGGTTGAGAACATGAATGGAAGGCAGGATTGGTTGGAGAACATGGATGGAAGGCAGATTGGTTGAGAACATGGATGGAAGGCAGACTGGTTGGAACATGGAATGGAAGGCAGACTGGTTGAGAACATGAATGGAAGGCAGACTGGTTGAGAACATGGAATGGAAGGCAGATTGGTTGAGAACATGAATGGAAGGCAGACTGGTTGGAACATGAATGGAAGGCAGATTGGTTGGGAACATGGATGGAAGGCGGACTGGTTGAGAACATGAATGGAAGGCGGACTGGTTGAGAACATGAATGGAAGGCGGACTGGTTGAGAACATGAATGGAAGGCGGACTGGTTGGGAACATGAATGGAAGGCGGACTGGTTGAGAACATGAATGGAAGGCGGACTGGTTGAGAACATGAATGGAAGGCGGACTGGTTGAGAACATGAATGGAAGGCGGACTGGTTGAGAACATGAATGGAAGGCGGACTGGTTGAGAACATGAATGGAAGGCGGACTGGTTGAGAACATGAATGGAAGGCATGGAAGGCAGGTTGGTTGAGAACATGGATGGAAGGCGGACTGGTTGAGAACATGAATGGAAGGCGGACTGGTTGGTAACATGGATGGAAAGCGGATTGGTTGGGAACATGGACGGAAGGCAGATTGGTTTGGGAACATGTTAGGTAGGCAGATTGGTTTGGGAACATGTTAGGTAGGCAGATTGGTTGGGAACATGGATGGAAGGCAGATTGGTGTGGGAACATGTTAGGTAGGCAGATCGGTTGTGAACATGGATGGAAGGCAGATTGGTTTTGGAACATGTTAGGTAGGCAGATTGGTTGTGAACGTGCTTTGAAGGCAGATTGGTTTGAGAACATGGAAGGAAGGCAGATTGGATTGGAACGTGGACGGAAGGCAGATTGGATTGGAACATGAATAAAAGGCAGATTGGTTGGGAACAATGATGGAAGGCAGACTGGATTGGAACGTGGATGGAAGGCAGATTGGATTGGAACATGAATAAAATGCAGATTGGTTTGAGAACATGGAAGGAAGGCAGATTAGTTGGGAACGTGGATGGAAGGCAGATTGGATTGGAACGTGGATGGAAGGCAGATTGGTTGGGGACGTGGATGGAAGGCAGATTGGATTGGAACGTTGATGGAAGGCAGATTGGTTGGGAACATGGATGGAAGGCAGATTGGTTAGGAACATGGATGGAAGGCAGAGCTTGATTGGGAACATGGATGGAAGGCAGATTGGTTGGGAACGTGGATGGAAGGAAGATTGGTTGGGAACGTGGATGGAAGGCAGATTGGTTGGGAACATGAATAAAAGGCAGATTGGTTCGGAACGTGCTTTGAAGGCAGATTGTATGCGAATTGTATGCGAATATGTATGGAAGGCAGATTGGATGAAAACATGGAAAGAGTGAGTGAGAAAGGTTTTACTCCGCTTTTAGCAATATTCCAGCAATATCACGGCGGGGAACATGTGGGGAATCAGAACCGAGTTTTTGGCGTGGCCAGAGAACGCTCAAACAACTACGCTACCCCACCGCCCACGTGTATATGTTGAAGGATATTATTCCCCTTCAGATTCATTCCACTGAGAGTAATATCCACGATAAAATTCAGTTGAATATGTTACCATAGATGATATCTCCACAGGTATATTTCTGGAATATTTTCTCAAAACAATTTTTATGAATCATCTTTCCTCCGTAAATAATTCATCTCCGGAAACATTAATCGTTCACATATATTACCCATGTAATCTTACTTTGAGAGCCTATAGCCAATCCTTAACATAAGCAGATATGGTCGATTCCAACGAAGAGTGTACACAGCTGGGTACAAGGTGTCCAAAATAGAATTGCTTGCACCTTGTAATTTCTTTTACCAATGTAAAGTCAACACATTTGCCCCTTATGACAATCAGTTGCTATCACTAATCTCTAAAAGTGACAAGTTGGTGGATCAGTGAAGTTGAAGGCTCATTTTCTAAATTACCTACAAATACCAACATCATACGTTGTATATCTTGTGATTAGATGGGTTATATGTTGCCTAACATCCAAATTCACTGTTGTTCTGCATGCACAATATGTTAATGAATATAGAAACTCTGAAGCCATACCATGGTTTCTTTCATGTTTTATAACCTCAAGCTTTACGAAAATAGAACCATTTTGGTACCTTTGTTTGATGTAAGTGAGATAGCACCACTTAGTGTTCTTTTCACAAACAAATCGTTATTACATATCTATCTTATTCATCTGAGAGACAACGAGTGGAACGTTTGGTAAGTACAACAAATTTGAAAATGCATCAATATCTAAAGTTTGGGTGGAAGATAAAAAAATTTACTTGTAGGTAACAAATATCACGTAATTCCTTGTATTTCATAAATGTTTATATATGTAAAACTAAATCGTAGCTGGTTTATTAAAAACATCGAACAGTTTGGAAATTGTTTTCTAAATGCATAGGACATGTGAATGAAGATTGTTCACAACCAGTTTAAGGCTTTCTCTTTGTTTTGTCTCAGTGTAGCAATGTCATTTTAACTGATGGAAATATACTTCTCATAAAAAGTTTAGACTCACTAGAAACACTCACTATATGTTTAGACTGTGTATGTATGTATGTATGTATATATGTATATATATATATATATATATATATATATATATATATATATATATATATATATATATATATATATATATATATAAAGAAAGTGATGAGAATACTGAGAGTACACTAGAAACACTCACTATATGTTATGTGTGTGTGTGTGTGTATGTATATGTATGGTCACATCAAAGATTGATTTCTCCACTAACTTGGAGGAACCAACTGCAAACCTTATCCAGATGAATTGCACGAGGAACATGCATCAAATTGCTGAAAAGCATGTACAAATATCGTACATGTGAACAGCTGCGTTTTGGTGTAATGATTTTTATCATTTATTGAACTCATAACAATAATCTTTTCAACATTGCGAATTTGTTTTACAATACATGAGTCCATGTGCAAAATTTAGTTTAAAACAGTCGCCTGAAGTAAGTGGCTATATTTACACTAGTGAGTCTAAACTGTTGATGAGAAGTATAGAAATTGAACTAAAGTCATTACATCTGAAATGTTATTTGCCAAATGTTTCAACTAACATTTGTATTCAAAGAAAGCACATCACAAATGTTCAAAACGCTTGAACTATTACCATATACCATATAAAATTATGTACAGATAAACATGTCACTAAAACCATCAATACATTATACGTCTTACTGAACTTTAACTCTGCTTTAATTACCCATATTTTGCAATGACAATTGCTATTAGATAGACATTTACAGAAAGGTTTAACTACAAAAACGAGTTACCTACGAATAAGACATACCTTTGACAAATCTAATTACTAAACCTATGCAACTTACTTCTACTACAGTCTCAATTCTCCTATGTTCGCAAGTGCATCGGTGACAGCCCTGAACAAGACATACAATTTCAAACACACTGACTGATGTTACAACTTCAAACACACTGACTGATGTTACAACTTCAAACACACTGACTGATGTTACAATTTCAAACACACTGACTGATGTTACAATTTCAAACACACTGACTGATGTTACAACTTCAAAAACACTGACTGATGTTACAACTTCAAACACACTGACTGATGTTACAACTTCAAACACACTGACTGATGTTACAACTTCAAACACACTGACTGATGTTACAACTTCAAACACACTGACTGATGTTACAACTTCAAACACACTGACTGATGTTACAACTTCAAACACACTGACTGATGTTACAACTTCAAACACACTGACTGATGTTACAACTTCAAACACACTGACTGATGTTACAACTTCAAACACACTGACTGATGTTACAACTTCAAACACACTGACTGATGTTACAACTTCAAACACACTGACTGATGTTACCTACAAGTACGGAATGTTACCAACGAATACACATGTTACATACGAATCTACCGTTTATCCCGTGATATCATGCAAACTTTTACTTTTATCACCAAGATCAACTTGTTTTCTGACATTTCAATCAAAAAGAATTCATTATATATCACTATAATAAGGTCTAAACCACGAACTGCAGTGCATCCCTGAATAGAACATTAATATTCGTGCAGAAAATGTAAAATACACTTACTAATTACCAATATGTTGTCTGGTCTCATCTATGATGACTTCCAAATGGAACACATGTCACGTGTTGTCATTCCACCAATCTATTTTAATGTGATCAATTGTTGGTACTTTTGGGAGTTAAAATTTACTTACGAATACAGGTTATTTTGTGTGATATCTTCGTAAACACAGCACAGAAAATGTTCAGATGTAGCACACGTATATATTGAGGCCCTTTGCACTTGAACTTCGGATATCATTCACTAATGTGTTCATTTGTGGAAACAGCAACATATTCAATGGTATTTGTAGGTAACCTGATTTTTTTTACCAAATCAGACTTTGATTTTCTAACATTTTTTCAGATTAAGAAATATTATGTAACGCCATTGCATTTGAGTACTTTACATATTAATGCTGTAAAAAGTAATACAAAACATAACCTTGTGTTGCATTCACATAAATTGACAGAGTCATTGAAAACTGTATTCGTAGGTAACGCAAAAAAATACCACTTGAAAACAAATTACCAAAATTACGAATTAAACCCTAGACAAAATCATTTCAGGGGATTTATTCATGAAATATTTGGCAATCAGATTACGTTGTTCACTTTTCGTTGGAATCGACCATATATGGTTGTATGTGCACTTTAAACAATTTCCAATAAAACATACTATAACTCCGACAACCGGCTTCACATAAGGAAATCGTCCGGAACGACCTCTGGCGTGACATTACCTAAACTACCATGTATATGATTTTCCCTTCCGCCCAACCCTCTCTGCAATGCAAAAAGCTCTAATGAAACGACTTTGGATTTGCCTCCGGTTTTGAATCTCCTATATCATTCGGGATACTTTTCAGTTTAGATTGAGTCAGATCTATTTGTTTCTATCAAAATTACATATTTTCAGCGAATGAGCATTTAGACATCATTGAGGCAGACATGGACAGTAGCACAACAGTGATAGGCGTGACGGTAAATATAATATAAGCTCGATAGAACTAGAAATCTATATTACAACATTGATTCAACATTTCAGTCTAAATGTGTTTATATACGAATGTGGGGACAGTTTAGTACACTTACCTGACTTGTGTGAAAAATCCAATGAAAATCTCCGGATAACTGGCAAGTTGTGATATCGAAACCAAATTATTTCATTTCGATGTTAATTTTTGTTACATATCGTCCCATAACAACTGTACCACGCTATGATTAGACATTCCATTGGTTAAATACTGCAGTTTGACTGGCTGAGTCGAGTGTTTACTGTAGGAGGTTTTAACTTCCCGGCATGCAAAACGCGCGCATCCCCAAACTCATTCATGACAACCAGCGAGCTCTATGCAGGTAATAGACTACGACGAATAATTATGTGTATGATGCATACAATTTCGAGTTTAGTCGGCGTGTTGCGTGTCACAGCACATATGTTGAACGCTTGAATGATCCCGGAACTCAATTCAGAATAAGCTGTGCGAAGCTGAACTGTTTTACAATATAGGATGTAGTTGATATTCACCGAAAATGATATACCTGCTACATAACTGTGATACGAGAGTTAGCTGGCGCGGCAGTTAGATAATAGTAGGCCAGGTGTTTCGGTCATTAGCAATGCTTGTTTTCAGTGTAGGTATTTCTTTCTCGTTTGGGGCACAAACGGAATTACACACGCTTGTAAACGATGTGTTATATATCCTCGTCATGCTCCTTCCTAACTGCCGTGATACTGCTGGAATATTGTTAAAAGCGGCGCAATACTAAACTCACTCAGTCCTAACGTGAACTGACAAGAATCCATTATTCGCTATGCTTTGAAATTGCACTGGTTCATCACAATGAATAAGTGAATGGTTGTGTAACCGCTTTGAAATGTATTCCGGTTATACGGCGCGTCCTCTTAATGTTAGTATGGTATAAAACCTCACTCACTCACTCACTCACTCACTCACTCACTCACTCACTCACTCACTCACTCACTCACTCACTCACTCACTCACTCACTCACTCACTCACTCACTCACTCACTCACTCACTCACTCACTCACTCACTCACTCACTCACTCACTCACTCACTCACTCACTCACTCACTCACTCACTGCAGGTACAAGGCTGATTCTGAAAGGGAGTCTGTGCTTCTTGCCGCACTCCAGCATCCACGCCTTGTAATGTAAGTAACCGAGCATGGACTAGACGATCCAGTGATATGTGTTGGGTCAACAGGGTGCAAGATCACCAAACGCATCTTTGACAATAAAAGTCGCCTCGGGCGTCAAACAAATATTGCTGGGATGTTGCTGGGATTCATTCTAATCCGGAATCAAAGCAATGGACATATTTTATGAAAAGTTACTGGAACAGAATACACATTCATGCAAAGTTAGATTTAAATTATTTATTTTCCCCAAAACTTAACAATAGGTAAAACTGAGATTGTAACATGAACGATAAACAACTTATTTCAATATTTTCTTTTGACATATCTTGTTAGGATTTGAAACGGGTTGACGTCTTGGTGTCAGCTAAATGGTGTTTGACCTGATTTTAAACAGAAGGTTTATTTACTTTAGAACGATACACATCAATACTTTACAACAAAACGACAAACAAACTGATCATCTGTGAACATTCATAAAAGTCTGAGATCAAAGACGTATCAAGGGATCAGATAGGAAGATAAGACAAAGGTGCAAAATGTCATTTAAAAGGCACAAAGTATTATTTTCATTGGATGTGATATGGTCTGTAAAATTTTGCATTGTTCACTTATACAGAGAAAATAATATTTTGTATTTCAATATTCCCAAGAATTTCAACAAAGGTATTTATTTGTGTGAAATATTTATGCATTATATCCTAGATGGGAGATATGGACTTGAGGACTTGGCAGCCGTAATGTTATCTATTGGTTTCATAATCCATCTTCATGGTTCATTGTTCAAACTGATTTGAAGAGGAGAACGGCCACCTGTCCCAGATAGAAATGGATGAAGTGCTTGGTCTCGTGGGTGACGTAGCTGCCAAAGTTGCGGCCGACAATACAATGCCATGTGGGGTTGTACTTCTTGTCGAACTCCTTCTTGATGTATGCAGCGATGTCCTTCTCAATGCTGTACTTCTCCAAAGCTTGAGTGGCGCTATCAATAGCGTCCTGCTGCATGTCCTCGCTCATGTCAGCCTTCGTGATGGCGGCTTTTCTCTCAGACATGGTCTCCTGAAGAAGAAAAACATTTTCTCCGAATCAAAATGCAGCTTGCGTCCAATTTGTAAACCGAGGAGTGGGTGAGTGAGTGAGTTTAGTTTTACGCCGCTTCCAGCAATATTCCAGCAACATCACGGCGGAGACACAAGAAATGTGTTTCACACATTGTACCCATTTGGGGAATCGACCCTGGCATGACGAGTGAACGCTTTAACCACTAAAGTACTGTCGGAAATACAAAAATACTTAGGTTTTTTAGCTGTTACTCTGTATCCCTAACATTCACACAATTACAAATAGCCTATGTCGAAATAACCCACATCGACCTTACAGTCGATTTCAGCTTTAGTTTAAAGACTAAGCACACAGTTTTATTGAAATGTCCACAAACATATTCGAGATCCCTGCCCCTTTTTTATGTTCCGTAACACATATGGTTCACTGGATGAACTACCTGTACGTCTCTCACTTTCAGATTAAGATTCTTCAGTGTTTTTACTGGTGAGATGCAATCAATTATAATCACACTATAATCGGTGATCAGTAAACACACCAAGACAGTCTAATTGCAGTTTCACAACTGAGCTTGACGCTAAACCTCGCGGCAATATCCGTTTTCGATTGTCGTCTTTTGTGACAAGCAGAAAATGTTGAGGACCAAATCTAACCCGGAATCCACACGGGTGAAGTTATCAGGTACATGTATATGTTCGTGAGTGAGTGAGTTTAGCTTTAGCAATATTCCAGCAATATCGCGCCGGAGACACCAGAAATGGGCTTCACACATTGTACACATGTGGGAATCGAACCTGGGTCTTTGGCGTGATGAGAGAAGGCTTTAACCACTAGGCTAACCCACCGCCCTGCATGTATACGTTAAAGGATATTATTCCCCCTTCAGATTCTTTTCATGGACGGTAATATCCATGTTAATTTTCCAGTTGAATATGGTACCACAGATCATAGTTCCACAGGTGTACTTCTGGAATATTTTCTCATAAACATTCTCATGAATGATCTTTCCTCCGTGAACTAGTTCACCCGGAAACATTAATCGTTAACATGTATTACCCCAGAAGGTTCCCTTATTATGAGAGCCTATAACGAACCTTAGACATAAGTGGATATGGTTGTAAAGTGCACAATTTCCAACAAATTGTTATAATTCCTACAACTGGTTTCACATAAGGAAATCGTATGGAGCTACCGCTTTCGTGACAAGCGAACACTTTGACCAGGCAAGGATTTACAAATGATTGCCAGCAGAGTCCAATAAAATGAGCACTGGGACCTGTGTTCGTTCGTTCGTTTGTTTGCACGCACGCATCAATAGGCAAGCTATATAGGACCGCCGTCTGTGAAGATTTCAGCCTAGACCAGACAATCTGTAATAAGTGATCTGGTTGACTTTACGTCATAACTGAATCACTGGCTTGCCTGGTTCATTCTACATTATTTATGGACTAACTCGATGAATCATGAATGTTACTGAGGTTTACAAACCGTTCCTAACCACAGCGATATCCCGATACTGCGGACCAATTCTGTTTGTGAGTGCGTGAGTGCGTGAGTGTGTTAAGAGTTTAACTCACATCAGCAGTATTTCAGCTATATGGTGACTGATTCTATTTGTACCAGGCGACGCAGATCTATTACAGACAAGAACAAAACAATCATACAGAAAAGGATCAATATAAACAGTCAGAGGTGCCTTTGTTTTCATATAAATATGTAAAGGCTTTTTCATTCAAACAAAATGAAAGTCATGGTTGAGACGAATACCAGTTCTGCAAAACTGTTTAGGTGTGTCTCCGCCATTACTATCCGGGTCAATATAGATACCGGTAGAGTCAGTTAGAAAACTAGATTAACCGATGATCAGTTTGGTTAGGCCACAAGTTGTTGTTCATTGTTCGTCAGATTGTTTAGTTCAAACTGAGTATTTTCGAATACGTGGCATATTCACCTACAATCTATCCATTTTGTACAGTATATATGATGAAACTGTAGTCTGTCCAACTGTCCCTCGACAATATATATGATGACACTGTAGTCTGTCCAACTGTCCCTCGACAGTATATATGATGACACTGTAGTCTGTCCAACTGTCCCTCGACAGTATATATGATGACACTGTAGTCTGTCCAACTGTCCCTCGACAGTATATATGATGACACTGTAGTCTGTCCAACTGTCCCTCGACAGTATATATGATGTTCCCTTCCGCCCAACCCTCTCTGGTATGCAAAATGAAACGAGTTTAGATTTGCCTACGGTTTTGAATCTCCCATACCATTCGGGACCCTTTTCAGTTTAGATTGAGTCAGATCTATTTGTTTCTATCAAAATAACATATTTTCAGAGAATGAGCATTTAGACATCATTGGGGCAGACATGGACAGCAGGAAAACAGTGATAGGCGTGACGGTAAATATAATATAAGCTCGATAGAACTAGAAATCTTTATTACAACATTGATTCAGCATTTCAGCCTAAATGTGTTTATATAAGAAGGTGGGGACAGTTTAGTCCACTTACCTGATTTGTATGGAAGTCCTATGGAAATCGCCAGACAAGTTGTGATATCGAAACCAAAGTATTTTATTTCGATGTTACCTTTGCTTACATATCGTCCTACAACAACTGCATCACGCTAATATCTGAAATTCCATTGGTTAAATACTGCAATCTGAGTGGCTGCCATGCTTGGGGCGGATACAGGGACTGGGCAGATGTCCACCTTGGCAGAATTTCTTCAACCTAAACAATGGGACAATGAGAACGGTGGATGCCCATCAGATGCCGTTATTTGAAAAATATCCCCGGTAGTTCTAGTCTAATGTATTCTAGCAATGTAAGCTTTGTTTATGCGTTTATGGTATGATAACTGATGCCATTTGATCCTATTTCTGTGTTTTGTTACCTTGACATGTGACTAGTTCATGTAACAATGTGATGTCTTTTGACCTATTACATTAAAAACCAAAGTTTGATTTATTTGAATCCCTAAATTAAATCAACCTAACTTTGCCATTGCTAGAAAAGTCTAAACAAATTGCTTAGATAAGTATACAGTTTTAACTTTAGAGCACATGCTGTATTTGTTATGCAGCAATGAAGTTCCGTTCATATGCTCAAAACAGCATCAAGGCAATTAAAATTGCAATACAATACAGCGATTACTACTCTCTTGCTGTAACCCATGTTTGGTGGTGTAAACCTACACCTGTTTATTTGTTTATTCACTTTATGGTCAGTTAATGAAATTATAACAGGTATAATTAGTAGTAACACCACTCAGATTTCCCGACAAAGGTCCCCATATGTCTGGAGTAAATACTCAACATTATAAATTAAGGTCTGGTGTGGCATATGTATTACGTGTTATGTAATATGCGCATGGATGTGCGGCAAGAGGAATTATCAAACAAAACCAAACAAACATCAATCAAAGGATTAACCGATAACATAACACGTTAATTGATTAATAACTTCTATCTTGCACAAAGGATTTGTCAAAAGGTTGTGTACAGTGTATATATATCTAGATTTACTAACGTATACTGAATACACCCTGTCGTAAAGTGCCTGTGTAAAAACAACGCCCTTCCTTCAAAGGATTGTGGGGCGGTAGGGTAGCCTAGTGGTTAAAGCTTTGGCTCGTCACGCCGAAGACCCGGATTCGAATCCCCACATGGGCACAATGTGTGAAGCCCATTTCTGGTGTCCCCCGCCGTGATGTTTCTGAAATATTGCTAAAAGCGGCGTAAAACCAAAACTCAGTCAGTCCAAGGATTGACCGGCAATACGTTGATTGATTGCTCATTGTTGTATAACTAATTACTTTCAAAATAATGGTGGACATCATGCAAATAGTTGTCACATATGCGATCTTGGGTGACCAATGAGACTATACACCAATGTGAAAAACCTGAAACAGTCACGTGACCAGTAGAGAAATTATCACTAGTTATTACTTGTTTGAGTGGCAGTTAGAAGCTGTTTTCTAACGGCATTAGCATCTACACCGAAACGTCACATCGATTGCAATAAAGACGTTGTCTGTCCATAAAAACGTCCCTGTTTATCACCAGTTATAACGATTTATACAACTTTAGCATATTTCACTGTTAAAAGACAGATGATATGGAACAGATTGGCACATCGTTCCTTTATGTGGATATTGATGGATACATTCCTCGATCAAGGTAAGGGCCTGATGTTATTGTTATAAATTTATTCGGTATTAATTTGAATATCTGCATTTTGTTTACATTCTTTTCTTGTAGCATCCCACAGAATCATTCTACTTCATTTCTTTGCGCCGTGAAGTTTAATGAGACAGACAACATACACAAGGTCGAACTTAGGATGCGTGTGTGAAATATGATTCACGAAGGCAATTTATAAAATGTTTAGATATTTCAGTCATGTTATAAATTCACTAAACAGATCGTTCCAAAATCCATAAACATATATCAATAAATATTTAGGATTATAAGACAAAGATGTGAAGCCGTACATTGACTTTGACATATTTTCCCACTGGCAGATGAAGTTAAACTTCAATTTGTTTTCATTTGTTATCATAATAATGAAGATGGAAATATAAATGAATAAATGAAATTGCATCTTCTTTGTTGATCAAAGTCAGGATATACATATCATATACATATACTACCAATTGAACTTACGGGTGGCGCATTTAGAGATAGCAACTCAGTCAAGAATTCTGGGATATCGTCCGGGTACTCACGGGGGATAAACAATAACAAAAGCAACAACCAGTCCCAGGGGAATTGCTCTGGATCAGTGTCCCTTTAAGTTCCCGGCATGCTAAACTAAACGGGCGCATCCCTAAACTCATTCATGACAACCAGCGAGCTCTATGCAGGTAATAGACTACGACGAATAATTATGTGTATGATGCATGATATTCGACTTTAGCTGACGGGTTGTGTGTCACAGCACATATGTTGAACGCTTGAATGATCCCGGCACTCAATTCAGAATAAGCTGTGCGGAGCTGAACTGTGTTACAATATAGGATGTGGTTGATATACACCGAAAGTGATATACCTCCTATATAACCGTGACACGAGATTTGACTGACGCCGGCAGTGAGATAATAGTGAGTGAGTGAGGTTCGCACTCAGCAATATTCCAGCTATATGGCGACGGTCTGTAAATAATCTAGTTCAATTCAATCCAATTCATTTTATTCTCAAAAAGAACCACCCACGGTGGTACAGGAGAAAAGTTTTCCAAAAATAACAAATATTTGTACTTTACATGATGGCGGTTATATTGTACTAGACAATCCAATGATCAAAGTAAGATAATAGTACGCCAGGTGTTTTGGTCATTAGCAATGCTTGTTTTCAGTCTACTTATTTCTTTCTCGTTTGGGGCACAAACAGAATCACACACGCTTGTAAACGATGTGTTATATATTCTCGTAATGCTCCTGCCGTGATATTGCTGGAATGTTGCTGAAAGCGGCGTAAAACTAACTCACTCACTCTTTACGTGAACTGACAAGAATCCATTATTCGCTATGCTTTGAAATTGAACATGTTCACCACAATGAATAAGTGAATGGTTGTGTAACCGCCTTGAAATGCATTCCGCTTACACGGCGCCCCCTCTTAATGTTAGTATGGTATGGGACGGTGGGGTAGCCTAGTGGTTAAAGCGTTGGCTCGTCACGCCGAAGACCCGGGTTCGAATCCCCACATGGGTACAATGTGTGAAGCCCATTTCTGATGTCCCCCGCCGTGATGTTGCTGGAATATTGCTAAAAGCGGCGTAAAACCTAACTGAGTCAGTCAGTATGGTATAAAACCTCACTCACTCACACACTCACACACTCGCTCGCTCGCCCGACTTACTCACTAACCATTAGGCTACCCCACCTCCCCTTAATCGAGCATGATCAAGACGATCCAGTAGTGTGTATTCGGTGAAAGGTCACCAAGCATTCAATGAAACATTGCTTTGACAATAATAGTCAACAAATGTTGCTGGGATTTATTCGAATCCGGAATCAAAATATATCTTAATGGAACAGCATAGACATTTATGCAAAGTTGGCTTTAAATCATTTATTTTCCCCAAAACTCAACAACAGGTGAACCAGAAATTGTGATATAAAAGATAAACAACTCATTTGAATATTTTCTTTTGACATATCTTGTTAGGATATGAAATGGGTTGACATGATTTTAAACAAAAGGTTTATTTACTTTAGAAAGATCAACAACAAAACGACGAACACAATAATCATTTGCAAACATTCATAAAAGTCTGAGATTAAAGACGTATCAAGGAATGACATAGGAAGAAATGACAAAGGTGCAAAATGTCATTTGAAAGGCACAAAATGATATCTTCATTGGATGGTATATGGTCTGTAAGATTTTGCATTGTTCACTTATACAGACAATATAATATTTTGTATTTCAATATTCCCAAGAATTTCAAGGTATTTGTGTGAAATATTTATGCATTATATCCGAGATGGGAGATATAGACTTCAGCACTTGACAGTGGTAACTTTATCTAGTGTCTTCATAATCTTCATTGTTCATTGCTCAAACTGATTTGAAGAGGAGAACGGCCACCTGTCCCAGATAGAAATGGATGAAGTGCTTGGTCTCGTGGGTGACGTAGCTGCCAAAGTTGCGGCCGACAATACAATGCCATGTGGGGTTGTACTTCTTGTCGAACTCCTTCTTGATGTATGCAGCGATGTCCTTCTCAATGCTGTACTTCTCCAAAGCTTGAGTGGCGCTATCAATAGCGTCCTGCTGCATGTCCTCGCTCATGTCAGCCTTCGTGATGACAGCTTTTCTGTCAGTCATGGTCTCCTGAAGAACAAAAACAGTTTCTCCGAATCAAAATGCAGCTTGCGTCTAATTTGTAAACCGAGGAGTGGGTGAGTGAGTGAGTTTAGTTTTACGCCGCTTCCAGCAATATTCCAGCAACATCACGGCGGAGACACAAGAAATGTGTTTCACACATTGTACCCATTTGGGGAATCGACCCTGGAATGACGAGTGAACGCTTTAACCACTAAAGTACTATCGGAAATACAAAAATACTTAGGTTTTTTAGCTGTTACTCTGTATCCCTAACATTCACACAATTACAAATAGCCTATGTCGAAATAACCCACATCGACCTTACAGTCGATTTCAGCTTTAGTTTAAAGACTAAGCACACAGTTTTATTGAAATGTCCACAAACATATTCGAGATCCCTGCCCCTTTTTTATGTTCCGTAAAACATATGTTTCACTGGATGAACTACCTGTACGTCTCTCACTTTCAGATTAAGATTCTTCAGTGTTTTTACTGGTGAGATGCAATCAATTATAATCACACTATAATCGGTGATCAGTAAACACACCAAGACAGTCTAATTGCAGTTTCACAACTGAGCTTGACGCTAAACCTCGCGGCAATATCCGTTTTCGATTGTCGTCTTTTGTGACAAGCAGAAAATGTTGAGGACCAAATCTAACCCGGAATCCACACGGGTGAAGTTATCAGGTACATGTATATGTTCGTGAGTGAGTGAGTTTAGTTTTAGCAATATTCCAGCAATATCGCGCCGGAGACACTCATAAACATTCTCATGAATGATCTTTCCTCCGTGAACTAGTTCACCCGGAAACATTAATCGTTAACATGTATTACCCCAGAAGGTTCCCTTATTATGAGAGCCTATAACGAACCTTAGACATAAGTGGATATGGTTGTAAAGTGCACTTTGCACAATTTCCAACAAATTGTTATAATTCCTACAACTGGTTTCACATAAGGAAATCGTATGGAGCTACCGCTTTCGTGACAAGCGAACACTTTGACCAGGCTTACCCCGCCCCTAAGGTAAGTGTGGAGTCGAAAGGCAAGGGTTTACAAATGATTGCCATCAGAGACCAATAAAATGAGCACTGGGACCTGTGTTCGTTCGTTCGTTTGTTTGCACGCACGCATCAATAATCAAGCTATATAGGACCGCCGTCTGTGAAGATTTCAGCCTAGACCAGACAATCTGTAATAAGTGATCTGGTCGACTTTACGTCATAGCTGAATCACTGGCTTGCCTGGTCCATTCTACATTATTTATGGACTAACTCGATGAATCATGAATGTTACTGAGGTTTACAAACCGTTCCTAACCACAGCGATATCCCGACACTGCGGACCAATTCTGTTTGTGAGTGCGTGAGTGAGTTAAGAGTTTAACTCACATCAGCAGTATTTCAGCTATATGGTGACTGATTCTATTTGCACCAGGCGACGCAGATCTATTACAGACAAGAACAAAACAATCATCTAGAAAAGGATCAATATAAACAGTCAGAGGTGCCTTTGTTTTCATATAAATATGTAAAGGCTTTTTCATTCAAACAAAATGAAAGTCATGGTTGAGACGAATCCCAGTTCTGCAAAACTGTTTAGGTGTGTCGCCGCCATTACTATCCGGGTCAATATAGATACCGGTAGAGTCAGTTAGAAAACTAGATTAACCGATGATCAGTTTGGTTAGGCCACAAGTTGTTGTTCATTGTTCGTCAGATTGTTTAGTTCAAACAGTATTTTCGAATACGTGGCATTTTCACTAACATTCTATCCATTTTGTACAGTATATATGATGACACTGTAGTCTGTCCCTCGACTATATGATTTTCCCTTCCGCCCAAACCTCTCTCAATGCAAAAAGCCCTAATGAAACGATTTTAGATTTGCCTCCTGTTTTGAATCTCCTATATTATTCGGGATCCTTTTCAGTTTAGATTGAGTCAGATCTATTTGTTTCTATCAAAATTTCATATTTTCAGCGAATGAGCATTTAGACATCATTGAGGCAGACATGGACAGAAGGACGCGACGCGGGACAACAGTGATAGGCGTGACGGTAAATAACAGAGATATAAGAGCGATAGAACTAGAAATCTATATTACAACATTGATAAAACATTTCAGTCTAAATGTGTTTATATAAGAATGGACAGTTTAGTCCACTTACCTGATTTGTATGGAAGTCCTATGAAAATCGCCTGGCAAGTTGTGATATCGAAACCAAATTATTTCATTTCGATGCTACCTTTGCTTACATATCTGTATCACGCTAATATCAGAAATTCATTGGTTAAATGCTGCAATTTGACTGGCTGTCATGCTTGGGGCGGACACAGGGACTGGGCAGATGTCCACCTTGGCAGAATTTCTTCAACCTAAACAATGGGACAATGAGATCGGTGGATGCCCATCAGATGCCGTTATTTGAAAATATCCCCGGTAGTTCTAGTCTAATGTATTCTAGCAGAGTAAGCTTTTTTATGCGTTTATTGTATGATGACTGATGCGATTTGATCCTATTTCTGTGTTTTGTTACCTTGACATGTGACTAGTTCATGTAACAATGTGATGTCTTTTGACCTATTACATTAAAAACCAACGTTTGATTTATTTGAATCCCTAAATTAAATCAACCTAACTTTGCCATTGCTAGAAAAGTCTAAACAAATTGCTTAGGTAAGTATACAGTTTTTAACTTTAGAGCACATGTTGTATTTCTTTTGCAACAATGAAGTTCCGTTCATATGCTCAAAACAGCATCAAGGCAATTAAAATTGCTATACAATACAGCGATTACTACTCTCTTGCTGTAACCCATGTTTGGTGGTATAAACCTACACCTGTTTATTTGTTTATTCACTTTATGGGCAGTTAATGTACTTATAACAGGTATAATTAGTAGTAACACCACTCAGATTTCCTGAAAAAATGTCTGGAGTAAATACTCAACATTATAAATTAAGGTCTGGTGTGGCAAATGTATTACGTGTTATGTAATATGCGCAAGGATGTGCAGCAAGAGGAATTATTCGCTGAGTTAAAAAACAAACATCGATCAAAGAATTAGCCGATAACACGTTGATTGATTCATTACTTTTATCCAACGGATTTATCAAAATGTAGTGTTTATGTGCGTAGATTTACTAACATATACTGAATACACGCTGTCGTAAAATGAGTCTGTAAAAACAACGCCCTTCCTTCAAAGGATTACCGGAAAATACGTTGATTGATTGCTCATTGGTGTCTAACTAAATTACTTTCAAAAGAATGGTGGACATCATGCAAATAGTTGTCACATATGCGATCTTGGGTGACCAATGAGACTATACACCAATGTGGAAATCCTGAAACAGTCACGTGACCAGTTGAGAAACTATCACTAGTTATTACTTCTTTGAGTGGCAGTAAGAAGCTGATTTGCTAACGGCATTAGCATCAACAGCGAAACGTCACATCGATTGCAATAAAGACGTTGTCTGTCCATAAAAACACATTCCTGTTATAACGGTTCAAACATGTTTTGCATATTTGACTGTTAAAAGGGACATGGAACATGTTTCTTTGTCAGCAGCAGATGAATGGCACATCGTTCTTTATGTGGATATTGATGGATACATTCCTCGAACAAGGTAACGGCTTGATGTTATTGCTATAATTGTATTCGGTTTTAACTTGAATATCTTCATTTTCTTTATATTCTTTTCTTGTAGCATCCAATAGAATCATTCCACTTCATTTCTTGCGCCGTGAAGTTTGATGAGACAGACAACAGACAACAAGGTCGCTCTTAGGGCGTGTGTGTGAAATATGATAAACGGAGGCAATTTATAAAATGTCTAGATATTTCAGTCATGTTATAAATTCACTAAACAGATCGTGTACATTTTATGAAGATCCAAAATGCATAAAAATATATGAATAAATTATTTAGGATTATATGACAAAAATCTGAAGACGTATATTGACTTCGGGGCTTTTTTTCAGTCCTAACATATTTTCCCACTGGCAGATGAAGTTTAACTTCAATTTGCTTTTCATTTTTTATCATAATAATGAGGATGGAAATATTAATGAGTAAAAGAGATTGCATCTTCTCTGTTGATCACTGTCAGGATATACATATCATATACATATACTACCAATTGAACTTACGGGTGGCGCATCAGAGATCGCAACCCAGTCAAGAATTCTGGGATACCATCCGGGTACTCGCGGGGGATAAACAATTATAAAAGCAACAACCAGTCCCAGGGAATTCCTCTGGATCAGTGTCCCTTTCCCTTCCCGGCATGCTAAACGGGCGCATCCCCAAACTCATTCATGACAACCAACGAACTGTATGCAGACTAAGACGAATATTTAGGTGTATGGTGCATGAAATTTCGACTTTAGCTGACGGGTTGTGTGTCAAAGCACCTATGTTCAACGTTTGAATGATCCTGGAACTTCAGAATAAGCTGCGTGAAGCTGAACTATCTTATAATGTGGTTGATATACACCGAAAGTGATATACCTCCTATATAACCGTGACACGAGAGTTGCTGACCCCTTAAGATATCAGGTCGCCATGTGTTTCGGTCATTAGCAATGCTTGTTTTCAGTCTACTTATTTCTTTCTCGTTTAGAGTACAAACGGAATCACACACGCTTGTAAACCATGTGTTATATATCCTCGTCATGCTCCTACCTAACTGCCGTGATATTGCTGGAATATTGTTAAAAGCGGCGCAATACTAAACTCACTCAGTCCTAACGTGAACTGACAAGAATCCATTATTCGCTATGCTTTGAAATTGCGCAGATTCATCACAATAAAAAAGTGAATGGTTGTGTAACCGCTTTGAAATGTATTCGGGTTATACTCACTCACTCTCTCGCTCACTCGCTCCGCCGCCATATAGCTGGAAAATTGCTGAGTGCGGCGTACAACTAAACTCACTCACATTTGTTTTATAAATGGGTTTTGATACCATGCCTTACCGTGTCAAAGGAAACAA